TCAAGGTGCCTTCGTGGTGCAAACATTTGGCGCCCACTTCACTGCTATCAACGGCGCTCGCAAGATACATGGACTACTAGACAAGCCGGAAGAAGACTTGAATCCTGCTGGGGGTCTAGCACTGTCATGTGCTGCGGTAATATATTTTTATTTTATTTTCTAATCACACCTCGCTGATCACTCATTGCTACTACTAGGTTGAACGAGCATTGACGCTTATCGCTACTCGTACCATAACCATCGAAATGGTTCTCGCTGCCAAGGGCAAATCTATACCCTTGCCGAAGACGCTCAATCACTCAACCGGCAAAGTCTCCAATCGCCAAACGGGCTTCAATGACGTCACCTGGGGTTCTTCCACGCGCTCATATGTGAAGTCGATCGTGAAAAGCCTCCGAGAGGAGAAGTTCCAAGCCATCATCACTTCTGCGAAGGAATTTTCCAAGAAGAGCCATCGTTCTGGCAACGATAGAGCCGTCGATGACGCTGTGGATGATGAAGACTTCGACGAACGCGCCCAGCTCGTGGACATCTCGGAGTCCGAGTCTGGGTCCGAAGACTCGGATGGCTCTGACGTGGAGTAGTAACATTTGTTCTTGTCATTCTGCCGGTGGTTTGCTTGCCAGCGCTGTATTCACTTACTGACCTGATTCAACTCTGGCAGTTCTTATGATCACGCTTATTTCCTTCGCTTGGCCGTCTTCATTCGCATTTTGTCTTAGTCACCACTTGAATTGATGCTTTTCCTGACCGCTTTGTCTTGATCACGATCTTAATGGTATACATCCGACTTGAACAGTTTTGTGAGTGCTTGAATTGTTCACTTACCTATCAACTGTGTAGAACTTGGGAGTCTTAACTTGAAAGATATGCTTGGATGTTTTTTGCATGGTATGAATACACATGATTCTCACCGCTTTATTGTCTGAATTCTACACTTACCGTTGATTTTGTAACCTTGGGAGCCTTAAAGACAAAATATAAATATATACTTGGACCTATGTGGCTGCTTAGAGCTGAATCCCTCTACTTCTGGTCTGCTTATTTTGATTTAGCTTACAATGTGTCTTTGAGAGAATCTGACATGATGAGTCACACTTAATGTCATTGCTTAACTGTGTACTTATGTCAAGCGCTGATAAGTGTAACAATAAGTCATATTCATCGGAAGACCCTACTTGTTTTAAGCAATGACGTACTTAGCAGAATTCTACTGAATCTTACTTAGAATCACCTTCAAGTCACCATAAGTGTTGTTAAGAAAAATTCCCTTTTTCCTGATGCTGCTGACCGTGCATGGTGGTGTCAAGCACCTTCGCGTCGAGTATCTTCAGGAGCACTGGACCCCATAGTTTTTTTTCTAGCTCTGTTTTCCTTCTCGTTCCTTCAAACATTCACATCACTTTCTTAGTATTTGCACCTGCCTCGCTACTTTTAATTGATTCATTTTCTGTGTGCTACACTACTTTCTCCTTGCTTCCATCAACCCCTCGCCCCTCACCCGCATCATTTTCCTTCCCCTCCCCGCACGATAGCCAGTGTTTTCTTCCCTCCTATGCTTTTTTCAACGTGTCACGTGACTTACGGTTGGTCCTGTAAATGGTCTTCACGTGTCGGACCATTTTTTGGTCACGTGGGACCAAAAAAGGTCGACCCCTTCGTATGAGGAACTTGCCGGTGGAGAAAGTGTGGCCCATTGATTACACAATATAGTATTCGGACATTCAAATTATGGACTACAGGCTACACTGCAGTGGCAAGACTGGTCATTCTGCCAAGTGCTTAGTGTTCATAGCTTCAAAGGTCTACTCAGCGTCTAGCCGCAGGGTAAATTGAACAACAGCGTCGACGTGGCCACATCAGTGCGACAGCCGCAGCCCGCCGGGGCGGCTGTGGTCGCCGTCTGTTACTTACTTGTTGGCCGATTTCAAGTTGACCGTATCTAATCACAAATCCTACAGGACAAATTATCAAGCTGCTATCTCTGGTCGATCAAGTGCAACAAGGCGATTTATATCATAAAATTTCATGAGAACGCTCATCGAACAAAGTCAGCGGAGATCGTCCCCACCGCAACTTAGCGTCACGGAATACCTTGAAGCTTCCCGACATAGCAGCTCCAATGTGGCAGAACCAGGGCAACTTTGCGGAAACTCCAAGGCAGTTCAGCGCCTACTGAGTAAAGTATTATGCCGCTCTCACGGACGGCTACTTGATATAAAAAGAGGCGAACATGGTATAGGGTACTGCCCAGTTGCTCCTCACCTGGCTGTCCCACTCCTTCTTTTTATAAATCATTCACTACTTCTCTGAATACATAGAAGCTCTGGATGGGCTCATCTAGCGAGTCACCCACATCCTCTGATCTGGATGTCGAACATCTCGATCGGCGCCCCACTCTTTCTAACGTACATAGATATACTCTGCTTTTGATCTTCTGCATCACGCAGTTTCTATATACAACTACCAACTCAGCATTGTTCTCCGCTATCCCCACTCTTGTCCGGAAGTTTGACTTCACCCAAAGCCAGTCCGTTTGGATCATCAGTGCATACCAGCTGACTTTTGCATCCTTTCTCCTCATGGTGAGTCCTACCTTTGTCGATCAGTCGACGAAAGTATTTTACCACACACACATTTGCAGAGCGGAAAAATTAGCGATATCTACAATCCTAGTTAGTTTGACCGAGGCTGTCTTTGCGAGCGTCGAATTAACTTTTTATGAAGAATACACCTTCCTAGCCGGAAAATTCATCCTTGGGGTAATCTGTATCGGCCTCGGTTTTGTCTCCGATGGTATCTTATTCCTTGCACTTAGAGCCCTTAGTGGAATTGGTTGCGTTCCTTCGCTGCAGACATTAATTTGAATGCTCATTTGATCATTGCAGCCGCATCGCTCACCGTACCGTCGGCTCTAGCACTGCTCATTGGACTCTTCCCAGAGCCCAAGCATCAAGCAATAGCTATTGCAGCCTTAGGAGCTTGGGGAGCCATTGGCATCGGTGAGTGACCTCTGCCACGCAATGCGATCTAGATATTCACGCTGAATATTTTAGTGCTGGGTCTAATCACTGGTGCCCTTTTCGTCGAATATACCAGCTGGAGCTGGGTATTTTGGTTTGTGTCTGCAGTGATCATACCAACCACGTTCGTTGCTGCGTTTCTTATTCCTCAGCAGAAGCAATCTGCGGTCCGAAAGAGCGGTTTCATCAAATTCAAGAGTCTTGATGTCACCGGAATATCACTTCTCACTGGTCAGTTCCAATTTTAACTCGTCTATTTACACCATGCTGAACACATGGTTAGCTGCCGTTATACTCTTTATATTTGCTGTGACATCAGGCTCCATTGCGGGTTGGGGATCAGCCATGACACTAGTACCTTTGGTCGTCTCCATCGCTACGACTGCTGTATTCTTTTACTGGGAGGCCCTCCAGCCGGTTGGATGCGCCGCCGTGTATGTTTTCTCGATTGTTCAAAGTTTCCCTGGCTTAGACAGATTAACAGACCGTCTTCCACATGGTTCATTCCGAATTTCTCTGTTCTTTTCGGAACGGCTCTTCTGCCATATTTCTGGTGGGCAAACATCTTCACCACGTATGTGCTGCTGTGGCAAGATGTTTACCAATGGAGCGCCATGTCCTCTGCTGTCCACATGTGAGCAAAGGCCGGTGCCTAACGCAGTGTAGTGATCTCACGACGCTAATGTTCTCGTTCTTTCAGGCTTCCAATAGGTATCACCGCCTTCATCTTCACTTTCGCCTATAGAGTGACGTGGCTCAGGAGTCTGAGTGCAAAGTGGGTGATACTTTTCGGCGCACTAATGATGATGGCGGCACTCGTCTTATTCGCCTTTGCCGACGGACCCGACAAGTACTGGTCGCTTGTATTCCCCGGCTTCATCATTGGTTCTGCAGGTGCAATGTTAACCAACATTTCTGCAAAGTGCGTATCCATCTTATCCCCAGAACACGCGTTTTATATCAGCTTCCACAGCATTGCTATTTTCCGAGCTACGCCTCCCTCCATGGCAGGCACCGTCGGCGCCATGTTCAACTGCGGACTGCAACTTGGTTCGGCTGTTGGGTTGGCTGCCGTCGGTTCTATTCAGGCGAGTGTGCAAGAGAGACATGGGGGCCTTGCGGATTATCGAGGCCAGTCTGCTGGTTTTTGGTTCATGCTGGCCTGCATCTCTCTTGCGGCACTGGCTGTTCTAGTCTTCTACCGCACCGACACGGCCCTGAAAATCGCGTCGACCGTACAGGTGCCTGTGGTGGAAGTGAAACACATTTCAGTGACGTTGCGAGGGGGGTTGAACCCTTGGCATGAGGGAGAAGCGAAGGTGGAGTCGTTGGATGTGACGAAGGAAGACACGCAGAGTTATCTGCGCTTCTCGCTCCATGGCTCGAGGGTGGGGGAGGTAACATGAAGGGGCACTAAGTTCTGAGGATAACCGCGTTCTTCAGACTAATTTAGACTCGTAGGGGTCTCTTTGCCTGCCTCAGTATTTTTGTTGAGGTGGGTGGTGGAGCATGGGAGGGGTCGTAATATGGAGCTATATTTGCTCGTTTGTTTTAATCCTGGTCAAATATGACACGCTCTGCTTGAGTGTTATACTACATACAGTATGTTTGAGCAGATGAGGGTTCGTATTTAGTTTGCATGTTTGTTTCAATTGCTGGTTATTTACCTACATACTAAGTAACTCATCATTGTAGAGTACGTCTAGAAAAACGGGGCACGAACGTCATCTGCTGCAAGGTTAGGGTTGAGATGTCTTAATAACATCGGTATCGTTAGTTGTCGGCCATACGCTACAAAGCGCTATCCGCTCCCAAATGCATGAAACTAGTCAGCCGTAGGCAGACCAAAGAAGGAAGACAGTCGTTCCTTCTATATCTGGAAATGCACTACAATGGGTGGTGGTGCTTCACGATCGCGAAGACGAGGACATAGAAATGGATATATCTGAACATACAAGTACAAGCTGAATCATGGTAGAATTCAGACTAAAAATGAGATTGAGAAGAAACACACTCGGTGTGTGGAAGTAGAGTTTAGATATGGAAGAGTCAAACGAGCATGAAACGCATGATATGATATCGATGTCCGAGGGATGATATGTGAAGAGCTGGTAGCGCATGGCCTCAGCTTATTTTCGATAACTAGGAAGGGAATGTACGTGCCAGAGATGATCAATATTTGATCAATAACCGCGGCCATAACTACCTGGATTGCCATTTCCACCTTGCTGACCATAACCTTGCTGTCCACCGTAGCCAGTCGGAGCAAACCCGCCTCCATAGCCTCCGCCTTAAAGGCTATGTTAAGAACGGAAAGAAAAATGTGAAATAGTGCCCACCTTGGTAGCCGCCATAACCACCTTGACCATAGCCTGGCTGGCCTCCAGCAAACCCGCCTTGACCTCCGTAGCTAGGTTGCTGACCGTATCCAGCACCACCACCACCTGAAAACGTGTTCAGCACGCTTGTTAGGTCTGCGGCAAAGTCTACAAACCAGAATAGCCGCCACCACCGCTGTAGCCTCCTCCAAATCCTGCACCACCGCTGCCTCCAGCTCCGGAGCTGCGGGGATTAGCGAGATTTACTTTTATCCTCCTGCCGTCAAGCTCCTGCTCATTCATGTTGGCAATAGCATGGTTTGCTTCCTCAGTCGTCCCGTAGGTGACAAAGCCAAAACCCCGCGAACGACCGGTGTCGCGGTCACGCATGACGATAGACTGAACGTTGGATCAACTCAAAAAGATAAACTCGGCAAGATAACTCGCGCACATCAAGCACTGGTCCATAATTGCCGAAAGCCTATATTGTGCAATGGTCCCAAGACCGAAAACGCGTAAGAACATGCATCTCGAAACAATTTCAGACGAAGATGACATAGCGAAGCAGCCCAAATCAACATGCCCCGCCAGTCACAATCGTATATAACTGACATTGCGCAACGTGTCATCAGTGGTGTTCCAACTCAAATTTCTACATGGAGAAAACAAGAAAGTAAACGAATCAGTTTCGCTCCCCTCCGCCGCGAGACGGGAGAAGCGCTGGTAAATCAAGTCAGACAATATAGACTGACCCAACGTAGATTTTTGCACTTGATTGTGAAGGCGAAGACATAGTGAGGGGGATCACTGGTAATACAATAGAGTCTTGAAACTGTTACACGAGACCTGAACGAAACGGAGACCAAGACACAGAGCAACGGGACGTGGAGGTTCGAAAGAGAGTTTGAACGAAAGGAATTTATCGACGATCGGCCCTTATATTCGAGCCCCTTTATTTCAAACTCCGGTCTGAACTCTAACACTGCACTCTAGACTGATTTCCTTTTTAAGCGACCATTTGATCGAGCTACCTCCGCCACCTAATTAAGAACACCACAAAGAGTCGTTTTCAATTGTACTAAGCGAGCGGTAAGTATATGTTTTCTCTCACGATACATAGACTTTAAAACATTCAACCACTCAGTCAGTTACAAGGTCAAACAAATTGTCCTAGAGTCCTATTTCACAAATCCATCAACACGAACAAAAGGAGCTAGGCTTATCAAGTATGAAACGGAGACTGCCATCGTCTCTTATCAGACGCGCTTCTCCATGCCGGTAATGACAAGCTTGACGGGCTACACATCTCTCACAGTCTATCAGGCTCGCTTTAGCAACACAAGACGCGAACCTGACAGACGACGTCGCGAAGAGCTGCTCACGCACCTTTGAAGGTCCTCGACGCTCGGCATTTTCCGAGCCAGAAGGATTTCCGCGGCGTTGAAGAGGACTTGGCAGACTGTTATCAACGAATTGGTAGGTGCGGGTATGTGCAACGAGTATTTTTCGGCCCGGATCCATCAGTGATGGGGCAGGGGCACAAGGTCTCGTGGACGCACGTTCCGAATTCGCTCAGTACCTGAGAGTCAAACAAAAAATTGAGGGTGAGTTCAATTTCAAAACAACGTTATTCGTCGACTTTCATCTCCATCCTAGCACTCTTCTCCCGCCGTTCGCGCACGGCTTATTTCCCGCATCATCTCGCTAGATGACTGGGATCCAAAGAACTGTTGCAACAACATCACTATCAGTCACCTGTTCTGTTTCAGATTGACATAGGAGCTGCGCCCTTCCTCAATATTCTTTTTAGCTCAGGTTCTCTATGTTCTCTTGGTCTGCGCTTGTTTTGTTTCGGGGTCGGTATATTACTCACAGCCATTGGTCAGTTACGCCTTTTTCGCCGATGGTTGCAGGTCCCAGGAGGCCCTTCCCTCTGTGCGTCCACGGCATCTACCGCACCACCTTGTGCCTGCCGGGTTCTGCATGGTCCGGCCACACTAGGTGAGAAAATTGTCACTTCACAATTCACCTGCTTGCAATTTCGTATTCGTGAACCGCCCTTTGGTTACGCCTTGTTGCGAACACGGATGCTGGAGCAACCGACCAGATTCACAATGTAGACGTCCACACCACAGCAGTTGTTATTAGCGCCGAAATTTTCACAAGTACGTGCCCGTCTGACAGCGCTCTCATTCAAAAACTTGAAATCGCTCGTGGGATCCGGCATTTCCTGATCTTGACCTTTTGGTATTGCGTGATTCTAGCAGTTGAAGAGGTGACTGAATGTCCAAGCGCACTCGGGACGCAGCTGCCAAAGGTAGAAAGACCTCATGCACTCGGCTGATGTGGAACCGTCAAATTTAAACATTGTCACAACATCCGCCGAACGGTAGTATAATGTCATTCTCCAGTAGCTTTCGGCTGAACCCACCTGCCAAAGAATAGATCAAACTAAAATTGACACCGTGACATCCGCACATGGCTCTCAGGCTTTTTTTGTTTGGAAAGGAACGGGACAAACATACAATTGGTCTGGCCAGCGAGCGCGCGGCCTGTCAACCTGCCACCCATGGCGCTCGCATCAAAGCCAACGACGTGGTAAGTGGGTGGCATGCGCTGAATCGTCATGATCAGAGTAGATCAGAGTTAAGTTTGTTACAATCTGCAGTATAGCCAGCCAATTAAAACCTTCCGTCGTTCAAATCAGGGGGAAATTCATTTGCGCCAGGTCGGCAAGCACCGGATGGGCTGGGGCATGATTTGATTCTCGATTCATATGCTGCGGGCTTATCCGCGTGGCCACCTGTACATGCCCCTCCCGAGCGCTTTGTACCGGCGATCATGCGGCTGTGCCAGTATCCGGAATGTTGGATCCAGCATACGCAGTCCTTTGATTCCAGCGGTACCAACGTGAACATTTGCTCCGAGTCCCGCATGTATTGATTCATAGCTGGTAAGATTTTACGCGGGATTATTGTATTAAATAACAATGACTCGTCCAGAGTCACAGCGCACAGCATCCAATCTATGAAAAGAAATTGATCGACCACTTACCCGTCTCTCGTTCTGTGAGGGACTATATATTTGTAGGTGATGATCAGTTCTAAATGCTCCATTGAGCCCGTTCAACACGGCGAAGCTTGTACCAGGCTCCAGTGGTTACTTATCCATCATACTATGATAGTAATGGAGACGAGCGCTGTTTTCACGACCCAAAGGGTTAACAGATCATCCGATTCTGGGAGGAGGTGACTCTTGTGCATTCTACACAATTTCTCTCACTCTCAGGTGACACTTCGCAGCACAATTGTGACAGATAAGTTTAGTGCGACGTCCGACGAGTGATGACTAGACCTTGACTGAGTTCATCTGATTGCCGACAAGGGCCAGTATACCACGTTCCTCGCAGGGTCACAAGTCGACGTCTTGATTACATTTTTTCATTCCAGTGTAGACGTCAAGCGCCGAACGGACCCAAGGCTTTGAAGGCCTGTGAGATAAGCATGCAAAAGTTAACTTGAACTTCACGTGCGCAATGAATAAATTGAAACTGCAACACCTGTACCTGTACGACTGATCAAAGGCAGCCAACTTCGAGTTCCAAATACTCATCCCAAGTACTCGTCAGTCCAGAGATGCAGAAGGGGAATATGCGGGGAATCCCGTTCAGAAAGCGAGGCGATTCAAGTCACAGGGGGGTGCAGCAACGATGGAAGCGCAGCATATTGATATGACAGATACCCTGCGTGCACAAGAGTTTACCTATGTAGCAAATTGTTCTTGTTCTTGCAGCTCGGCTAGGAGGAAGGTCTAGGGACCAAGACAAGGCAAGGTAAATCGGATCATGACAATTAATTCGTGACAACTCACACTGATATTTCCAGTCGACAACAAATGCTAGTGCTACAAGTCACTCAATCACTGGGTGAACTGGTACTGGCATTGATATTGAGAAACGAGATCGAGTGGCTTCAGCTTCACCAGGCATTCGATAATGACAATCTGGACTTGGATCTGGAAGTTGCGTGTAGCATCGAGATGTAAGTACCGACAAGTCTAGAATAGCTTCTAGCGATATCATGTTCAACGTACTACTCACTTGAAGGTCGTCCGAGCCAAGTCAAATCAAGTCAAAAATATCTTGTAATCTCGAGTAAGTAGTCACTTCGCTGGAAGCTAGGTTTTCATATACCAACGAGAGATCCAGATGCCAGAGTAGCCCGCGACAGTCCTCAGCCATGCGATCGGTCTTAAATTCTGCGGAGATCTCTCTTCTCCTCTCCTGTAACTGATCATGATCGTCGTGTCGTATAAACCTGATGATCGCTAGTACTTACCACTGTCCCATCTGCTTCTATAATGTACTCCCCACTCCTGCTCCCCGCTCCCACTTCACTGACGCATATGTTACTTCCAGATCAAGATCAATTTGTGAGTGTGGATAGCTCCCAGCGATGCCAACGTACCACGCACCTGAAGGACATCATATTAGAGTCAAGATCAAATATAAAATATAAGACATGAAATATGATCACCGATGAATGAACGATTCAAGATTCTTGCAAGCTAGGCGGTTCGAGTTGGGGGATGGATCGATCAAAAGTTGGCTGGAATTGGACTATCTGTGCATGATGGTGGACTATCCGCGCGTAATGGTGGACCATCTGAACACGCACTTGACTATCTCTCCACACATTGGAGTATGATCTCCTATCCAGACTCTTTGTATAGGTAGGAGATAATAGTCCAATCGTAGCGATGACGTGCGTGTTCGTTTCGTCTTGCTGGAAATACGTTGATGTTCGATAAAAGGTGAGGTGTCATAAACTCAAGTCGGTGCGTCGTCGCACTATGTAGTTCTAGGAAAGACAGCGGGGGGACTTGAAGGGTCCAACGAACGCCCAAAATTGGGTGTAGTGTATACGTTATTCAGAATGGAATGGGGTGGTCCGAGCATTATAAAGTTCCTCTTTGATGCGGAAGGTAAGCTAAGGCCCTAAGATGCAGTAAGTGTGAAAGTTAAGGTTGGTGTTAGCTTACATCGTGGGAGGGCGGTGGGCGCTTTGGCAAGAAGGTCTTGCCCCGATCAGTGCACCCGAACAAACTTTCGTTGAAATCGGTTTATCGTCTTGTGAATAGTGTATGATCCATAGGCAAAGGCTACTGATACATCGCGCGTCGGTCCGTATCGTATCCTGCAGGTTCATACTTGTCAGAAACCAAAGAATATGTATACTTACCGAGTTTCCCGCAACTGACGCCCGCACGAGTGCTCTGACTGACTTGGTTCAACACCATACATGTATGGGCGCGGAGCGACCGGCCCCGTCCTGATAAGCAAGATTGAGTCAGACTAACTTTTGTGATGTCATCCGTCCGGCGTACACTTGATCCGATCCGATGGAGAAGTGAACCCGGGCATGGGAGATGAGCCCGAGGTAGATCATGACCGAGGAGTCGGGATTTATGGGATTTCTTTTGTTCGATTCCTGCATGGAAGTCGTACGTGTGAGCAGGTACAGGCACGCGGCGATGAACGGGAGGTGAGGCCTTGAGCGATGGGGACGAGAGACGCAAGTCAGGGATGGGGTGCGTGGGGATGTGGAGGGTCGATCTGGCACAAGTAGATAAATGTGGAGGATCGGGTCCTGGTCCCTCGAGGGGGGTGGCGTAGATTGGCATTGGGGGTACCCGCGGAACGTCAATCAGGATCAAGGTTAACGTGATCCGAGATTGGTGGCATAGGGGGTAACGTGAATCGGTGATTGAAGCGGGATGGATGTACGTGAGTGACGCGCGAACGTATGATGAAATGTCAGCACGAAGAAGTATTTCGAAACGCGATATGTTTGAATGCCGGGGAATGGGTGGGTGGGGGATGAGCGGTAGTATGCTCGAGCGAAGAGGATAGCGAAGAGGATGGATATTAGGCGTGAGTAGATCATAGTTATATATACTTGGACCCGTTGGGCCGTTGGCAGTGAATTCGGGTTGGGTTGTACCAGATTGAGCAAGACTTACAGCATCAGTGGAGTGACGTAGTAGGGGCTCCCTTTACATAGTAGGGATCCCTGGACTCGAGTAGACAGCGACCTCGGGGAAGAACTGTGGGCCCGACATTCGCGCGCTGTCGCCAAGCCCTGTGTTGTGAACGTTATCGGAAGACGAGTGATAGAGAACGGAGAGAAATTGATTGTACCTTTCGAAACATGGCAAAACGACGAAAGATGACTTTGAAGGGCTGGACCACGATGTGACCATGAGGAGGGTTGTTATGATCCGAGTGGATGAGACGTACTATATGTACCGTCGCACAACCGTCGCAGTAGTTGCGCAGTCATTTCACGCTTATCAAAAGAACCACGCTGAAACGACGAGGCTCATCGATAAAGGTTTGCCACGTGTATGGCTCGATAATTCGAATTATTTGGCCGAGTTCTATGCCCGGGTTTTAATTCGTGTGCAGCGCTGGTATAAGTCATCGCCCGACTTTTGGTCGTTAATCAGTTAAACTTACCAACTTTGCGCCAATCGTTTACTAGTGAGTGAGTTTGGTTGACGTGCCTCCGTGTTCGCGTGTGCCTCATGTTGTGACTTCACAGAGGTTACACAGCCACTAGCTTATATCAAAAGCCGACTCCTCATCAAAAAAAAATAATCGGTAACGCTTCCTCGGCAGGCCTCTCTTTTGTATCTTAGCCTCCAAGTGTAGCCCACGACGACCATGCCCCCAGTCGTCGTCGCCGCTGCCCTTCTCATCGCTGTCCGAGTCGCGTCTCCTTCCGTTGTCCTCTTAGCCACTCTCTCCCTCATCTCAACTAAGCGCCTGTCTCCGCCATCTCCCAGTCCAATAACTCCCGTCGTCGTCACATCTCGCATTCCACGGAGAACTCTCATCTTAGCCCTCCTCACTCTTAGTGCATTCACTTTCCTTGCAGATGGCCTCGCATACGTTGCCTATGCTGTCCTCAATAAACTTTGGCCTAAAGCCACTGGTATAGAGATCGCAAGTCTTTTGGGTTTGCTAGCGTATGCCGGTTTGGCAGCACTTGGCGCATGGAAAGACGCAAACGACGTCGAGATATGGAATCGCAGACGCGTCAAGGTCGCAATAGCATTCGCACTCGCACTCGACATCCTTCAGGCCGTCCTGTCCTTGAAGGGAACAGGTCCGTTCTTCGCTTCTATTAATTCAATTCATTTACCTCATCATATCAATCTAACCCTTTTTTGTCAGACCCCCATCATATTTGTACCTCACCGCTCCGGTCGTGCGTCCCGAATCTTTTGCACGGTGTCCTACCCCTCGCGCGCGTACTTGCACTCGTCCCTCTCCTCGTTGCACTCTTCTTCCCTCGCGTCGTTTACCTTTCAGCTCAATCAAATGGTTACACAGAAGAAGCCAACGAGACCGCTCCCCTCATGTCACAACATGTCCCACACGACTCGTTGCTGTTGCAACCAGAAGACGCGGACCCTGACGGCCCCAGTAGCACCGCCAAATACGGCACTTTTGTGTCCAGAAGCGGCCCCACCACCCGCTGCGCATCACCAATTCCAGGCGTTCGGGAGCCAAGCAAGGTCAGTTGCGCTCTCACTCATCCTATACACAACTCATCTCATCCACAGACAACCCCCCGCGAAGTAGCCGTCGATCCTTCATGGCGCGAACTCTTCACCCGCATATCCCGCCTCACGCCCCATCTCTGGCCCTCCCACTATCCAAAGCTGCAATTCATCGCAGTACGTACACCACACTAACCCATCTAATTAACCACTAATTATTCCCTTTCCAGTTCATCTGTTTCCTCATCCTCATCCTTGGACGCATCGTGAACGCATTGCTCCCTCTCACACTCGGCGCCCTCATCACCACCTTCGACACACCCGGCAAAACCCCCTTGCCCTTATTCGGCGCTAGTCCATGGCCATACCTCATCACCTACGTCGTCCTCCGTTTCCTCGCCTCCTCAGGCGGTCTCGCAGCCATCCGCGACGCACTCTGGATCCCCCTCATGCAATACTCTGACCGCAGCATGTCAATGCTCTCCTTCAACCACATCCTTGCGCTCTCCCTCAGCTGGCACACAAAACGCAAGACCGGCGAGTTACTCCGCATTCTCGACAGGGGAAGTGCGGTCAACCGCGTTGGAGAGCTTATCGGGTTCACGGTGGTGCCTGCACTCGTGGACGTGGTCGTGGCGCTTGTGGTGTTTGTGGTGAGGTTTGAGCCGGCGTTGGGCGCGGTGGTTGGCGTTGTGATGGTATCTTATATTTGGGCGAGTGTGTTGTTGACGAGGTATAGGACTAGGATACGGAGGCAGATGAATGAGCGGGATGTGGTGAGTCTTTTTTGTGCCGCTTTTTGGGGTTGGTATTGATGGGCGCAGGTTACGCGTGGGATCCATACGGATTGTCTGCTTAATTACGAGACCGTCAAGTATTTCGGTGGGGAGGAGTATGAGGCGCAGAGGTATACGGAGGCGATTGGGGAGTATCAGACTTTGGAGAGGAGGGTTGTTCGTGAGTGTTGTGTTCTTCTATCTCTTCACGTGCTGATCACACTTGTAGTTTCTCTTAACCTCTTGAACCTCGTGCAGACGCTCATCATCACCACCGGTCTCCTGATCGGTTCGTTGATCGTCGCATCGCGCATCACAAAGGGTCAGAGCGATACCAGCGACTTTGTTGTATTCATCACGTATTATGCACAGGTGGGTATCCTCTTGTGTCCCTCCTACGGCAGAGAACTGACGAGTGATCCTAGCTCTACTTCCCCCTTTCGAACCTGGGCGGCGTATACCGCGCGATCAACCAAAGCCTCGTCGACACCGAGAAACTCCTCCACCTCCTCAACGAGCCGACTGAAGTGGTCGATGCACCTGACGCCAAGGAACTAGTAGTCACAAACGGTGAAGTCGAATTTGGTAAGTACCCCTCTCTCCCACCTCCCTCTCTCACACTAACCATCCCCCAGACAACGTCTCCTTCTCCTACGACGACCAAACCTCCGCGCTGCACAACATCTCCTTCAAAGTCCCCCGTGGCGGGCGCGTCGCGCTCGTCGGCGAGTCCGGCGCAGGCAAAAGCACACTCCTCCGCCTCCTCTACCGCTTCTACGACCTCCAACCCGGCCAAGGCCGTATCCTCATCGACGGCCAAGACATCCGCACAGTGACACTCTCCAGCCTGCGCCGCGCAATCGGCGTCGTCCCTCAAGACCCCGTGCTCTTCAACGCAAGCATCGGGTACAACATCGCGTATGGCCAGCCGTCTAGCACGCCTCCGCCTGAGAGCACGATCGTGGCTAGCGCACAAGCTGCGCAGATGCATGATCGGATTATGAGTTTCCCTGAGGGGTATGAGACGAAGGTTGGGGAGAGGGGTGTTAGGCTGAGTGGGGGGGAGAAGCAGCGAGTGGCTATTGCTAGGACTATGGTGAAGAACCCACGGGTGTTGTTGTTGGATGAGGCGACTAGTGCTTTGGATAGTGCTACAGAGAGGGGCGTGATGGAGGGTGCGCTTGGGAGGCTTGTTGATGGGAGGAGCTGTTTGAGTATTGCACATCGGTTGAGTACGATTCGGGGGGCTGATTTGTGGGTGTTTTTTTTCTTCCCCCTGACGCGGTGCTGATTTAATTGTTTTTTTTTGTAAAGGATTATGGTTCTCAAGGACGGACGGATCGTTGAACAGGGCTCACATAGGGAGCTTCTTGAACTCAACGCCCTCTTTGCATCCATGTGGGCAGACCAGATCAGCGCATCTGAGGATCCTAAAGGCACAGCTGGATACGATGTCGACGACGACGCACCTGTCGTAGATATCCCCGAGTCCGACACGCGGAGCACAGCAGTTGCCATCGACTCCCCTCAAGTAATCGCAGCGCCTCTCCCCTCTAAACCCGACATACCCACAAGTGCCTCATCGCCCATTTCGTTCCCCATGTCTTACGACGCCCCACAAGCATTCCCGACGACTGCATCCAATTCCGACTCGCGCTCGATCCAGAGCCACCCAGAGCGCTCTGCGATACCTGCGCATATGCAGGGTGCGAGTGGGCATGTCCACAGTGCAAGCGCGCATATCCAAGGTGCGAGCGTGACGTTTGATCCGAGGACGGCTACGCCTCCGCGTGCGGCCTCTCCTGAACCGAGACGGGCGCTTTCGACGCATAATATCCAGAGGCTTGCGAGGAAGATCAGCTTGAGCGGGAAAGCGCCAAAGTTGCCTGGTGTGTTGAGGCGGGATACGAGCTTGCGGGACGCGGTGTCTAGTGGAAGTGGTGGGAGTGGGAGTGGTGCGGGTGGGAGTGCGTCTACGCCTCCTGCTAGTGGAAGTGCGAGGGAGAGTGTGGATGAGCCGCAGGTTGAGGTTTTGTCGAAGAAGGAGGAGAAGAAGAAGAAGAGGAAGAGTTTCATTTGAGGGTATTCCTTTTTCTTTTCTGTCTTTTTTTTGTCGTTGGCGTTTCGTTGTCTTCGGCATCGGTTTTCAGCATCGTTTACAGCGTTTTCTAGCGCTGCGTTGTTTTCCAGCGTCGTTTCTTTTCATTTTCTTTTATTCCCTTGTCATGTTCCAACCACTTACTTTTGACGACCCCTGCGACGACTCACATCATCATCTCATCTTTTGACATGCATTATGACGACAAGACTTGTGACTTTTGGATCTTTGTGCTCACTGTTTTTCGATGCATATACATATACACGTACACGTTGTATCACTCGGTCGAATGTTTTGTCACATATATGCATGGTTCTTGCATTGTTAACTTGCTCTGATGCTTGTAGGGTGTTAAATGGTTTGTTGTGAGCGTGCGTTTGTCTATTTTGTACATATATATATTGCTGTGCCAGTAGTGAATTATCCATACCCTGCAGACTCGAACAGAATTCCTACTACATGGTAAGTACTAGCGGATTCGTGGAAGGTTGTTCCTGATCAGGGCTTTGACATCCTCACAAGATTGATCGTAGAGATATATTTGGCTTCGATTGAGGTAATCCTTGGGTAGTGTGGTGACGCATGCATGTTTAGTAGAGTCCGGAATACCGAGCTTTTCGAGTGTAAGCGCATTTTTTGTCCACCAGGTCTCCAAATGTCCCCTCCAATTGTCCAAGTGGGTGACAACCACTACAACGTGCACGTTTCCCACTTCCTGCTTGAAATTGTTAAAGTTGCGACAATGGGATTTCTTCAGGCCTCTTGTTCCTGGTATGCAGTACACCAGGAGGTCTAGTTCACTCGGTGTCCTCTTCATCATCATCGCCAAGTATGCTTTGAGTTTCTTCTGCGCTGGCTTGTCCGGAAGGAAGCCCCAACGCCCCTCTTCGAGACCCACTGTATCGTGCACCTGGCAATATTGCTGTTGCCCGAGGTCGCACTTATACTCTTTTTCTACCCTTGTGCAACCGGTCGTGTCGTTCGAGACAGGAGCATGAGCCCCGGGGCAAAGCATGTTAATGAGTGAGCTTTTCCCCGCCCCCGATTGACCAATGATGACCACGTTCCTCAACGTCTGACTCTAAAAATGTATCAGTATCATGAAGACACCAACTAGTGGAATGTAGCCTTTGGGGGAGTCGGCACTGATCGATTTGAGGGTCTCAATGTTTGGGCGATTTTCCAGTGATCGTCAAGGAGGTTGTCGTCTGAGGGGATATTCGCAGCCTGCTCGCCTGCTTGTAGGTTGGTGACAGAGTTTCTCCCCACCCCAGATCGACCAATGATGACCGCTTTCCTCAACGTCTGACTCTGAAAATATATCAGTATCATGAAGACCTCAACTGGTGGAATGTAACCTTTGGGGGAGTCGGCACTGATCGATTTGACGGGCTCAATGTTAATGTTTGGGTGATTTCCCAGGGATCGTCAAGGAGGTTGTGAACTGACGGGATATTCATGATGTTTGCGGGAGTCGAGTAATCCGACGAGCCCGATGTTTGTGTAGATCGCCAGTCATTGTCAAGGAGGTTGTCGTCTGCGGGGATATTCGCGGCCTGCTCGCCTACTTGTAGGGAGCTTTTCGTCATTCCACTCTCTCCAAAAGTGGTGGTGTTTGTCGTTGCAATGATTCGAACGACCTCTGGCGCCTCTGGGCGATTCGCTGGGTCCCAAGACCAGCATTGTTGAATCAAGTTCCAGGGATCGTCAAGGATGTTGTCGGGACGTGCAGGAGTCGCTTTTTTCGAGAGCTCGATGATGATCTGATGTGGAACTTTCTTTTCTTTCCATGGTGCAAAACCCGAGACGATCTGAGAGGAAAAGCTTAGACTAAAGCTGCAGAAAAACACAGGTATCGCACATAGAACATGACACTACCAAAAGAATACACATCACTCTTAAAATTCGGTCGTACAGGGTCAGAATCGATTCCAATGACTTCAGGCGCGCGCCATTGAGGATTGAAGTTGCGGCCTGCGGTCGTCGTATTCAACTGCGACTCTACGTCCCCTGCGATTGTTGCGAGGCCAAAATCTGTGAGACGTGGATGTCCTAAATCATCGATGAGCACGTTCCCCTGAGTTTCATGAATGAGTGCAACATCCCATAGAGAGCAGACAAGACACACAGGATGAAGGTCCCCGTGAACGACACCCTCGGAGTGAACTAAACAGGCATTAAGAATAAAACTAACAACATAATAGACATGTACAAACGATACTCGAGGCCATCAGCGACGCCCTTGGCCTAAGTAGCATGAAAATCAATAAATAATTTGATGAGTTTAATTGCTGTGCATGAGGGACTCACTAATTCGACTTGAGCGGATGCGGTAATTGTGCCTTGCCGCTCGAGGTACGTATATAATGTCCCAGAGGACATCCATAGGGAAATAAGAGCCGGAAATTGAGAATCTAGGACGTTTGCGATGCCAAGTAGCGGGACGATAGTCGAATGTTTGAGTTTAAGCCACACCCTGAGTTCTCGACGTATCCCCTACATATATATGCCATTAACGAATTGTGATTCGAGTGGGGACACTTCATCAGAAGACTGACTTTTTCAAGTTTATCCGTAGCTCTCCCAGGATCAATCTTAAATATCTTCACTGCGACCTGATGGTTATTAGACGGACAATTGATGGGCCGGGACAAGTTGGTCAGACAAACCTCCATCGTGCCTTCGCTAGACTTGATAGTGCGCCGATAAACTACGCCAAAGGAACCAGAATCACATGGAGGTTCACCCGAATTTAACGTCTCAGAAATTTGAGATGTGAAGTCGCGAGGGATATCTACATTGCCTGATAAAGCCTTCAGTTCGCTGTTCAAGAAGTCTATGATCATAAAGGCAGATGGACGAGACCCCTCGGCTGACCAACACGTCGTGATCACATTCCAACGTGAGTCCGTCATATCGGGCGAATCCGATGTCGCAGGACGCGGAATGCACACTCCTCTACGAATGTTTTCAAGCACTGTAGAGTCATCGTTCGTATGCCAAGGAATGTCCAGAGTTAACACCTGAGTATAGCTGATCGTGATCAACAGTGAATACATATTTGCTAATTTCGGACTCACGTGGAACGTGACACAACCAAAAGAATACATGTCGGTCTGTTTGGTCGGGCTGCCGCCATTGAGCAACTCAGGTGCAGTCCACCTGGTTGCTTCACGTCGAACATTTGATCCTTGGATACGGTTACTTAAACGGCCGCCAAGAATTGTCGCCAATCCGACATCCGTGAGACACGCGCGGTATTTCCCTTCCTGGATATCCACCAGAATATTGGACTGGATAATTCTGTCAGTAAAGATTCACGTGAAGAAATTCAACAAACACTAGTGATGTCTCCATGGACAATATCAAAACCATGGACTAATGGCAACCATATCAGTCGAGGGAAAATATGAAGAAAAGGAAGACAGACGATACTCAAGTCCAGACGCCGTCCCGAGAAGCTAGTGGATACCACCAAGGATGATTCAGTCTAGATACGTTACAAGTAAACAGTGGCTCACCAAATGTAATTTCAACTCGATGCTCAATTGAGCGTCCTTTTCCTCGATGATACAGCGGAGCGTGGTCTCAAACCAGGGATAGACAACGGCTGGAAATGACCCGAAATCTCTTGTCGTTCCAAGAAGAGGAACAATGTGTTCATGCGCGAGGACAGCCAAGACCTTGACTTCGCATAGAAATATCTAGCAATCAACATTTAAGGACGTACAGAGTGCAGAGGAATTTTGGAATTCTCACCTCTAATTCTTGATCGGAAAGACTAAACTTGATCACTTTCACAGCAACCTGCGGTCAAGATAGTCAACACCCACACGTCACGCCAGCATTAGCCGAACCTTGATACGCCCCGTTGGTTGTTTGCATTCACATTTGAAAACGTTTGCAAAGGCACCTCCGGCGAAATAGCCGTCGATTTTCGAAATAATCTGACCCGTCAAATCCATTGGTTTATTCGAAATAGACGCCTGAAATTGAATGTATCAAGATTTGTCACCGAATGAGTTACTTAGGTTGCCGAACCTGCGAGGCTTCGATTGCAGACGGATTGAAATAATCAAGAACTTTTTCAGCCTCTGGGCGATGCCCCGGCTCCCATGACCAGCATTGTTGAATCAAGTTCCAAAGACCATTAGGGATGTTCTTGGAACGCGTGGGGGTGGCTTTGCATGACAGCTCAATGGAGATTTGATGTGGATTTTTTTTCTCTTTCCATGGTATGTCCCCTGAGATGATCTGGGTGAAAAATGCTTAGGATGGGGCCACAGAAAGACAAAAGAGATCGCACAAAGAAAATGACGCTGCCAAGGGAATAGATGTCACTCTCGAAAGTCGGTCGTTCAGGCCCACACTCGATTCCAATGACTTCAGGCGCACGCCATCGAGAAATGAACTCAAGTGCCTCGGTCGTCGTGGTCCACTGCAACTCTTGGTCCCCTACAACGGTAGCAAGACCGAAACCTGTGAGACGTGGATTCCCTGAGGCATCGATCAACACATTTCCCTGAGGCTTGCAAATGAGTGCGACATCTACAAAGAAACGATCATACATACGGGATGAAGGTCTCCATGAACCACATTCTCCGAGCGAACTAGGCAAGTATTAACAGCTGAAACAACTACACAGAAAGCGACGAACGATATTTGACGCCACGAGCAACGCCCTTGATCTAAGTAGCGTGTGAATGAACACGTGTGTCATGTGATTGATGTGAATGAGTGGGCTCACCAATTCAACTCTAGTAGAAGCAGTGAGGATTGCGGCTTTGTCCTGGAGGTATTCATGTAACGTCCCCGAAGGCATCCATTCCGAAACGAGAGCCGACAACGGATAATCGAATTTTGCGATGCCGAGTAGTGGCACGATATAAGTCGATTTACTTAGCTTAAGCCACACCATGAGTTCCCGGTGCAAGGCCTACATAGACCGGTGCAGAGGGAAGTGTCATTTGAGTCGGTCAACTCCAATTGGAAAACTTACTTCCTCAAGTTCTTCCAAACACCTCTTAGGATGAATCACGAATACCTTGACTGCAACCTGGTAGATGTGATATGCGCGAGTTCGTCATGGTGTTGCTTAGACAGACTGTCACAGACCTTCGTTTTGCCCTCATTGATGACACATCGATAAACCTGACCAAAGGAATCATTTGCAACTGGAGATTCGAGCTTGATTTGAGATGCAAAGTCGCGTATGGTCACAGAATTGCCGCTGCAGACACCGATGTTCATGAAGGCTGTCAGATGACACATATGATGGAGCCAGATGGACAGACTCACTGCAAAATTTCCCCCATGACTCGGACGTGGGCTGGGCGCCGTATAGCTATTATACAAGTGGCCGTGTGCAACGAGATCTAAAGTTGTGCCGTAGTACTTGCGTTTATAAGGACAGCCATACCGCGAGGCAATAACCCTAGACATACGTAATATTATGCCTCGCGGTTGGGTCAAGGTCAACTTGCAATCCCATCTTGAGAGTCTCTCCCAAAAAATCTTATTTCCAAATTGTCCGTCCACAGCTGCGAGGTCGAGGGACTGATTTTAAGCGTAATAGTATGAAGTACATCAAAGTTGTGACCGACAATAACCGGCATCCCAATTACCAATGAAATCTTGCCAAGGCGCTGATTAGTCAATATTATTTATAGGCCAAGTCTGTATTCAAACTCGCATCCAACTGGTTGTCAGTCACCTCTGCTTCGGTGGCGATCATGTTCCACCAACTTGGCTTGCTCGTTCCTGGACTGCTTCAAGTTAACGGGCTGGGGTTTGTGAATACCACTGCCTTGTAAGCCTGTGACTATTCCAAGTGACTCTGATTCCTGACTCGCGTTGGCAAGTTTACTACCAAAGGCAATATGCTGCCACACTTTAATTTGAAGTTCGCGTGCCAGCTAGAGAAATTTCTGGTTGGCATCAAGACCTAGGCTCGCAGCCAGCCTGGCATATACTACAAAAGACAAGTCCAGTGGCGTAGTCAATGTCTTAACACCTCAAAGATGCAATCCAGATTGGTTAGTACGATTTAACATTGTCCAATGGCAAACGTTTTGACACAACATCCGATGGGACGTGTGACGTTGGCAAGCTTTTTTTGTAAGAAAAGCGATTCATATTTGACGTTGAACAGCACACCATTGGTTACGTGCCCGACCTTGCTGTTGTGATCCACTTTGCCTGTAATATGTTATAACAACCTCGTTTACCTCTATCCTCTGAACTCATCAACCTCTACATATGAGTTCCACTCATCCTCCTGTACTGGTCGTAAGTGAACTGCCTATGATAGAAGATCGCACCTCAACTGAATTCCTCGTTCTTAGGTAGGCGCTGGGCCAGCAGGTCTGGTAGCCGCGCTGACACTTCTCCAGAACGGCATTCCAGTTCGCATAATCGATAAAGACCCCAACCCTCGCATGGGACAGCGTGGTGCCAGAATATGGGTTTGCCATACACCCGCTTGTCATATCATGCGCGGTCTCATTGAACGCACAATCTAGCCACGCACCCTCGAACTCTTCAATTTCCTGAACGTTCCAGAAGTCAACGATCTGGGGAAACGTGCACCCTTGATCCGTTCGTACAAGCCCGGAACATTGGAAGTTCTGAGGGAATTTTCGATGGTCCCGCACATGGAACCTACCCCTGCGGTACCATTCGTACGCAGAAGTGTCTTCTCAACTAGCCATGCTGAATGTATTTTATTTTCTAGCACTTTCCCAAGGCGTTAGGCCAACAGCTCCTTGATGTGATTTTGCGACGCCACTTAGAGAAATTCTGTTGTTCTGTCGAGATGGGCACCGAACTGCGCTCGTTTGAACAGTCCGAAGAGGGCGTCACTGCTGTTCTGGAAAGGAATGGTATATTAGAAACGTTTGATACCAAGTGGCTGATCGGCACTGATGGTGCTAAAAGTGAGATGTGGTGAGATGCAGCAGGATGAGGCTGAATTCGGCTCTGCAGGTGTCGTGCGCAAACAACTCGGGCTTACATTCTTGGGCGAGACTAGAGACGATATCCGAATCATCACTGGAGATATTTGTCTAAAGGGTGTTGGTCTTAGTAGAGCGGTGCGTCTGTTTTTACTGATTCAATGGAAAAGCACTCCTGATCTGTCTCAAAAGTATTGGCATTCATTCGGAACTTTCGATGAACGGCTGTGTGTACCATTGATGTCATTGATCCACGAAGATGTATTGACGACCCACAGCATCTCATTGCGTCCAACAGACGAAATTGGCGAGGATGGCTGGCAACTATTCATCTTTGGCAGTGATCTAGACCTGACAAAGGTCGTTCAGAGCGAGGAACTTATCTTCGAAATCGTTGCATCATTAATACCTACGGAGGTTACTTTCAACAAGTTGGTCTGGGTGAGCGAGTTCAGGTGCGTTTTTGTCTTCTTTATACGTCAATGCGTTTTGAAGCTCGTCGGTTTGCTTTAGGGCCAATATTCGCATGGTGAACAAGCTTAGCGAGGGTCGATGTTTTGTTGCGGGTGGTATGTAGTTCTACTCTTGAACGATGTGCCTGTGCTGATTGTTGTAGATGCTGCTCAGTATGTCTATCTTTGATTGCTTTCTAGGTAAACTGCTGCTGACATATGTCCAGTGTCCACAATCCAACCGGTGGTCAGGTATGTGTATTCTCATCAAATGGGGCTACTTACTCAATTCTCTATGAACAGGGACTCAATTCAAGTGTACAAGATGCCGTGAGTCTTGCAAATCCAGCATGTAGGACACAACTGACCGGGCTGTACACTAGTTCAATCTAGGATGGAAACTTGCGCTCGTCGAGAAAGGGCTCGCCGACAAGTCTCTTCTCGAGACGTACAGCGCTGAGCGTCTCCCTGTCATCTCCGAGATGCTCGAGATGACCAGCGCGATTCTCAAGCAGGCCCTTACGTCGAAGACAGGAGGCTCTACCATTCGACGAAACCCCATCCTTTTCATGCTCGGTATCAACTGCCGGTTCAGCACTATTGTCCTCGATGAATTTGTGACTCCGATTGAGGGGAGACCTATCAATGCCTACGGGGTACTTGATGAGGGGCATCTGGAGGCTGGAGACAGGGCGCCTGATGCTCCGGATGTCCTGCAGGTTGGGCACGGAGTGTCTGACGTGAAAACTCTTTTTGATCTGTACAGACCATGGTACCACACGGTACTTGTGTTTGCGCCTGATCTCGCAGATGCCATCCCGATCCTGGGCGCCCTGGAGGCATACAATAAGAGCGTTGTGCGATCGGCTGTCGTTCTGCCCTCATTGACATCAGTGACGCATGTCGCATCTTCGGCTGACTTCATACTTGTTGATCAGGAGGGCTATGCTTATTCGGCTTACCTCATGGAAGCTGGCCAGACGAAGGTGTTTGTGATACGGCCAGACGGAGTGATTGGAGCGATTGTACACGGTGCAGAAGGCATGAAGAAATATTTCTCCGGAATATTTCTTGACGTGTAGCGGTCTGTCCTTTTTTCTTACTTAGGATATTTGCATCACAACTCATTCATGTCCTAATTAACGCGGTTGTTGAATAGTGTTAGAAGCTAAGATGTCGGTGCACGAACACATCGAATCATCATCACCCGTTTCTCATCATCATTATGAGAGCGGAGTTTTCACTCAGGCTCCCCGTGCTGTGGATACACTAATGGGGTGAGGTGCGATAATTGGTATTTGTAGGGTTATACTTTCCGAGTTCGGATTTGCACTTTGCTGGCGCTTTCCTACAGATTGGTATGATGTTACTTTCCTTATGTTATCTGGTGTATCACTGGTCTGTTTTCATTGTACTTAGGCCCTCGCATAGTAGTGTCCTTGGGAAACCGAAATCAAAAACAGTATCGGGTGAGCGTTCTTTGACCAATCATCCGAGTGGACGTGTAAACTTCACAGTTGTTCTTGTAGACATCAATATGCATATGAACAGTGTACCATGGTTACACGCCGTTTCGCTCCTATGTTATACCCTGTCGAGTTTGATATTCTGACCCAGAAACCTCTCAACAACTTAGTTCATCCGTATATATGAATTTCACTCATCCTCCTGTGCTAATTGTAAGTAACTTGCATCCGATGAAAGTTACCAGATCAGCTGAATCTCTCTTTCTTAGGTAGGGGCCGGGCCAGTGGGCCTGGTAGCAGCGTTGACACTCCTCCAGAATGGCATCCCAGTTCGCATCATCGAGAAAGACCATAAACCTCGCATGGGACAGCGTGGTACCGCATTCTGGGTTCGTCATCTTATGTATATCTACTTGTCATGCCACCTCCTGGTCTCATTGAACGCACGACTAGCCACGGTCCCTCGAACTCTTCAACTTCCTAAATGTCACAGAAGTTAACGATCTGGGGAAACCGGCCCCTCCTGTCCGTTCGTACAAGCCCGGGACGTTTGAGCCTCTGGAAGAGCCCCCAATGATCCCGAGTTTGGAACCTACCCCTTCGATACCATTCGTATGCAACGTTGTCGTTTGTTCTAGTCTTCATGTTGATTGTTGAGTTTTCCTCAGCACGTCCTCAAGATGATGGGTCAACAATTGCTAGATGTGGTTTTGAAGGGTCACCTAGAGAAGTTCTCTTGCCCTATCGAGATGGGCACAGAACTGTGCTCATTTGAGCAGTCCGACGAGGGCGTTACGACTGTTCTCACGAAGAACGGCATATTAGAGACGTTCAATGCCAAGTGGATGATCGGTGCTGATGGCGCTAAAGGTGAAGTGCGGTCAAATACAGCAGGATAACACTGAATTTGGATTGCAGGCGTCGTGCGCAAACAACTTGGGCTCACGTTTTTTGGGGAGACTAGAGAAGATACCCAGACTGTGACTGGAGATATCCGTTTAACGGGTGTTGGCCTCGGCAGAGAGGTGCGCGTCATTTTTCTAATTTTTGATGGAAAGCTGTCCTGATCCGGTCTCCAAGCATTGGCACCGGTTTGGAGACTTCAATGAACGAGGGTATGTTCAGATTCTGCATTTGAGGCTTAGAGATGTATATTGACGATGCGCAGCCTTGCATTGCGTCCAACAGACGAAATTGGCGAGGACGGCTGGCAATTTTTCCTCTTCTGCAGCAAACTAGACCTAAAGAATATCGTTGAGAACGAGGAGCTTGTCTTAGAGACTATCGCGTCGTTAATACCAACAGAGGTCACGTTCAACAAGCTGGTTTGGATGAGCGACTTCCGGTACGTTTTGTATTTCCGTACGCGTGGACGCGTTCACGGGTTCGCGTTAGGGTCAATATTCGGATGGTGAATAAGTTTAGCAAGGATCGGGTCTTTGTTGCGGGCGGTATGTGTTCTTTTTAGGCGTGTGTCGCTCTGCTGATAGAAGTCGTCGTAGATGCTGCTCAGTATGTCTATTATTGAACGCCTTCTTCGCAAACTGCTGCTAATACACTTTTTTTCAAGTGTCCACAGTCCAACGGGTGGTCAGGTATGGGTAGTCCGATCAGTGCCAATAATCACTCATTTCTTTGTGAACAGGGACTTAATGCAGGTGTACAAGATGCCGTGAGTCAGGTAGATCCAACATGTACGACACAGCTGACCGCACCCTCCACCAGTTTAATCTGGGATGGAAACTTGCGCTCGTCGAGAAAGGACTCGCAGACAAGTCTCTTCTCGAGACATATAGCGCCGAGCGTTTGCCTGTCATCTCTGAGATGCTCGATCTGACCACCTCGATCCTCAACACGGCAATCACGTCAGGACACCCGTCGATCCGACGAAACTCCATCCTTTTCATGCTTGGCATCAACTGCCGATTCAGCAATATCGTACTGGATGAATTTGTGCCTTCAGTCGAGGGGAAGCCTATTAGTGCCTACGGGGTGCTTGACGAGGGTCTGGAGGCTGGGGATAGGGCGCCTGATGCGCCCGATATGCTCCAGGTTGGGCACGAAAAGTCTGACGTGAAGACGCTTTTTGGTCTGTACAGACCCTGGTACCACACGATACTTGTGTTCGTACCGAGTCTCGCTGATGCTAGCCCGATCTTGGGTGCACTGGAGGCATGTGACAAAAGTGTCGTGCGATTGGCGGTCGTTCTACCATCATCAGCATCAGTGACATCCGTCGCATCTTCTGCTGACCTCGTTCTTATCGATACAGGGGGGCATGCTCATTCAGCTTATCTCGTGGCAGCTGGAAAGGCAAAGGTGTTTGTAATACGGCCGGATGGTGTGATTGGTGCGATCGTCCATGGTGCAGAAGGCGTGAAGAACTATTTCTCGAGAATATTCTTGTAGTGGTCTATTCTTTGCTTGCAAATGTTACAGTCACGGCTCGTCCACATGGCTGTGGTTTATCATCATGGCGTGTTGCGTTTGTCCCTGGGGTTTGTACTTATTATACTCATCATTCGGTCAGACCAGGAGTTGAAACTTGTAAACACCTTGGCTACGGCGAATGTCCATTACTGCCATTCAGCCTACTTGTTCAATTAAGCATATCTCATACTTATCGTGCAGTAGCACCAGGGCTGGCAGGTTATGTGTGCGCCCGAGCTTGGACATCCTTGGAATCGATCAAGATTACTGGCAGAGTTTCCGTGGCCGCCGTCCTTGGAAGGCAATTCTGGAGGGGCCTAAAAAGAATGTCGACAAGAAGTTGAAAAATCCATTACTGGGGGCTTCTGAACCCTGTCACAACGCTCTTCCCGTATCATGGCAACTTGCATGCAACAAGACATTTTCTAGTGCCGGCAGGTGTAGTAAGTGCACAAAATTTAACTCATCGACAAAGCACCCACTTATTACCAATCAGACAGACATGCTTCTGAGCATAAACAAGCCAAATATCCAGCGTCCAGACTACATGAGACCCACATAGCTAGAGCGCTATGCTACAGGAATTTGAGCAACATGGTCGTCGGACTTCGCATGTGGTTGAGTAATAAATCACGTGGTCGAAACGCGTCCATGATTCACGCCAAGGTGATAGTCACGTAAATATTCAATTGCGTTTACGGCTACATGCTCCAGAACACGGGCCAGCCAGTAGAACTGACGGTATGGCATCGGTTATTCGATCTGAAAAAAAAACATCGACAAAGACGGCGGAGCAGCCGGGTCGCATGCGATTGTCCTCAAATCGTATAAAAGGTGGACTGTAATGCGGTTCATTCCTCAGAACCTATCTCTTCTTTAACCAGCTCCTACTCAAGCTTCAAGCTTCTGCACACTCTTTCGCAAAAGTTCCTTAGCCGTTTCTAGCCAACACAATGCTCGCTCGTTTCTTCGCTGTTGCTTCCCTCGCGGCCCTCGCTGTCGCCACGAGTCCCCTCGCTCTCCGCGATGGCCAGTGCAACACCGGTAACATCCAGTGCTGTCAAAGTTCTACCACCGTGAGTGACGCATTCCTATTTATTTTCAACTGATCCTCATGGTTGTGTAGACTTCCAACTACAACGAGGCGGCAAGGTCTGTGGGCCTTGCAGAAATAGCCGCTGAGGTCGTCGGCAACGTTGGCCTTAACTGCAGCCCTATCACCGTCATCGGCGCTGGCAGTGGCGCCTCGTGCAACCAGCAACCCATGTGCTGCAGCGGCAACAAAATGGTGAGTTACAAAAGTCTTCTGTCTTGCTTGTGTCTCACAGTGGAATTTCAGAACGGCCTTGTCAACATTGGCTGCACTCCCATCAACATCTACCTTTAGGTTTCTGCAGGGTGTTGACCTTTCCTGTGTTGTTACATAGCTTTCCGTATAAATTTTATAGCTAGTAATACCCAGGCTATCCGATTTGCATCCAAATTAGCAGCGTGACTGAGTCTCATTAATGGGGTGTTTGAAGAGACGGGCTCAATAATTGGATCGTTGGTAGTACATGCGATTAGACAATTTTGTGAGTGTGCTGTGCTGGTCGATAATCGACGGCGAAGTTCATTTTTCGAGGGACGGACGACACTAATTCATCCCCTGAATGATGACGTCAATATATTCCGAATCTGCGGCGTTCATATACTGATACCGTACGCGACGCATAACACCGGGCGGGATTGTTGGTCAGGGTGGTGATAGATAATCGTCTTCCTTAGCGAAACCAATCGAACGAAGATAGTTGTTCCTTCATACACATAATCAATAAAGTGACGCACATTGTATTTGCTTGTATGCATTTGGAGTTGGGTTGGAGGACGAGGACAGTATGTTGGAGCGCGGCAGCTATATCAACTAATTAATTGTTTGCAGTTAGCGTTCGCAAAGCAAAATCATAAATCGATTCAGCCCCGCACATACTTATGGGGGCAGAGATGCACACAGGGCGGGCAACTCGGAGAATCACACGTCTCACAATGACATAGCCTCGGGTGCAGTGGACGACCACTCAAGTCTCCAAGCTTATCTTTATGGAAACAACCCACCCTCTCGAATATGAAGGAACGACAGCTATCTTCCTTGAACTGGGTCTAGCTAGGGAAGACCAACGCTCTAGAACGATATCGTTCGATCCTTGCAGTTGGTTTCCCTTGTTTCCCTTGCACGCAGTGGCTTGGTACAACCACCGAGGATCCCTACACTGAGAACCCAGTGACCGTTTAGAGGCTAGAGCCGAAGACCTGTCTGATACGAACACACCTAGCTCATTGTTGTTGCTCCCTTATGCTCCACGCGTAGAAGGGCAGTCTAGTCTGGCTGACTATCCACCGTTTGCAACTTTGTAATGTACTTTGGTTTCAGAATCATAAAATCGGAGGGGCCTTGCGATATCAATTGTAACGTAGGATATCGCTTGTGACTGATCCATCGAGCATGGAGGTTGCAAGGGTCGGTTGTTGGGGTTGGAACATATCATTCTCCGAATCTGTCAGTACTAGTACCGCGGGATCTATGGGACGAGGCTGTGGCTATGCCGAATTTCCAACTCCCTTGTTGATGCAATTGATGCGCCTCCGAGCACAGCTCGTATTAGAAGGTTCTGTGCGACTCTACTGGAACCCTGCTGAGGGCCAATCATCAAGACGATACATTTGCTTGACCTACTCACTGTAACTTGAACTTCAAGAAGGCACGTGCAAGTTTATTTATTCAGTTGCTCAGAACCAAAACTATACCACGCTCAAAGTTCGCCTGTCAACTAGACAAACGTTTAGTAGCACGGAAACCGATGGCAGTGCGTCTAGGCAGGCTGTCCGCTCATCATCATGATGGTATCTGGCGAGAGTTTTGCCATCAGATGGGATGTCACTTTTGTAAGTTACTCTCCTATCAACGCCAATATGTAACGATGACATCTGCAGTGCTGTTCGACTGCGTGCCCGTCTGATCGGCTTCTCCCCTATGTTATAAGGACCCGATTTCCCTCTATGCTGACCTCAATCCTCTGAATTCCACCTAACTCAATCCTCCTGCCAGTGTGCTACATATGAATTCTGTTCATCCTCCCGTGCTAGTCGTAAGTGACCTGCCTGCGATACATGCTCGCATCTCATCTGAATTCCTTCATAGGTAGGCGCTGGGCCAGCTGGTCTGGTAGCAGCATTGACCCTCCGCCAAAACGGTATCCCAGTTCGCATCATCGATAAGGAACCCAACCCTCGTATCGGACAGCGTGGTCCTGGAATATGGGTATGTTATCGTACATCTACTTGTCATATCCGTTATTGAACGCATGATCTAGCCACGCTCCCTCGAACTTTTCAATTTCCTGAACGTTCCAGAAGTCAATGATATGGGGAAACCAGTCCCTACCGTGCGTTTATACAAGCCCGGGACGTTGGAAACTCTGAAAGACTCTTTGATGGCCCCACTTATGGAACCTTCACCAGCCATACCATTCGTACGCAACACCGTCGTCTGATTAAACCTTCATGCTGACTGGTTTGTTTTTATAGCATTCCCCCAAAATGATGGGTCAACAGCTCCTAGATGTGATTCTGAGACGCCACCTAGAGAAGTTCTCGTGCTCTGTCGAGATGGGTACCGAACTGTGCTCGTTCGAGCAGTCCGATGAGGGCGTTACCGCTATTTTAACAAAGAACGGCGTGTCAGAAACTTTTGATACCAAGTGGATCATCGGCGCTGACGGCGCGAAAGGTGAGATGCAGTTGAAGGTACCAGGGTGAACGAGACTCATAATAGCTTCGCAGGTGTCGTGCGCAAGCAACTTGGGCTCACGTTTTTGGGGGAGACTAGAGACGAAGACCGCATTTTGACTGGAGATATCCGCTTACAGGCCGTTGGTCTCGATAGAGTGGTGCGTCTGTTTTCTACATTTTGGGTTGGAAAGTCGTCTTGATCCTGTCTCGAAGCATTGGCACAGGTTTGGAAGCTTAAACCGAGGGTATGTCCAGTTTCTGCACTTGAGACTTGGAGTTGTATATTGACGATGTGCAGCCTCTCATTGCGTCCAACGGACGAAGTTGGCGAGGATGGCTGGCAATTTATGCTCTTCGGCCGCGAACTAGACCTAACGAAGTTCGCTGAGAACGAGGAGCTTGTCTTCGAGACCATTGCGTCGTTATTACCAATAGAGGTCACGTTCAACAAACTGGTTTGGATGAGCGTCTTTCGGTGCGTTCTGTATTCCTGTACGTGTCGATGCATGTTCATGGGTTTGCGTCAGGCCCAATATCCGGATGGTGAACAAGTTCAGCGAGGGTCGGGTCTTTGTTGCGGGCGGTATGTGTTCTTTTTAGGCGTGTGTCGCTCTGCTGATGGAAGTCGTTGTAGATGCTGCTCAGTATGTCTATTTTTAACGCCTTCTTCGCAAACTGCTAACACACATTTTTCCCCAGTGTCCACAGTCCAACGGGCGCTCAGGTATGGCTAGTCCGATCGATGCTGACAATTACTCATTTCTCTATGAACAGGGACTCAATTCAGGTGTACAAGATGCTGTGAGTAGGTAGATCCAATATGTACGACACAGCTGACCGCACCCTCCACCAGTTCAATCTAGCATGGAAACTCGCGCTCGTCGCGAAAGGACTTGCCGACAAGTCCCTTCTCGAGACATACAGCGCCGAGCGTTTGCCTGTCATCTCTGAGATGCTCAATGTGACCACCACGATTCTCAACAAGGCAATCAAGTCGAATGACATATCGACCGGACGAAGCCCTGTCCTCTTCATGCTCGGCATCAACTGCCGATTCAGCAACATCGTCCTGGATGAATTTGTGCCTGCAGTCGAGGGGAAGCCTATCAATGCCTACGGGATTCTTGATGAGGCGCATCTGGAGGCTGGAGATAGGGCGCCTGATGCACCCAATATGCTCCTTGCAGGGCGCGGAGAATCTGACGTGAAGACGCTTTTTGGTCTGTACAGACCCTGGTACCACACAATTGTTGTGTTTGCGCCGACTCTCGCTGATGCTACCCCGATCTTGGGTGCACTGGAGGCATTTGACAACAGTGTCGTACAATCGGCAGTCGTTCTACCATCATCAGCATCAGTGACGCCGGTCGCATCTTCTGCTGACCTCGTTCTTGTTGACCAGGAGGGTCATGCTTATTCAGCTTACCTCGTGGAAGCTGACCAGACGAAGGTGTTTGTGATACGGCCGGATGGAGTGGTTGGAGCGGTCGTTCATGGTGCAGAAGGAGTGAAGAAATATTTCTCGAATATCTTTTTGGACGCATAGTTTTCTTACTTTTGTACAAGCACGACTCAGCCCTGTATATCGTAACCGAAATACAAGTTACAAGATCGAGCCACACACCGATGGAGGCCGTCTTCATACAGTCCAGCATTATGCCCTCCTTCAAGCCCTTGAATACATGCTCGTAAGTGTTATGCGACAACGTCGTCGACCACCCGCAGTGTGCTAATGACGCTCTTGAACCGGGAAAACTGCAGCCCGGCTGTGATGTGAATGACTTTATCGGACGTCTTTTCATCGCCCGGCACTTCCAGACTTCGTTCTCTGCGGTATTGCCAAAGGGGACGTGGGGGGATTGTATCTTATGGCGGAACGTAGATGTCTTAATGTGGGGCTGCCATCAGCAAAAAGCTCGGACTGCAGTTGCACCAAGGTACCATATATCCGAACATAGTTGGGGCCCATTGCACAACCAAGCTTCGGCCCGCTCTGCATAGCACTACTACCCTGTAGCCCTCCCACTTGCCAACCATAACAATGTACTCTTAGCCTCATTTTGTAGGCTCCGTAGAGTCGCATTGCGGGTCCCCTAAAAATGATTGTGCTTGCACGAAATTGGTGGCATTGTTGCTTGTGTTTCCGGGATCTGACATGAAGTTGGAAGTATGACCGAATTTGAGCCAAGCAGAAATTCAATAATTGACGAAAAACGGTACAGAACGTACATGAGCAGACAGTGCTTAAAGGATAAGTGTACGACATGCAGAACAGACCTCGTCAGTTAGACACTTATATCCAGAACGAAAGGGGCCTCTAAGGATGACGCTGAGTTACAAGGTGAAGATTTTCGACCAGCGTCGCTAATCGATTCAACCTGGATAAACAAGTTGGAGCAACAGGTTGCTATTATGTAATAAGGGCGCGCGTCTTAGACGCAACCTTTACATCGCTCTGGGACACGCAGAGGTAAGTCACGTTACGTCTGCGCAGCCACGGCCAAACACGTACCCCGAAAACGCCGTGCCAACGGCATTCGACAAGTTCGACAACCGTCGAACTTTTCAGCGCGAAGAGAATGAGAAAGGGTGGGGAAAGGTGAGTGTTCAACCGTGTCGTTCGAATGCGCGCGCTGAGGCGTCAAACAGCCGTTCCTTTCTGACGCCGTTCAGTGGGCTCTCCCTTCTCTCACTGCAAGAAGGACATGCCGCTGCTCCCGAAGCTTCGTAAGTCTGTTCCGTGCTTGTTTCGTTATTGACTTACGTTGTCCTCCAGTCCCACATCTCGGTGCTTTCCGCGTGTCCCATGCTAAGCCCAGCGGTTTGCTGCTTCATGGGACACGCATTTTTTGGCTGGAGCCTCCCTTTGCTGCGTGTCCCAGGCAAGAGTCGATTTTTTCGCGTTCATGGGACACGCACCTCTCGCTTATGGTACGTGGTACGTCTTTTTTTCATGCTTTTAAAATAGATCGTTTCATAACATGCTTACAGCAGCTTCAGAAGGAGCAAGCGACGCTCCGCATGTTGCTTCCTGTCCTCTCACCACTGACGACGCTGACGATGTGCACCCCGTGCACCCTCGCCTGCTCTTGCACCAGGCAAGTTGCACCACCATTTCGAGCTTTTGCAGCCGTGGATGTCGACAACAAGTTCCGCGCATTGTGTTTCGCGTCATCGAGAGGTTCGTATTTTCTGTCGACTCTATCTGCAGTATTGCTGATCAGTCTCCATAGTATACCACCCTTCACACATTTTCAACCTCTTGGAGCCCATTCGAGTTGCCTCCCTGTCAACCCATGACCATGAGTCACCTCGCCTCTCTCCGACACACCTGTCACTCACCTTCTGTACCCCCTAGTTGCCTCGTCTGCCCGTCAGTTGCCTTGCCCACCCATCAGTTGCCTCGTCTGCCCTTCTCAGTTGCCTCGTCCGCCCGTCAGTTGCCTTCCTGTGCCCTCCGGCACCTGTGGCACCCTCTACTTGCTTTCTGGTGCCCTCGAAGCACCTCCACTTTGTGTATCTTTTTGTATTGTTGACCTTACACGTTTTTACTCTCCGTAGGCTCTATTCTTCGCGTCGTTTACTCGCGCCGTCGTTTTTTCGAATCAGCGGAGGTGGCTTATGTAATGTATTTGTTTTGGCCCCCTCTTATCGGTCTGCGATGTGATCAGCTACCACCACCATGTCCGAGCCCACCATGCAGCCTGTACCACCCCTGCACAATGTCAACGAGGAAGCTGTGATCGAAAAACAGGTCTTTGCCCCACGCCGCAAGCTGTTGGTAAACAGTTCCGAGCTGACTCGAACATAGGTTTCAGATGAGATGCTCCACCTTGAGCTGGAGGAGGCTTCCGAGGCTGAAGCCAAGCTCGACATTCTCTTAACCGAGTGTCTTGAGGATTTTCCAGATGATGATCAGTCTGAGATAGCCCAGTATGCTGCTAACATTGCACGGAACAGCATCACAGATCAAACACGAACGAAGCACCTGAGGTACGTGGTATCCACCCAGCTTTGCTCCGAGTGATGCTGACTGCTAGGCCAGGATCATCAAAGCATATATCACGTTTCATATGAGACGAACACCCGACTGGGACCCCAAAGCAGTGACGAGGAACACGCCATATGATGTCCGGCTGTTCATCACTCAGAAGTGTGGACCGAAGGCCGATGGCTACGAAGGACGTAAGGTCAGTAGCAGCCCTTGTGTCAGTATCCTTACGTGGCTGGTGGTGAGCTCATCCACCCATCTGGTGCAGTTCTCCACTGCAATTTCAACTCGAGCAGCCCTCACACTGTGGTATCGCTCTGTCCGGCCATCAGAGAGTGTTGCCGAGTGGCGAGTCCATGACACCACAGGGCAGTGGTGAGGCCTGGGATCTCCCTTTGCTCACTGTCCACTGTTTGACTGGCTGAACCAGTGCTGGCCTTCCAACGAGATCTCGTGCTGTGTCCGAGTTTATGATTGGTCTCGAAAAGACAAAGGCAAGGCAGGGGGAGGTCTCTCAGTCAGCACGGGCCCTTTTGCTGGATGATGTGTACCGCCTCCATGACTACTGCATGATGCGCCATGGCCTTAATGATGCAGATCGACGACGTGGCATTGTCCGATATGTATGTCTATGTCTTGCTTTCTGGTTGGGATGCCACTAATGCACAAGCCAGACAGTCTTTCTCTTTGCGTGGCTCCTTGTGCTTCGAGTCGAGGAAGCGTTGAGCCTCACATTCGAGAGCATTGATGCCCTCCCCAATGAGAGTATGATTTTTTTCTCTCTGACAAACAAGTGAGGGACACTGACAACCTCTCTCCAGGAGCGTACTTTGATGTTGACCTTGGTACTCGTAAAAATGCACAGACAGGTGTCTCCCAGCGGATGCGTCTCTGTGCGAATGATGAAGACCCAAGGATATGCCCAAAGCGGGCCTTGATCAGACTTGCAGCTCTGTATGGAGAAAATCACGACTGCACTGGACCCTTATTTCTGATGATCAACAAGAATGGTGCAGTGACCACTCAACCACTGGTGAGCAGAGCAGCCCCCCCTCCCCCCAGCCAAACACACTGAGGGACTTCTTCACCAGTCTTCCACTACCATTAGCCGAGCGCTTGCAAGAGACCTACAGGGCCTTGGATACAAGTCATGGGCATTGTATGGGACACACTCCTTCCGTCGAGGGGGATGTCAACACCGCCTTCGAGATCAGGGTTGGTCCCCTGGCATGGTTGCTGCATGGGGTGGCTGGTCACAGGTTGAGGCAGTCACCATGTTCAGGTATTTCTACTCTCCGAACGACAATCATGAGCACATGATTGATTTCGACCGCAATGATGGAAAGCGGCTACACCAGGGATCAATGGGTCTATTAGTAGGATAGATAATAAATGCAATTGTAGTGTATGTGTAAATAACACAGGGTCCTCAGTACCTCTCCTTTCCAATTGCCCTCCATATCTCCCATCGATTCATGCCCGACCACGTTGCTTCCCACTTTTCGCTGGAGAAGCTGCCCTCGTCACTGTACTCGTCACTGGCCATGACCTCAGCAAGGTTCTTATCCCTCCGACTGACAGCCTCGTCAACTTTCCGCAAGGGCCGCAGCTGCTCGACAGGTGCACTGCGTTTAGCCTTCTGCCTCAAGGACTTACCATTTACCTCTGATGTTACTGGGATTGTGAAAAAGGAAAAAAAGCGATCCTTGTCACCACAGAACTCATCCTGAAGCTGCGCATACAGCCTCTCTCGACGGCAAACAGTACACTTGATGGTCTGCCAGAGTGAGATGGCTGCACGCCCTGGGCACGGTCCATAGAGCTGCCGGATGCGAGCGACATCTCCAGCTTCTACCTGTGCAATGACATCACGCAGCGAAGCTGCGTGGTTGAGCACTGCAATGTCAGCTTTGCAAGCTGACAACAGCACTGCTTCCTGAGACGGGACAGGTGCAGACGTGGTTGGTGGAGTCCTGGTGGTGGCAGGTGATGACATGGCGAGGGGGGAAGCCTCTGCTGGCAGGCACGAGGCTGGTTGATGGCGGCTGGCAGATGGCGGGAGTCCCACGGCAGGTTGCACATCTGGCAGTGACGGCAGGCTCAAGAGGGACGGAGACAGATCGAGTGCAGGGAGTGGCGGCTGTGGTGGTGTAGAGGAGCCGCAAGATATTCCCTGCGAGATTTGCACCGTCAGAAATAATTATAAAAAAATAATGAAGCAATCGACTTACGAGGCGGATGATGGGATCCGCACGTGCTTGCACAACTGCGCGAAATCGAAGCAGTGTGACGAAGGCATCACAGTCCCCCGATCGCGCAAGGTGCGACAGTGCGTAGACACTGTCGTTCGTGACAGCAGGCAGCGGAGGAGACGTGGGAAGGGGATTCGGCAGTGCGAAGCTGATCTGGGTGGGGATAGAGGTGATCGCAAGCTCGAGGAGCCGCACATCAAGTGATTCTGTTGTGTTTGATGAACGTGCGTCAGTTGTTCAGGTGAGCCAGGACCACAAAAGACTCACCGGCAGACGTCGAGCAGAGCAGAAACGGTTGGCTCGTGACCACGCATCCCATCCACTCGTTCCAGAGCTCACGCAGGTAGGCGAACTGCCGTTTCTGCACGTCGTGTCCGCGGGTGATGGGTCCCGCAGGTTTCTCGGGGGTGGCTGCAAGGTCGAGGCCGTAGTACTCGGCGAGCTTCGTTCTGAGGGCCTCGACAGTGCCGGTCTTCGTCAAGGACTTCTTCCCCGCAGCTCGATTGGCCTCGTCGATCCAAAACTTCAGCTGAATGCCCTTGGCGGCATTCAGCGCTGGCACGGTGACGTCGGGTGGTGGAGTGGCTGTAGCGCTCGGCATCAGTAACGTGCGGGCGCTATAGGGAACGAACGGCTGGGTGCACACAAGGATAGTGTTAGCGAGAGAAGTAGAATAGAAAGAAGTGGCGCTGGCGCACCTTCCGTGTGATCTGCGTGATCCCAAAACTGCGGAATGTTGTCGAACGGATCCGTCAAACGCGTCCCGTCAAAGATCTGTCTGGGGTTACAAGTGAGTTTTCAGCAAATTGAGAGAACTCGGAACTCACCAACACGTGAAGCTGTGGGCCAGTGGCTGGTTGCAAAATCTACAAGTACTTAGTACTTACGAACACTGCGAACGAAGACGAACGACGGAACGGACGCACCGAGAACGACCCCTCCGAACGTCCGCGTTCGTCCCATCTACTCCTTTTCACCCATTTTCCGTCCTCCAAAGCTCGCCTTCCTATTTGGGTGGATGAGCGCGGGGTCTTTTCGTCACGTGCCATACTGGCGTGTCCCGGGATACGCGCTGACCAATATTCCCCCTTCGTACCCCCGTGTCCCACGACAGGAAAGCGATATTATTACGACAGAATATTAATAGCCTCCGATTTCAACGAGCTGTGGGTCTGTGGCTATTCCAATGATTCCATCACCACTTAGTCGATGGACTACTTCGAGAGGTTCAGTATGACTCTACCGGAACCCTGCTACCTGACTCAGAGGGCCAATCATGAAGACCGTATATTTCCCCGACATACTCATTGTAACTTTAAGAAGGCACCATGACGTGCAAGTTTATTCGATTACTCAGAACCATACCACGCTCAGAGTTTCCTTGCCAGCCAGACAAACGTCCATTAGCACGGAATCCGATGGGAGTACGTCTAAGCGGGCCGTTCACTCAGCATCATGAAGTATCTAGTGAGCATTTTGACAAATCATTATGTCACCTTTGTAAGTAACTTACGGATCAAAATCAATACGCACTGATTAACCACGCCACGCTCAAAGCACACTTGTCAGCTAGACAAACGTTTAGTAGCACGGAAACCGATGGCAGTGCGTCTAGGAAGGCTGTCCACTCATCATCATGATCTGGTGAGAGTTTTGACATCAGATGGAATGTCACTTTGTAAGTTACTTTCCGATCAACGCCAATACGCAGTCGGCCGGCACTGCAGATGTCATCGTTACATGCCCGTCTGTTCGGCTTCTCCCCTATGTTATAAGGACCCGATTTCCCTCTATGCTGACCTCATTCCACCTAACACAATCCTCCTGCCAGTGTGCTACATATGAATTCTGTTCATCCTCCCGTGCTAGTCGTAAGTGACCTGCCTGCGATACATGCTCGCATCTCATCTGAATTCCTTCATAGGTAGGCGCTGGGCCAGCTGGTCTGGTAGCAGCATTGACCCTCCGCCAAAACGGTATCCCAGTTCGTATCATCGATAAAGACCCCAACCCTCGCATCGGACAGCGTGGTCCTGGAATATCGGTAAGTTATCGTGCATTTACTTGTCACATTCGAGTCATCCAGTTGTCTTATCGAACATATGATCTAGCCACGCTCCCTCGAACTCTTCAACTTCCTGAACGTTCCAGAAGTCAATGATATGGGAAAAACACCCCCTCCCATCCGTTCATACAAGCCTGGGACGTTGGAAACTCTGAAAGACTCTTTAATGCTCCCTCATATGGAGCCTACTCCAGCCATACCATTCGTGCGTAGCACCGTCGTCTGATCAAACCTTCCTGCTGACTGGTTTTTTTTTAGTATACCCCAAAAATGATGGGTCAACAGTTCCTAGATGTGGTTCTGAGAGGTCACCTAGAGAAGTTCGTGTGCTCTGTCGAGATGGGCACTGAACTGTGCTCGTTCGAGCAGTCCGATGAGTGCGTTACCGCTGTTTTAGCAAAGAACGGCATATCAGAAACTTTTGATACCAAGTGGATCATCGGCGCCGACGGCGCAAAAGGTGAGATGCAGTTGAAGGTACCAGGGTGAACGAGACTCATAAGGTGGTTTCGCAGGTGTTGTGCGCAAGCAACTTGGGCTCACGTTTTTGGGGGAGACTAGAGATGACACCCGCATTGTGACTGGAGATATCCGCTTGAAGGGCGCTGGTCTCGATAGAGTGGTGCGTCCATTTTCTACATTTTGGATTGGAAAGTTGTCTTGATCTTGTCTCGAAGCATTGGCACAGGTTTGGAGACTTCAATGAACGAGGGTATGTCCAGTTTCTGCACTTGAGGCTTGGAGATGCATACTGACGATGTGCAGCCTCTCATTACGCCCAACAGACGAAATTGGCGAGGACGGCTGGCAATTTTTCCTCTTCGGCCGCGAACTAGACCTAGCGAAAATCGCTGAGAGCGAGGAGCTTGTTTTCGAGACCATCGCGTCGTTAATACCAACGGAGATCACGTTCAACAAGGTGGTTTGGATGAGCGACTTCCGGTGCGTTATGTATTTCTGTACGTGTCGATGCGCGTTCATGGGTTTGCGTTAGGGCCAATATCCGGATGGTGAATAAGTTTAGCGAGGGTCGGGTCTTTGTTGCGGGCGGTGTGTGTTCTTTTTAGGCGTGTGTCGCTCTGCTGATAGAAGTCGTTGTAGATGCTGCTCAGTATGTCTGTTTTTGAACATATTCTTCGCAAACTGCTGCTAACACACTTCTGTTTCAAGTGTCCACAGTCCAACGGGTGGTCAGGTATGGCTAGTCCGATCGATGCTGACAATTACTCATTTCTCTGATAACAGGGACTCAATTCAGGTGTACAAGATGCTGTGAGTGAATAGATCTAACATGTACGACACAGCTGATCGCGCCCTCGACCAGTTCAATCTAGGATGGAAACTTGCGCTCGTCGAGAAAGGACTCGCCGACAAGTCCCTTCTCGAGACATACAGCGCCGAGCGTTTACCTGTCATCTCTGAGATGCTCAATGTGACCACCGCGATCCTCAATAAAGCAATCACGTCGGGAGACGTATCAACCGGCCGAGGCCCCATCCTTTTCATGCTCGGCATCAACTGCCGATTCAGCAACATCGTACTGGATGAATTTGTGCCTGCAGTCGAGGGGAAGCCTATCAATGCTTACGGGGTTCTTGATGAGGCGCATCTGGAGGCTGGAGATAGGGCGCCTGATGCACCCAATATGCTCCAGGTGGGGCGCGGAGAGTCTGACGTGAAGACGCTTTTTGGTCTGTACAGACCCTGGTACCACACAATTGTTGTGTTCGCGCCAAGTCTCGCTGATGCTACCCCAATCTTGGGCGCACTGGATGCATGCGACAAGAGTGTCGTACGATCGGCAGTCGTTCTGCCTTCATCGGCTTCAGTGACTCCCGTCGCATCTCCTGCTGACCTCGTTCTTGTTGACCAGGAGGGTCATGCTTATTCGGCTTACCTCGTGGAAGCTGACCAGACGAAGGTGTTTGTGATACGGCCGGATGGAGTAGTTGGGGCGATCGTCCATGGTGCAGAGGGCGTGAAGAAGTATTTCTCAAATATATTTTTGGACGCGTAGTGATTTGAATATGCATTCCTTACTTTACGAGCACAACCAGCCCTGTATACCTCACTCAACCTAGTGTATCACCATTTGTAACTGAAATACAACATAGAATTTCATACAGTCCATTATTATGCCCTCCTTCAAACCGTTAAACACATTCTCGTACGAAGTATCGACGATGTGTTTTGCGACAGCGTCTGAATCTTCGACCATCTATGGCGTGCCAATGACGTCTTGAACCCCGAAAAATTGCCCGGCTGCGAGGTGGATGACTTCGTCATATGTCTTCTCATCCCCGACAGCGGTAAGGTGTTCTCCATGATGTCGAGGAGCGTGAGAAGATCATCTCCAATGGCGGGACGTGGATATTTGCCAAAATGGTGGGGCTGCTCGCGGTCATGTTTGCCATGACAAGCTAGGTGCGCCCAGGTGTTGCGTTGCAAAGCTTCAAGCTTCAAGTGCACTTGCTGAGTCTTGCTCGCGTAGCTGCATCTCTAGGAATAGTTGTGGGGTGGCAGCCAGTGGACGGTCCGGAGCGAGCCTGCAGACCAATTCAAGTCCGACGAATCTGAGGTCGAAAGACCTTCCAACGCTATTAGCCAAAAACACTGATAAATCTTTTTCTCTAATTTGTCCAGGGAGGATGCCTGGATATATCAACTGGCTATGGACTAGATGATGCGTCAGAGTTTTTTGTTTGTTCACCCGCCGGTTCCGGGATAAACTTATCCTTCCTCCATAACTATCAGGTCACCCATCGACTTCAAAATGAGGTGGTTTGCTCGTAGGTGTATCGCACCGGAAATAACTTACCTGGCGACCTGGCTCTACTAGTCAACTTTACCGACTACATTCACAGCTCTAAAACCCTCACCACAACACCCCCAGTCCGCTCTGAGCTGCATACGTCGTGTGCGTTTATCTCTCTCAGCTAAATGGTATTGCACTCGCTTGAATTCATATCCTCGTCTTCCACAAAGATGCATAACTACATGGTGCGGGCACCAGACCACACCAACGAAGGTACCCTTGCGCGTCGCATGACCGTTCAACCCAAGCACGTACTAGTAGCTATCACGCTAGAAGTCAGTCAGTCTTCCATCAAGCATTTACACTATCAATTCTCGTCTCACGAACATTCGAAATTTCAGAAGTAGCTGGTGGTCTCTTGAAGCCCGAATCCCAAGACGCAGAGCCACAGGATAGAAAGTTTGCAGGGTCCGCGCTGATCAATGAAGCAGAGAGCTCGAAGGATGTGAGGGGGATTGTGAAGGCTGATCTGTATTGGAGGGAAGGCGTTGTAGGTGGTGCTATTTCATTTGTTTTTGTTTTGGACACGCTGATCGTCTTTTGGGAAGTGGGACAAGGAGAAATTAGTCATTCTTCCAATTGTGATGGCATCTATCCTTCAGGAGCGAGCTGGTATTACTCAACCAACGAAAGACGAAGCCTAACGAGTAAACGAGTAATTCGTTGTGAGATATCATATTTCATTTGACTGCCCACGTCATCATGATATTCATTGAAGAGTAAGCACTTTGGCGCGCGCGGTAATTTCCGAAGCTTTCAAGGTTTCGGTAGCCAGGTCCTTTAGATCACGACACTAGATCAAATGCACGCATGCATAGTAAGTACTTACCAATGTACGTTGGCTGCTAATCTGAATCAGTATTTTCCACTCACAGTATCTACATTGTACGCAAGTGTCAAGAAGGGACGGGCGGAAGGCTCGTTGCCAATGCGATCGGGAGAATAACAAGTTTCTCTTTATCCCACTGCACACTCCCAGTTAGCGTCACAGTATCAATGTCCATCATAGCAGCCAAGACACATACCACATCACCCTTGTAAAACATATCCTCTTCTACGAGCTTGCGCACGACATCAATGTTCTCCCCTTCAAATATCAAGCATGACCCAACAAACTTCTTATCTTCTGCAGTTGCGTGGATGGATTCGAGCGTCGTGCAGCCTCCCGCGACCCCTGTCCAAATTCAATGCGCCGTCATGGTGCTTTAGCGTGCGTCTTGGGATATTAAAATATGGTTTATGGAGAACTCACGTAAGATGCCTTGACTGATGAGTTTCAAGGCCTTCTCGCGGTGGGAAGGTCTCAATGCTTGTCGCCGTTGGAGGACACCCTCGTCGGTGTAGTCAGGTGCCCATACGACGAATTTTGGTAGGTCTGGTGGTGAGGACATGTTTCTCTGATCGATGTAGATGCTTCGCTGGTGGGGTAATAGGCGAGAGCTTGAGAACTCGTATCATTCCATGGTCGGTGGCGTATTATACGAGATCTGTCCTCCTGCTTCAGGCCATCTGAGTCGGTCTAGTACCGCTGCGCGTTGATCGCGTCATACTGAAAATAACTTGCACAGGAATCTGACTGACTACGTCGACAGCTTTAAACCCCACTGTGACAATCATGCTCCCACAGTCCATGGCGGATCGTGTCGTTTTGGAGCCTCACCATCCTAAGCCTTTCAAAAGGTCGATACTTTTAATCCATATAATTTTCATTGTCTCATCGATATCGAAGGTACCATCATCTGATGCCGCACCACATCTATCAGTGACTATCCTGGGAGTTTCTTCCGTACGCAGTGACTATGGTCAGATCTCCTGACATTCACGAATGTCATAATTGGGGTCTTAAAGCTTTTTAGCAAGCATCGCATCAGATTCAAAGTTCATGTCATCATAGATAAGGGGTAGCCTTGTCCAGCTCTCCCAGTTCGTATGTCCCGCCAAATATCTGTGTGGTGACAGCGCTGAGATAAAAACCTGTGCGTGCTTAGATACTCGAGTGAAGTGTCCGTTCTTTACATACTAGAACTGAGTGTTTGTACCCGTAGATGAGAAAGACACGGAACCACCAAAAAACGAGCACGTATTACGCCTCGGGTTTGGGAGCAATAGTATCGACCTGATATAAGGCAGTACGTTACACGAGGGAATGATGAGAATAATGGTAAGACACACCTTTGCAAGTTTTTGCCCTTCAGATAAAACAACGAGGCAAGACCGCAGACCCTTCAAACACCAATGCATTTCGAGCCAGGAAAGGAGATGACGATTCCAGAAAGCCTGAAATATATGATTGAGTTTGTCATCCCATGGATTCGGAGCTTGCGAAAGATGAACGGCCCAATTTTGACAGGCGTACTTGAGAGCGTCGGAAGCTGATCGACATCGTTGCTTTGCTTCGTTTGCGAAAGTGGTAAAGTGATCAATAGCATGGATGATCTCTCTGTCGGGTAGGAAAAAATCTTCTGGTGATGTAGAGGTGGAATGGTCCTGCTGCGTCAATGCCAGGAATGTTGGAAACATCAAGAAATCCGGCAGGCTCTTGAACTGCTGGACCACTCGGAAAGCTGGCAGTAAGTGGAATTCTCTGGCAATCGTATATTTGCTGATTGCTTCAAACATGCTCAAGAATTCTTCCATTGTCACCCAGACGGATGCAGCAGGAGTGGACTGCCATGCTGTGCCATGGGGCGTTTGCAGCCAATCTCGCCCGAGTGGAGTCTGCAGCCACTCTCGCCCACCCAAGGTCTGCAGCCACTCTCGCCCGCGCGAGGTCTGCAACCAACCTCGCCCACCCTGGGTCCGCAGCCACTCTCGTCCGCCCTGGGTCTGCAGCCAGTCGTGCCCAGATGGGGTCTGCAGCCAGTTTCGCCTGCCAAAGGTCTGCAGCCAGTCTCTCCCGCGAATGGTCTGCAGCCAATCTCTTCCTCCGCGGTTCTGCAGCCACTCTCTCCCTCCCTGAATCTGGAGCCACTCTCGCCCGTGTATAGTCTCCAGCCAGTCTTTCCCACCTGGAGTCTCCAGCCAGTCTTGCCGTCCAAGGGTCTCCAGCCAGTATTGCCCTCCCTGGGTCTCTAGCCACTCTCGCCCACTCTGGATCTGCAGCCAGTCTTGTCCTCCCTGGGTCTGCAGCCAGCCGTGCCCGGATGGGGTATGCAGCCAGTCTTTCCCGCGCGGGGTCTGCAGCCAATCTCGCCCTCTCTGGGTCTGCAGCCAATCTCGCCCTCCCTGTGTCTGCAGCCACTCTCGTCCTCCCTGGGTCCGCAGCCACTCTCGTCCTCCTAGAGTCTGCAGCAAGGCTTGCCCTCCCTGGGTCTGCAGCCACTCTCGTCCTATGTGGGTCTGCAGCCAATCTTGCCCTTCGTGGGTCTGCAGCCAGTGCCCGTGTGTGGCCCGCAGCCAATCTTTCCCACCCATGGTCTGCAGCCAGTCTTGCCCGTGCGTGGTCTGTAGCCAGTCTCTCCCTCCCGGTTTCTGCAGCCAGTCTCGCATACTTGGTTTCTGCAACCAATCTCGCCCTCCCTGGGTCTGCAGCCAGGCTCTCCCGCCCTTAGTCTGCAGCCAGTCTCTCCCTCCCTCGTCATGTAGCCAGTCTCGTCCGTCCTGCGTTTGCACCCAGTCTCGGCCCGCTGGGCCCCGCAGCCACACCCGCCCTACCTGAGTCTGAAGCCAGTCTTGCCCTCCCTGGGTTTGCAGCCACTCTCGCCCACCTGCAGTCCACAGCCAGTCATTCCACTCTCGCCCACTCAAGGTGTGAAGCCAGTCTTGCCCTCCCTGGGCCTGCAGCCAGTCTTGCCCTCCGTGGGTCTGCAGCCACTCTCGCCCACCCGAAGTCAACAACCAATTTTTCCCTCCCTGAGTTTGAAGCCAGTCTTTCCCTTCGTGTGTTCCTAGTATGGAGTTCTGGCGTGTGGCATGCAGCCAGTCTTGCCCATGTGTGGTACGAGACGAGTCTCTCCTATCCTGGGTCTGAAGCCAGTGTTGCCCTCCCTGTGTCTCTAGCCAGACTCGCCCTCCCTGAGTCTCTAGCCAGACTCGCCCTCCCTGAGTCTTCAGCCAAGGTCGCATGGCCGGGGTCTGCAGCCAGTCTCGTCCTTCCTGGGTCCGCGGCCGGTACAGAGTCCACAGCCAGTCTTTTCCAGGTGGGGTCCGCAGCCAGTCTTGCCCATGCATGGTCTGCAGCCAAGTTCGCCCTCCATGTGTCTGCAGCCAGTCTTGCCCTCCCTGGGCTTCCAACCACTCTCGCCCTCCCCGAGTCTGTAGCCAGTCTTGCCCTCCCTGTGTTTGCAGCCAGGCTTGCCCACGCGAGGTCTGCAGCCAGCCATTATCTCCTCCTTGGCTGTCCAACCAGGCGTGCCCTTGCAAGGTCTGCGGCCAGTCATCCCCGCCCTGGGTTTGCAGCCAGGCACACCCATCCGTGGTCTCAAGCCAGTATTGTAAATCCGAACCGCGATCTCCCCGGAGCCACAACAGACTGATAATAACTGGGCGTGGTTCCAGCAGTTGAACGAGGAAGGCCAACGAGCCTTTTAATTTATGGGGGTCTTCGAGTTCCATAGCGTGGCTCTGCCTCTTCAATTCTGAAAGAACATCTAAGAGGGCTGTGTTGCGTGGAATCTCCTTCATCATCAAGTGGAAAGAGGAGTATGCGAGTAGGGAGTGAGGCGATGGTATATTGTGCACTTCAGGGAGGCTGCAGTTTGAGGGGTCGGCAACATAGTCACGAACGGATGTGTGATAGATATCCACGGGGAGAGTGCTGTCTGTAGGAATGTTCACGACAGATCGTAGTTGCATTAGTACCGTCTCGATATCGCTGCCCAAGCCAGAGCCAAGAAGTTGGGAGAGTTGGGAGATCGGGAGAGGGTCTGCGAGGGCGGCAACAATGGACAAGTGCAGGTATGCCCGCTTTGGGTCAGCGCACGTAGAGAGGATACAGTCGTATAACTTGTACACCTCAGTTCCTGGTAGAAGCTCACACGTTAGCTCCAGCATCAGCTGCAGCCGATCGTGGGGATCATTGTCGGTATCATCTATAAACTTCATCATCGTGGACGCAACGAGGAAACGTCTGCCGGCTCGGATCGCAAGCCGCCCAAGTTGATCCCTTGATGGCTGTGGGAATCCTGGATGGCGAATTCCTAGCTTTCTAAAAGAATGCTGCAAGAAGATATAAATGTCATTATCGACATCTGCGCCATCTAACGAGATGATGGCAGCAACGGCCTCCCCAGACGTTTTCACTGGTATCTCGCACACTAATGGGCGCACCTCTTCATGCATCATGGTGCTACAAATGTGCGATTCCGAGCGACTAGTGAACAGAATGTGGGTCACAGGAAGATTAGGTTCACGAAGAGCCTGCGCAAGGGCAAGAATGAGATCGGTTATCTCCGGTTCTGATGTGCATTCATCAAGGGCATCGACAACAAATGTCAAAGGCTGACACTTGCGCAATCTCAAGTGAAGCCTCCGGAGAGGTTGGAGAAAGAGAGCCTCCATCTGGTCGCAGAGAGGTTTGTCGGGGTCCAGAAGAGCGGGATTGTCGCGGATAGCTTTGTTCACGTCCTCCCGGATGCTGGGGAAATTGCTAGCAAGCTGATAGACAAGCGTTGCAAAAAAATAGCCAGCCGTGCAACGTTTCGTGTGCTTGCGCGAGAAAAAGAATGTACCGGCGAGCCGTTTTTCGACATTGGTGTCCTCTGTTACTTTTAGACCCCTCATCCTTTCAGCTACAGTGAACGCGACGGCAGACTTTCCGACGCCCGCCGTTCCATGCAGCCAAACGATTCGATTCTTCTCTCGGTCATCTAGAAATGCGTGTATGTGGTTGAGGAGATCCACTCGGGTCCCTTCCAAACATTTCGGGTGGGGCTGACGTTCACGGGAGTTAAATTCAGCACCTTTGACAGCTACCTGGGACAGCCTCGCCCAAATTCCTTCAAACGATGGAAGAACTGCTAATGAGGTCAGAACGGGAGATCGCGATAAGAGATAGAAATACTGACATTGATCCTGACTCATTTACGACCGTAGTAACAAAAAATGCGATGGAATGGGATAACTCAGGGAAGTACTATCTAGGTTCTTCGAGGATGCGGTCAGAAATACATCTGGATGATTATTATCTCGAAGGACGACGTACGATGGGGTTATTGACTCCAGAGTCAAGGCTTAGGTCGCGTGATGGAGAGTGCGAAACGTGATTTGGGATTGATGGATATCAATGTTTCAACCTATTGTGGTATGGATAGCTGCTGGATGGCGGTTGAAACTTAAGAACGAACTTCGTGGGCGCTTATTTGACAAGAGCTTGCTGTGAAATGCCGAACTCGTTGCTAGCCCAGCCAAACAGAAGCATGGCTCCAGACATAGAAATCCCAAAAGCACTTCATTTCAGTTTCAGTACTTACGCCAGTCCCTTACCCGTGGCTGATCATGAGGACGAGTGAGGATGTCGGAAATTGCCTAGTGAAGTTGTTTGAACCGTCCTGGGCGCTTGTAGTTGCCTAGTTGGCAACAACTAACAAAATCAAATATCCCCTGTACCGCGTCAACCAGAAGCCACGAGGAGGTTACGACTCAATTTATACAAACATTCAAACCAAGCACATCAATTTAAGTACGCGGGCGAGACAATTTAAAGGATATGGTGCGATAAACAAGGTGTCGGATAAGAAAGGAGATAGGGAAAGAAAAGATATCAGGCGTAAAAAGTGACGATGACGGACGACCGTCAACAAGGGTGATAGAAAACAGATAGCAGGACCAGAATAATGATGAGCAGGAGGTTCGCTACCGAGAGAACGAGCGACAGGTGGTAGACAGCGGTGATCGAGTAACGTTCTGGGAGTGTGAGTGCTGAGTGAGTATCAGTATGAGCACGAAATAAGTAAATAAAATGATGGAAGACAAAACGAGAAAAAACCATAACCCCGTAACCAATTCGTTTGCGATTGAATAACAGCAGCAAGCCAAGACAGCAGTGAATCATGGCAACATGTGAATCCCATGAGTGGAAGGTGTGGATAGCATATACAGTTCGATCGCCCGAGTTGCATGCACTGAACCGCTCCCCACCATGCCCTACGCTATTCACAGGATTCAGCCGGAGGTAACACACACGAACTCATGTCACCCTTGCGAAGCAGAGATCAACGAAATTCTGCTCTTTGCTGGGTACAGCACCCCAGGTTGAGTGTATGACCTCGATACCGTGTAAAACAAAAGTCTCGTGTGATGTAATTTCCTGCGATAGATGCGTTAGTCGAAGTGCTGGACAAAGACTCAATGAATGGAGTCCCAACCTGAATTACAAGCTCCAATGACGAGCGCTTTGTTTTGATCCCAGTGCTCAAACGCGCTTGTAAACTTGGCAGGATGAATCGTGGAAGCTCATATGGATTCTCCATATTCGGATCCTGTTGTAAACAAAAGAGATGCTTAGCATTTAGCACATGTTTCTCTGAACTGCGGAAGACCTCGATCACTCAGGTCTTGGAGGATTCAGACCATTCGGGATTCGTGATCGTTGATGAAGCCTCAGTCCAAATGTTCAGTCCTAGGAGGAGCTCAAGTTAGCCTTCGAGCCTGTCTGCAAGCTGCATGGAGAAGAACAACACCAATACCGCTCAGAAACTCAACTTCACGCCCTCGGTCTTCAATACACATGCCGTTAATGGGGAATTGGCAGCGCGGATCGAGAGTCTTCTATCCTCAACCTAGTATAGAAAACTTACGATCAGCCCTACCAATTCTATCAGTTCGCAAGGCCTGCTTTGGACCCAGAGGGCCACCAGGAGAGAATAGCATCGGATGAACTAGTGGTGAAAAATGGAGAGGAAGGGAGAACGAAAAGAAGGAGGGGAAAACTGCGGGAGATTAAGCGAGCTGAGATCCATCGCTAGCGCCGTGGCAGTGCAAGAAGAAGACACGGCAAGTGCCGTGTGCCAAATTTCTATTCATCGGGTAGTCCATGAAGGCAAATAGTCTAGTATTGTTAGATAAGAAAACAACGCGTCGGCGATATATAGTATCCATGTTGTTACTTGGTACTTTGAGAGATGAATTGCTCAGTGGACGAGCGAGGTAAGCACTTGAGCCTCGCTGCCATTTCAACTTTCCAAGCCTATAGGCCCAGCGCCAATTAATGGATGATGACTGTCAGGTTGTTATTCAGACATTCAACTCCGCGCTCTCGTTCTTCAAGCTTGTGACTCAAATACCGTCATTGAGGAATTGGAGGCGCAGATGACTAGTCTGGAGAATGTCACCAATTCTGCCAATTTGACGTTTCTATAATCGCAAACAAAAACGATCGACACTGCTTGGAAAAGCTGTATGTAAAGATGGAGTGCGCTTTCCACTTTTTGCTGGGAAGAGGGACGAGATCAACGATTCCGGCGCCTTTCGCCGAGCTTTGTCTCGGATGCGCAGGAAGACATGGTTGGGTACGGGGATGGAGCTCGCGTTTTCATGCAAGTAAATCTTGGGAAGCGCGGTCTTCGCTAACCTGTAGAAGACGATGGTGGATCTTCTGACAAACGTACGCAAATCCCCAGTAAAATGTCTTTCTATGTGATTTTTGCGTAGTAGATATGAAGGATTGCGTCGATGTCGTTGGAAGTGATTGCTATAAATCTTTCGCTGGGCTGTGTCGTAGACGTCGTTATCTATGGCCTGTGTCGAAAGTTGAAAAGGTTGAACGTTGGGAGGCTGTGGATGAACATGTTAGCGGTGCCAAGGGGAAGCGGGGTTAAAGAGTCGCACGCGAATCATACAGCCGGACCGACGTCCTAGTTGGGATGATCAAGATCATACGCTCACTTGCCGTGGGTCGCATGCCAGCGCATGACCTGCAGAAAAAGGGTCAGATGCACCTCAAAAAGCTTCGCCTGATGCACGTGTTGAATGATATACCAACTCCGTGGAGAAATGGAAGGATAAATGTTCCCATTTCCATTCACACACGGCGCGCGTATATCGCACTCGAGTTGGAATACGGATATCGGTACTGAGATTCAGAAGACAGGAAGTCTGACTTCAAGAATGTTATCTGTTACTTTAGGACCAGCAGGAATTTCGGATCTATATCTATATCTTCCTTGACGATGGTAGTGTCCAACCCATTGCCCAGGCTTCTCAGCGACAGGGTTGATTGGCAAAAATCACGCGCTGAATGTTTCGTAGCGCAACTCCGGTGAATTTGAGTGAATGATTCGTTTATTTCTCAGTTTACAGTGCGTCGCAAAAAACACACACAATGTACTCACCAACGCGCCAGGCGAGTTCAAGGATGAAATTAAACTTGACCACCGGGTTGGACGTACTGCATTTAACGCCCGAATCCCATCGAGACTATCGGCAGACGAGTCGAAGATGAGAACGCGCACAAGCGCTTGTCGCGACAACTTTAATCTGGTTATCGACAATCATCGGGCCGTGCTCGCCAGTGGCCGCCGCTCAGGTTGTGGATGAAGAGGACTGCAGTGTTATCAATGAGTTGAGACTCTTCGGTCTCTGTGCTTCTACAACGGTCTGATGCCGCATGGTGTCTTAACTGAGAACATGTACTCGGACGCGGTTGATATAATGGCTTATGTAATGAAGCCGTCTTCCGAGGGAATAGACAATGGATGAACAAACACTTAAAAGTAGTAGTAGGCATGTTACAACCCTGCAGTGCACAGCAAGCTGTCTTCCTAATCACCTCGTCCTTGTCTGATCCACTTAATTTTGTGTGTAAGTCTTTTATAAAGATGGAATCAGACTAACCAAGTGTTTCCTCTAGTCCTATCATCATGAGCCAACCACCAAGCACACCCCGGGCAGGTCCCAGTACTAGTGGCGACAAATCAAACAGCTCACCACTCCCAATACCACCCCTCATACGTTCGCAGTCCCACCATTCTACCGCATCAAAGGCCTCAAAAGCCTCGAAGCCCATCTCTCGCACCAGCTCACACAATCCCCCGACAAATCGCGAAGTTCTCCAGCTCCTCGCAGATGCAGAGTCTGCCGTGCGCGACCTCCGCGCAGACGTCTCTCTTTTGAATTCACAGCTATCGTTTGAGCAGGACCGCGCTGATAATGCAGAGCTTAAAGCAAAGGAAGCATGTATACGGTTTAAAGATGCCAACGATGCGCGCATTGTCTCGCAGAGCGAGATCGTACGTTTAACAGAGGAGCTAAGGTTATACAAAGACGCACTGGAACAAGCCCAGAAGGAGATTTTTCGTGCTCAGGGCGTGATGAAGGACGTTGAGGACCGGAGGAGGGATGCAGAGGAGAGCGCCGCAAAGTCGAGGACTAGGTTGCGCAAACTGATGGAGGAGAAGATGATCGAAGTCGCTCGCGAGGAGGGTCGTAAACAGGGTCTCCAGGAGGGATTGGAAATGGGGAAAGATGTGGGTTACGTCCATGGGAGGAGCAAGGGTTATGCACAAGGTCGAGTAACAGCAGATCGTGTCCTCGAACGGTACTTTTCTGGCCAGAGCGACGAGGAAAGCAACTCGAAACGTGACTCCGGTGACGCGCAGGACACTCCACGATTCCGACCAGAACCAATATCACGCGCTTCATCCAGCGAACAATCACGTCCTCGCACACCAACACGTCGCCGCACCCAACCTCAACCTCAACCCCAACCACAATCGCAACTACAGCAACGTCCACCACAGACCTCATCTGCGCGCAGTACCATGTTCTCCCCTGCCCACGCGCTGCACGACATTCCTTCAGACGGATGGATCCCAGAAGCTGATTCTTCTCTCATCATCCGCTTACCACCTCCACACGAGTTCCAGCGTCCGCGTCGTACGCCCTCCCCCATTTCTTCGAGTCCTGGCACGCCTTTGCGTTCCCTGCCCGTACCGCTCCAAGATCCTGTACTTATGGTACCAGAGCCTCGATCCCCTGGTATGCCGTTATATACGGTCCCTAGTTCGGATTCCCGTCCCCAACGAACGGTACGTCGTAGAGCTTCGGGCACGGAAAGCGTGACCTCTACAAGGACGTCAGAACTAGAGCTGCTGAGTCCACCAGAACACCCCCGATCCAGTGGGCTGAGCGTCATTCCCGAGGTTACGAGTATACGGGAGCAGAGCACGCCTAGCAGCCGAAGCATGAGAGCAAGTGTAGAAGATGATGTAGATGAGGTATGTCTTGCTCGACAGTGCTTATTTGTGGCGTGCGTGCTTACTTGTACTGCAGTCTGGCTTCGTACATGTCTCTATGCCAGCGCCGAGGACGTCTAGAGAAACAATTCGGCTGCAGAAAGCACCTTCTGTTATATCAATAGCTAGATCACCGGCACCAGAATCATCGCGTCCCACTAGCACATCATCATCTGGCACCGTGGGGATCACGATCCAGCCACCCGTGAGTGTTCATCTCTCTTCTATCAAGCACTGACAAACTCAGTCATGATATGAAGTCACGTCCCGCATCTAACATGTCGCAAATAACAACGTCCGGGCAGCTCCAGTACTTCCTCAGTCCTGCTGACGCGGATCGCCCTTTACCACCGCCACCGTCGTATTCCCCGTCACGAGCGCAAGCCACGCCGGCGATGGTCCCTTTACCAGCTACGGGTAGCACGATGTATACAACCCTACCTGCTGGACAGCTCCCACTTGGGTTTGTACCCGCCGGCCCACCGACTCCCCGTCCATATACACCAAGCAGTAGCCTACCAGCGCCCCCTGCCGCTGCTCAACACGGTCAACATCAATACACCGCCAAACACCAAAATCACCAATACACCAGACCCAACCAAAGCCAATACGCCGGAAACCCCATCGTCATCCCTTGCAGTCCCAAATCCCCCAATCCAAACCCCCGCGACGACCCCAACCAACCAGTAGTGATCCCCCCGCCCTCTCAGAAATTTGCGCCTGAATCCGATGAATCGTCTAGTGATACTAGTAGTGATGCAGATGTGACACGAACGCCGAGGAGGAAGTATAGGGCTGCTGGGAGTGCTGCGAGTTTGTATACTGCTACTGGGACTGGGAGTGGGCTTGGGACTGGGGTCACGAGGTATTCTGCGGGGGTGGCTTTGAGTGGGAGTGCGGGAGGTGGGACGCCGAGGGTAGGGTTGTATGGGAGGAGTGGGAGTGGGGGAGGTGGGGAGGGTTATGCGAGTATGAGCATGGGTGGAGGGGGTGGGTTTGGGAGGATGGCGTATTCTAGTGAGCAGGGGAGTGTGAGGGGGTGAGGTGTGCTGTGCTGATTAATGACTAACGATTAATGATTTACGAGTTTGAATTTACGAACCAGGTATTTCTAGGTGCTGGCACCTTCTTATGGATTTATATGATATTCGTTATGGATCGAGCTTGTAACTGGATTATTTGCATGGTACACATCGCTTTAGGGAATCCAGATCAGTCTGAGGCGTGCATGGTGAAATAGCGAAAAGGTCTAGATGAGTCGGATTTGAATGGTATTTGCCAAAGATATAATTCAACCCATATCAATTTTTGGCCAGTGTTGTCAACCGTTCCTCATTGCCTCCTATCTCGTTTCCATCCTGGCGGTGAGGGGTGTGGGTTTCCGTTTTTGGAACGTCGCCCCTGACAGTTATTTGTGGCTGTTTGTAGAGAGACACGATGAGCCTCCAGCCTGTATGTCAGAATTAATATTGGTCTTCGCCCTCAGGCCTCAACGTTCAACGTTAACAATACTAGAATGCCAGCATACCGGTCACTTCCTGTCCTCCGTCAATGACGCCTGAGACTTGTGGAGATTTGAACGACGACAACGTTTATTGCGTCGTCCCCCACCAATTGCAATTTGCAGGATCCGTAAACCAATTCGACGAGACAATGGTTATTCAAGTATTTGGTACGGCTGTCATCTGCAGTTGTTATCATTAATTCGGTTATCCACATCGTCCTTTGTGCTCCCTTTGAAGGTGGACGACTGGCTTTTTAGGTGTGAACTGACGATTAAATTCTCAAGACAAGCTTCAAGATGGGCTCAGGAACTTGCTCCTTTAGCGTGACGGTGATTTGGATGGTTGAGGGTAAGCACCTACGATCTAGGACGACATTATTCTCATTTGATTATTGAGCCTTTTTTAGAGCACACACTGCCTGAGCGTTGTTCCTGTTCTCTCAGGCTCTCCTCGTGATATCCTGATCGCCTAAAGGCACCTATCTAAGCTTGAGCGCTCCTCCTGAGCGTTCCCGGCCCATCCTCAATACAGTCCCAACTTTCCCTCGTGCATTTTTTGGATTGCTGCAAGTAGCCCAGCGCTCGTAAGTTGTTTATCCACTACGCACATTACATCGCTTACAACAGGGAGACCGAGAGCGTCTTCCACTGGAATATATCGCGTTTATCCCTCGACAGTCGAGGCAAAGGTGTTGCTTATCGAGTTCACTTATACCGTCGAATCTCTTTTTCCCCGGATCCGAATATCAATTCGACGGGGCGATGGCCGCCCCTACTGACTCCGGTATCCAAGGAATTGTGATACCCTAGTTTCGCTCGTTCCTGGGATTCGGTCATCATAGCCTACGTGAAGGAATGAAGAATACTTTTGTCTTCCCTAAGGAGAAACCCCGCAAGGCACGTGCAAGTTTCTTCAAAATTGGAACAAACTTCAATACCATACTCAAAGGGCGCGCGTCTCGCATGAAATATTTAGTGAGCGTCTTGACAAATTATCTGAATCCGATAATAATGGTTATCTGTCCGACTTTGCGGCCCTGATGGACTGTGTTCTTATGATATAAGACACGATTGTCTGTTATACTAATCCAAAAACCTCTAAACTCTCCACACATGAACTCCACACGTCCTCCTGTACTAGTTGTAAGTAACACACTTATGATAGAAGGTTGTGCCTCAGCTGAATTCCTCGTTCTTAGGTAGGCGCTGGGCCAGCGGGTTTGGTAGCAGCGTTGACACTCCTCCAGAACGGCATCCCAGTCCGCATCGTTGATAAAGACCCTAACCCTCGCATCGGACAGCGTGGTCCCGGAATGCAGGTTTGTCATACATCCACTTCTCTGATGCCCCGCAGCCTCATCAATGTGTAATCTAGCCACGCTCCCTTGAACTCTTCAACTTTCTGAATGTTCCAGAAGTCCACGACCTGGGGAAGCGTCCCCCTATAATCCGTTCGTACAAGCCAGGGACTTTGGAAATTTTGAGCGAATCTTCCTTTTCCCCGTATATGGAACCTACACCTGCGATACCATTCGTGCGCAGAGACGTTGTCCTCCCAAGCTGTCATGCTGAAATGCGATTCATTTTGTTTTCTAGACTTCCAGGGTAATGGGTCAACAGCTCCTAGATACGATTATGCGACGCCACCTAGACAAGTTCTCTTGTTCTGTCGAAATGGGCACCGAAATGTGTTCGTTCGAGCAGACTGAGGAAGGCGTTACCGCTGTACTAGCAAAGGACGGCACATTAGAATCTTTCAATACCAAGTGGATGATCGGCGCCGATGGTGCTAAAGGTGAGATGCGGTCAAATTCAAATGCGGCAGAATGTGTCTGAACATTGGTTTGCAGGTGTCGTGCGCAAGCAGCTTGGGCTTACATTTCTGGGCGAAACTAGAGACGATACCCGGTTTATCACTGGAGATATTCGTTTGAAGGGTGTTGACAGAGTGGTGCATCCGATTTCTACTTGCTCGATAGAAGAGTGCTCCTGATCCTGTCTCGAAAGTGTTGCCACCGGTTTGGACATTTCCCAGAACGAGGGTATGTACCATTGGCATTGATGTACTGAGGCTTGGAGATGTATTGACGACCCACAGCATGTTATTGCGTCCAACAGACGAAATCGGCGAGGATGGCTGGCAATTTCTCATCTTTGGTAGTGACCTAGACATGACAAAGGTCACTCGGAGCGAGGAGCCGATCTTCGAGATCATCGCGTCAGTGATACCAACAGAGGTTATATTCAACAAGCTGGTCTGGGTGAGCGAGTTCAGGTGTGTTTCTCTTTGCTCTTTGTATATCGATGCACTTTCAACGTTTGTGGGTTTGCTTTAGGGCCAATATCCGGATGGTAAACAAGTTTAGCGAGGGCCGAGTGTTTGTTGCGGGTGGTATGTGGTTCTACTTTTGGATGATGTGCCTGTATTGATGGAATTCGCCATAGATGCTGCTCAGTATGTCTATTTTTCGAGCGTGTTCTTGGAAAACTGTTGCTGACATATGTCCAGCGTCCACAGTCCAACCGGTGGTCAGGTCTGTGTGCTCTCACCAACTGCCGATGCATACTCATTTCTCTATAAACAGGGACTCAACTCTGGTGTACAAGATGCTGTGAGTCTTGTAAATGTATCGTGTATACCAACTGACCGGGCTGTGCACTAGTTCAATCTAGGATGGAAGCTTGCGCTCGTCGAAAAAGGACTCGCCGACAAGTCCCTCCTCGAGACGTATAATGCCGAGCGTCTGCCTGTCATCTCCGAGATGCTCGAGATGACCACCTCGCTACTTAACCGAGCAGTAAAGACAGGAGACGTGACCATCCGACGAAGTCCTATCGTTTTCATGCTCGGTATCAACTGCCGGTTCAGCAGCATTGTCCTGGATGAATATATGACTCCAGTTGAGGGAAGACCGATTAACGCCTACGGGGTGCTTGACGAGGAGCATCTGGAGGCTGGAGATAGGGCGCCTGATGCTCCCAATATGCTCCAGGTGGGGCGCGGAGAGTCTCACGTAAAGACGCTCTTTGGTCTGTACAGACCTTGGTACCACACAATACTCGTGTTCGCACCTAGTCTTGCAGATTCTTCCCCAATCTTGGGCGCGCTGGAGGCATACGACAAAAGTGTTGTTCGATCGGCAGTCATTCTTCCTCCATCAACACAAGTAACGCCTGTTGCATCCCCTGCTAACCTCGTTCTTGTTGACGAGGAGAACTATGCTTATTCGGCTTATCTTGTGGAAGCTGGCCGTACGAAGGTGTTTGTGATACGGCCGGACGGAGTGATTGGAGCAATTGTACGCGGTGCAGAAGGCATGAAGAAATATTTCTCGGGAATATTTTTGGATGTGTAGTGGTCTGTTCTTTTTTACCTTTGTTATTATTTTATTTTATTTTATTTAATAGGATATTTGTAAATGGGTTATGGTAGATATGTAGGTTTATTACCCCCTGGGGGCCCCAAATTAAATATTGCATATTTAAGTTATACATTTCACAATATATGACCCAAAGAAATGTGATATGCACCACATTTGTACACTTACATACCACGAAATCACTACAGTTGTGTGTGATGGTCCGCCAATGCAACACATGCAACAGCAGACCATTATACAGAACTGTGTATATTAATAGTAACATATACATATACATAATGAAAGAGTGTGATGGTCTGCCTTCAAGACAGTTGCAATGGCGGATGTATATATTTAATAGCAACATATACATATAAATAATGAAAGAGTGTGATGGTCCGCCTTCAAGACAGTTGCGATGGTGGATGCATATATTTAATAGCAACATATGCATATATATAACGACATAGTGTGATGGTCTGCTGACACGACATATGCAACGGCAGACCATCACACTCTTTCATTATGTATGTGTATCCAAAACTCCCTGGCAGTATAATGTATTATATACTATAATTGTAGAAGGTATGTGATATATCCATACCTTTAATCCTTATATGGTGATGTATCCTGTCTGCTATGCCTTTCCCGTGACTTGAGTAGCTGATACATCACTGTCTGATGTATCACTCTGGGTTTCCTGCACTGGTGCCGTGATATATCAGTGATATATCATACTGTCTGGTCTGTCTGACATAGTAGTATGATACTCCGCCATGATATATCACTCGTGACTCAGCAATATATCACACTGTCTGGTATGCCTTTCTTGCGATCTGTGGTAGCTGATACATCACCGTCTGATGTATCACTCTATTCCCTGCACTGGCACCGTGATATATCACTCTGTTGAGTTTACCTGTGACTTAGTCGCTGATATATCAGCATGGTATGTGCCGAATTAAACATAGAACATAAACCTCCGTCATGCATAAAACATCTACCAAAAACGAATCTGTACGTATGCTAAAGTATTTGTATTAGTCCACAAGAGGCACAGCAGTTCATGAGGGGATGGCTTCCCACAACAACCTGAACCGCGCAGACATGCTCCGGCATAGCATTGCCTGGTGATGTGCATATGCAACTGCCCCCTCTGTGAATGCAGATGAGCCAAATTGGTGTTGCGAGCCTTGCGCATCCCACCATCCAGCCTGCCACTCCAAGAAGGCAAGAACACAACACACTTCCTCACGCAGGAGCTGGACTTCCTCCTCCCACCGATGAGCCCGCGCCTGCACCTTGCACCATTCCACACGTAATACTACAATATATCAATTGAGTGATACGCAGAGTCATAATCAAAGACTTACAATCCTGCAATCCTTCCTCCTGATTGTTTGATACCCCAGCCACTTTCCATATCCATGAAATGTTCTGTTGGCCAACCGTCTTCCCTTCGTCATGTTTGAGTGGGACTGCATCTTTTCTCCTGTCCAGTGGCTTCAGTATCCGCCGCTAGTCGTCATTCTTGCCTAGTTTTGATGCGAGTATAACAAGTGCATCTCGGGCAGCTGTGTACTTAGCTGATATTGCATCAATTCAGCTTTCAGCAGAATGGATGATGCTGTGAGCACAAGTGTTCGCACACTGACCTCGAATGAAGGCGTACTTATACTTGTAGAGGTGGTAGGTCATGTTGATGACAGTGTGGAGGTCATTTAGAGCATTGTTGGCCTGCGCTTGACGCAGATCCCATTCGTACTTTAGTAAGCAGTCGTCACATGGGAATGTCGGGGGCAGTGATGAAGGGAGAAAGAGGTTGATTTTATGGGCCTTGTCCTCAGAGGGAATGTCACTGGGTGAACATAGGCAGGAGATGTAGGGCATGTATAACAGTTGTACTCAGGACCAGGTGCCAATCCTACGGTGGAGGCTATTGATATGTTGGAGTATCTTGACTTTTTGGGCATCAGTGGCATGCTGTCTGATGGTCTTCACCTCAAACTCAACACGTCGTCTACATGAAGCTGCATGAGCGATGACTACAATACTTGTACTTGAATACTTACTGTTGATCCTCTAGTTCCATCCCCGATGATATAAGGACCAATGGCGATATATCATCGTCTAGGGATATATGTTCACCACACTCGATTTCTTCCACCTCAGCCTTCGATAATGCCAGATGCATGGCAGCCTGGGTCACAGCTCTCAAATTACTCCTCAGTGACACAGATCGTCAGGTACAAAACAATGCTCACTAGTTCTTGCTTTGACTTCAAACAGATTCGTCAAGGAGCGGTCTGACTCCCACATCTCGATCTCTTTCCGCCATCCAGCTAATTGATCTGCATCGAGGGCAGCCTCGAACTCCTTAAGATCACCGGCACATTCTTCAGCCTCAGGTATTGCAGCCTTATATTTACGGAGGAGAATGGTGTGAGTGCAACTTAGCATTGAATTGTTATTGATAGAAAAGTAAGTTACCCATGGTGCAGACCTTCTTCCAATTCCAGTTGTTGAAATGATCATCTATAGTGTCTCGGCTCGATCCAGGTCCCATCTCGCAGGTGCTTGTAGCGATAGGGTTGATATCTGCCCACCCGCGCTCCGGAGCTTCACCATCAGTCCGCCCAACACCTTTGATAAAGTTAAATGAGAACCTCGTTTGGCAACTGGTGATGTGCGCTGGCAGATGGAATTTAGGAACCAGGAATGTGACGAGCTTGTTGTCATGGTCAATGCGATACTTATGTGGGAATGCTGACATGTGTGACCAAAGGTTTTTGTTCCACTGGCAGGCTATGTCATAAGATATATTGAGGACGTGAATGTCGTGTGAAGACTGCATGCTTGAAAAAAAAAGGTAATCCATGTTTATGTACCTATTAATGGTGAGTTCAGAAACATAGCTATGATACGGTAAACAAAAGAAAGCACCTCTCCCCTTTTTGTAAGTCACCAACTGAACACGGTCACTTGAAATTGTGCCGTGCACAATCAACTGTGCCTACACCCGTTGCTGCAAGTCCACGTGAAGCTCTCGTATCCGCCAGGTTCACAGCGGAGTGGCTAGAACATGTGCTCTTCTATGTTTAATCATAGTTAGTGCTATGACTCGGGCAAACATATTAAACTTACCTCCTGAGCATTGCCCACCCTATTGCACGAAGCCAGGAAGCCCTTGTACCCAGTCTCCTCCACGAAAAATGTGTACCCATGATTCAACCCAGGATCAACAGCGTCTGATGATACATTACGCCGAACCAGTCGGAAGTTGGCGTCAATTGCAATGAACATCACATATAAAAATCTGTGGCCACATTAAGAATGAAAGTTAAAACTTTTATCAGCGTGCTTACTGGAATTCCGGTGGAGAATTTTCCCACCCAACAGGTAGATTCTTGTTTGGATGGGGACATGCAGGGCATAAGACGGCGCAAGCACCGGCCTCTGTTGCTTTAATGCCCCCCAGATGGTGACCCTGACCGCAGTGCTTCATTTGCATCACAAAACACCATTCACAAATCATCCAACGGAGACTATCATAATGATTCTGAATGATATGTGTCAGTAAGGATATGTTTGGACGCAAAACTACATTACCTACCTTGGGGACATGGGTGCCTATGTTTTCCGTGAGGCGAACAACAGTATTGTAAAACTCCCATGCCGATCCTTTAGATTCAAATGACAGCATTTGAAAATACTCTAACACGCGAAAGGTGGCGGCCGATTTAGGGTCTGATGTTGTGGCAGGAAACAAGTGACCACATAACAACTGAATGATGTGCGGCTGAGCAGACTGGCATGCACAGAAATCAAGTCCGACTTCGTGAATACCATTGCAGTCAAGGATAACGAAGTCGTCGTTGAATGCAGGGATCAGATTGATGCATTGGACACCAATGGGATGCCCAAGTTGAAAGCGGGCCCCCAAGGTCTTCAATGTAGTAATCTGAAACGAAGTACCGTTCCAACACTGCGGCAGCATTGTACTTTCAGATTTTTATTTGTGAACAAAGAGTGTACATACCTCAATCCTGTGTAATGGCTGCCTCTCGTGTATATGCACAGCACATGTGGGACACATCAACTCTCCACCATGACAGTCTTGGCACCGATACATCAGGTCTGCTTCCCTGCAGGAACATGCGGCATGCACAAAGTCCCCACGACCCTCCAAGCGAATAAACTCTAGCAGAAAGAGGTCAGCATCTGAATTCCACAAGCCCAATGGATCATCCTGAGGAGACCTTAGTTAGAATCATTACTGCGATATCAACCAACATATGACTTACTCCAGCAGTATGATTTCGCTTGCCAGACCCCACAAATGTGTCAGCATCCTTGCTAACATCATTGAATGATGAAAAATCAAAACCATCTGTTGGTAGGTGGTGTATGTCTTGCGAATCAGACTCTTGGAATCGGTGTTTGGCAGGTGAGTGTGGAACCATGTAGTATAATGAAGAAACAGAAAGAGAACCGCTGGGTGTTGCCTCAAAGCTAGTGTGCTTGCGTTGCTGCTCCTGGCGAGTCTCTTGTGGAGTCACTGGAGTGTCGTTGGTCTCATTTCTCACTGCTCTTCCTGCAGCATCATTGTGAGCAAAGAAATTTTGCTGGAAGTGCCAGAGTGTTCGCTGCCTTCGACTAGCAACCATAGTTGACGACAAAATATTCAGCACTAAGTAGACAGCGTGCCCTGTGCCAAACATCGGTTTTTTCCAGTTCATTTACCCCTATGTAGATCCAACTGCAACTACAGAAGTACTTATTATGACAGTATTGACCGAGTTAAGACAATATAATCAGATAACATGAAAACACAGACGCACAACTCGTTCAGGAGGCGTTTGCCAGCTGAGTGAACCTGCCGACACAGCATCGTCATATGCTTCAGTACCCCCTTGATCTACCACGGCAATAAACTCCCTTTCTGCAGCAAGTCGTCGTGTTGTGAGATGGAGCAATTGCTCACATTGCTGTGATAGAGCATTGTGCCCGATCCCTGGTGCGCATAGCCATACATTCTCAGCTAGGTTGGTAGCGCGCTGGTGCAAATTGCGCACAAAAGTACACACATCTTTGAGTTCAGGGGATATTACATCCCAACCTTCTGTATCGATGTGTTGGAGTACCGCACAAAAGTGACTCAGGATGGTATTGTGCTCAGGAACTCCTGCTTTGTAGCCGAGCTCCATGTATAGTGTATCAAGGTCTTGAAACATGGCAATAATGGACTTTGTAACAAACATAGAGATGGTGTTCAACATGTATCACGCGCTGTCACTCAAGGAAGATGTACATTGCTCATTTGAGACTGCTTTTGCCAACGATTTCATGACTTTGCCTGCTCTATAGCCTTGTTTCTAGAACAAACATTAATTCCAGAAGACAGCAAATTAATCAAAACTGACCTTGCATAGTGAGCTTGCTTGCTTTTCAATCTAGCATTGCGACGATCTTCGTCTGACTTGTATTTTGGTGGCATCTGAATCAATGATATCTGTAAGCTTCAAAGGGTAGTAAGCATTTGCAATTGATTTGCAGACAGGCCTTTCAAATGGTAGCCACACTTCGGGACAGACAGGTAATACACCCTTTTCAATATTAGCCACACTTCGGGACAGACAGGTACTACACCCTTCAATAATAGCCACACTTCGGGACAGATAGATTTCTACATTCTAGTATGCAACGCACAATTTCAATAAATTGAATTAAGCGAATTAAGCCAAGAATTCTGAGTTGCACGCAAAAGCTTACAGGATGGGTCCGTCAATGAGTCATATAAGACTCGTTGAGCATGTCCCACTCATGCGCAAAAGCTTATCAATTCACATAAGACTCGTTGAGCACGTCCCGCTCATGCACAAAAGTGTGTCAGACATTAAATCCAGAGTAACCATGGCAAATCGTTTATGAGACCCATTGAGTAAGACCGATTGAGCGTGGCCTGCAAGTTTAATATGTACAGCCATAGCGGAGTGTTTATAAGACCCAGCAAGCACATCCCGCAATATTTTAATATATACAAATGATGGAGTATCTAGAGCATAGTGGCCTCGCCACACCACATGTTCAACATACGCCAGAGATGTTCCCTGGCTGCATCGAGCATGCTAAAGTAATACACGGAAGTGCCGGTAGCACACATTTTGGGGGCAGTATAGCTTATTATGTATCATCAGAGACGGCACGGATCAAAATAAAAAAAGACCACGTACATGTCACTAAATAGTCCGACTCCAGAATGACCCACACTTACGAACCAGTTATACCGACTAGCAGGGTCAATATCAACAAGTGTTTCGACACTAGCATTGGCATCGATGGCCTGATATTCTGGCGCATCTTCTTCCCCACCACTGGTGAGAGGGTCGGACTGCAAACTGGAATCATCATCAGCATCATCAGCAACATCATCCGCGGGGCCGATCCAAATGTCATCGATTGAGACATCGGCGTGGTCCTCTGCAACTTGATCCGCAAGGCCACCACAGTCTGTGTCATCGACTGAGATGTCGGTGTTGTCGTCCGTAACATTCGTGAGGCTGTCGCCATCTGATTGTAAGTAGAATCAGCAAAAAAAAACTAGTAAGCAAGTCAGACATACCATGTTGTGCATGAATTAAACAGTCTTCACCTTCCGGGCAGTAAGGCCAACCATATGGTCCTGGAGCTTGGGGGGGAACTTTGGAAAAAGTATGTCAGTCAGTGCTATAGGGACTGGAGTAAACGACTTACCATATCTGCACTGAACCAACCAGATGGCCTCAATGAACTGCTTGAGTCTGAAGCAGGGATGAGGTAGCATTTGAACAGGTCGGTTGTGGGGGCACCTGATATCTGAGTGGGACATGTTTGTAAAGCTGAATGAAGGCAGTAAGTTCAGGTTAGCAGTAAAGAAAATAGTATTTGTACCGCTCATTGATTGATTGGCATTGATTGGTTGGCGCAATGAAAAAAAAAAAGCTGAGTAAGGATGTGGTGAGGAGATTTGCGCTTTGTTTGGTATACGCGAGCAACCTGTCTACATTCCCCCCCCCCCCCCTGGGAAACAACACGGGAAAATGTGAGCAAAGACCATACCAACCAGAACAAATGAATATCGCACTGACATTATATGTTCAGATGGCCCCTCCGAGGTGGACAACGGCAGAGGAGCTTTTATGGCTGCAAACCGAAGTGCCAACATACCTGCAGATGCAGAAAGAAAAAAAACTTAATCGATTCTTCGAACTTCTGTACCCAAAGTGGTTCAGCAATTTCCCTGAACACATGAGAATTTTTTCAAGTGAAAACTCACCCAACGAGGCCGCCAACATCAATCAATCTGATCTGGACTTAGAGGAGGCCATCAATGAGGTCAACACCGAGCTGGATCATGAGAACAGTATAAGTGATGTGGAAAAACTCACCAATTTGGACACAGAACAGACAAAGGTGCTCAATGACGCCATCAACCAACGACGTAAAGTGTGTTTCTTGATGTTGAGCTAAATATAGATTGGAATTCTGATTAGCAATTGAACAGAAATTGCGGGAGTGGTTTAGAAACAATACAAAAGGAAAGACTACACCTGGTGGGACATCGACCAGCAAAATGCTATCCGCGTTGCTTGGCCAGCGTGCACGAGGCACCCGAGACCTCAAGGAAATTGAAGTATACTCCCAACTTCACTATGAGTCAAAAGTCAAGCCCTTAGTTTCTGATGACATCAAGGAGAATAAACTGGTACTACCTGATCAAAAGCTTTGTGCTGTCCGGCAACACACAAGTGAATGTTTCGCAAAGGAGCCAGAAGATGTGAAGGACGAGGTTCACGATGAGACAGTACATATTAATGCTGCCAGAAAGTTGGGATCAGTTGCAGCAGGGCAAGATCGGACAAAGGAGGAAATTTACCAGTAAGCAATTGTTTGTTTTGTTTGACTTCAACTGATTAATTCCTCACTGATCAAGTGCAATTCAAGAGTTGCCCATCGTGCTGGGTCAAATATTTGAAGAACTTTCGACTTTAACGGGAGGATGACACTACTCACTTGTTATGGGTGGACCCGACCCTTTGTGCGAAGGCGATATCATGACATTGAGGTGCGTTTTCTTACTATTATATTAACAAGAATTTGATTCATCACCATTGTTTAACAGTTATCATCATGGTAAAACCCTGGAGGGTTTTAGCTTTAAGGCGTCAACGCCTAACTTCCATGAACAGTTTTTGTTGCCATTTGAAAGACACCTGGGTCGCATATATGGTATGTATCATCCTCGATTAGTTCATAGCATAACAACTGATTATTCTCAATAGGTTCTTCTGCAAAGGGAACTTCGGTTCCTACATCTACATCCAGTTCCCCTCCTCCATCGACTACTGACCTATCTTTGCCATCTCCACCTAGTTCGCCTCCTTTGTTGACCATGGACCTCACTCCAACATCCGCACTTGCTTCATCTCTTCCTCCATTGACTACTGACCTTGCTGTACCAACCCTGTCTCCTCCATCAACCATGGTTGATGTGTTGCCTGTCCACGAGGCCACATTGGCGCATAATTCAGAGCCCTTGGTATCCTCGGAACTCACTGTCACGACGCAAGCTGCGCTTAATCCAGAGCCCTTCATATCCTCGGAACTCACTGTCACGACGCAAGCTGCGCTTAATCCAGAGCCCTTCGTATCCTCGGAGCTCTCTGTCACGATGCAGGCTGCCAATAATCCAGAGCCCTTGGAACCCCTGGAGCTCGCTGTCACAATGCAAGCTGCCAATAATCCAGAGCCCTTGGAATCCTCAGAGCTTGCTGTCACGACGCAAGCTGCCAATAATCCAGAGCCCTTGGTATCCTTAGAACTCGCTCTCACGATGCCAACTGTGCATAATCCAGAGCCCTTGGTATCCTTAGAACTCACTCTCACGATGCCAGCTGCGCATAATCCAGAGCCCTTGGTATCCTCGGAACTCGCTGTCACGACACAAGCTAGACGCTTGGGACGCCCAGGATGTCCTTCCACTCAAGCAAAGGTCCAAAGGAGGCCAACAAAATTGGTGGTACCAGCTCGCAGCAAGGAACGAAGGCAGCACCTAAGAGGAAGTGCAACACTGCACAGCCCAGTGCTTTAAATTCCCCTTCATCATAGGTCAACATACTTAACATATGACCTTACAGTTTGGCTCACCGATAACAAAGGCGTCGCATCCGAGTTGGGTGCGAACACTGTGGATACGGGGCTGCCAAAGATCTAGAAGCAACATAGAATAGACACTCACCTTCAGGCAAACAATACAAGGACCAACTACGCTGGGCACGTCCGACGCGGGTGGGAATGGCTGGCGAGCCACTTCGACAATTTGAGCAGGTCTGCTACAAGCCCCAACAACGTGTCCAAAGACTCACCAGCACTTAGTATGCTGCCACTGCCTGCTGGTGTCGCAACAGATGCAGACGATGACGTATATGATGATCCTGCATTCAAGGACGTGTTCGATAGCATACCAAACGGATGCTCCGACAAAGCATTGGCACTCTTTATGTCTCTGAAAGGGTTCCATGAGAACTTGAGTAAGACAACTGTCGAGAGCATCCGTTCGGCATTTAAGAAGCTGTGGGAGCTATCGTGAGCATCATCATACATGAGTTAGAATAGTAACTGACCACTGACTTGTGTCCCAGAAATGGTGACAGATTCCGTGGTAAATGGCACTTCAACGAGGCCAAGCAGTGCTGGGAGGGAAATCCTGCTAATTCAGGGGATGTCTATGATGTGCTGTCATCGGTCAAGCACAAGGCAAGTGCGGAGGGCAGAGATCGGACTCACTCGATGGCAATGACAAAAGACTACATGAATCAGACACTTCGATGGCATCAGGCCACGTGTCCACTCGAGATCGCGCTGCAGATGATTTGGAAGGTAATGAGTGGCACTCAGCCTTCAGATGTGCATCTAGACCTAGAAACAAGATCACGACTCACCCGTCATCTCGAACAAGTCACGTTCGAAGCCAACACATGGACACTGTGGACGAGGTGCGAACTGCCGAGTTGTCCCCACACGCATATCTGACCTCCTAGTATATTTGCAGATGTTTTGAGCTCATCAAGTTGCAGCGAAAGGACATATCACTCGATATGCCCATGTTGGATGAAGTGCTAAAAATGTACCTCGCAGGCAAGACACTGGCACTAAGTGAGTGCCAGTCTCACTTTGAGATCTTCCTCTCGAACCGTAAAGGGTGGCAACGGAAGGTCGACAAGGGCCAGTGGGAAGCGGATTTAAGATGTAAGCCTCGGTCACATTAAGTCAAAAACGATAACGGATGGCTGAATCACTTACCTCGCCAGCAAATCACTACAAGATCTATCCACGCCCAGACATCCTGGCCTGTGACAACTTTTTTTGGACGTTGTTCTGGATCAAATGGCTGGAGCACTTTCACTATGGACGCTCACTTCAACCCAACGACTTCATCTTTCCCGCAATGGGTGCCAGCAGGGTGGTACAGCCTGGCCAACTGATATCTCATGATACAGTACAAAAGTGGATCAACGAGGCTACAACAGGCACTGGCATTCTCGGCAACTTCTCAACCCACTGCTTTCGTCGTGGGGGTGCACAGTACTGATTTATGTTTGCTCCCGTGGGTCAGCGGTGGACACTCACCAAAGTTAGGTGGTGGGGTGGATGGGCCAAAGGCGAGCATGTGCGTGTTTCAGTTTCTTGGATCTGGTGCTGCATTTTTTTTTTGCTCATCACGTCTATTTGCAGCGCGACACACTTGTTCGTTATCTACTCGATGAATTACATGCCTATGAGAATGACTACAGTGATGCCCTTGCCCCCATCACCCGTGGTGCTAACGCCTCCCTCACTGGTGAACAAGCTCTCATGAGACCGGTGTCTATAGAAGAGCTTCGCATGGTTCATTCATCTGTCACGACAGATGTCAACAACCTGCGCAACGACATCAGATCGGTTCACAACTCACTGTGCACGCTAACCAATGTGATGGTGCAGGCAGCCTGCACCACAGCAACTGCTCTGCAACTTCAAGGTGATTCCTCCCGGCGCTTCGCCATCATCTCTGACTCTCAGGCTGAGTCATGTGCCTCCAAGTCTTGCACACCACAGCCAACTCCACCATACACCCCATCCCGCGAAGGAGGACACCTCACAGCCACACACCGCCCTTCACCCAGAGCTGTCACCAGCCAGAGCAGCATCCTCACTTCACAACAACCCGCCGCTACTAAAACTACCCCACCATCCAAGAACACCACCTCCCAATCCCTCCCTACCGCTGGCCTTGTAATTCCCCATGTGCCTGTCACTCGTCCAAACGGCACAACCAGCCCGAAGAGTAAGTCCTGGAAGGAGATCGTCGAGCATTGGCTCGTCGGCAACCCAGACAGGGGATTGAGGATGCCACTCAAAGATTGGCCGAAGGAGTGGTACCAAGGCGCCAATCGACGATTCGCGTCAAAGTACCATCAAAGGGCAACCATCGTGCTGGAATTCATCAACGAGTAAGTCCACGCTGATACCATTTCCTTTGCCTGCACTACCCACCATCCATATTTCGGCTCCAGGTACGAGTCGAACGAGTCGTGTTTCCTCACAGCATATCCAGAGGCCGAAATGGGACACACGCAGTTGCTGAAGGCCATCAACAAGGCACGCACTGCCCTCATGCAGCACGTCTCTCGCAAAAAGTGATGCCGACTCGGACCACTCTTTTCAACCGCTACTGATATTTTTGCTACCCTTCGATTACAGCCGTAGTTGTAGTATTAGACCTACATATTATGGCAACTACCATTCTTACCATAGACACTTTTGACGGCAATTACCAGCAGCGCAATTTGACCTAATCCATGGCATTTGTCAGGCCCTATTTTGCTGGGTGTTTTGGCTTTCACAGCCGCATTTTTTGGATTTTTGAAACTCAACTATGTTTTCAGTCACAAATGTGTTTTCCACATTTGTCAGATGTTTTGGTATGTTTTATTCCGCAATTTTGGCCTCCAAAAGCGGAAATTCACAAAACACATCCTGTTTTGGTCACCTCCTCATGTCAGGCCTCCCCACATTATTCCCACACTCCGCATTTTCGCATTTTTAGCCACCTACTGTGGGAATTACCCCACAACACCCAAAACATCATCCCAATATGGGAGGGCATCTGGGAATTCGAATTTGCGGGTCCGTCCGTCCGTCCGTCTGAGTCTGTCCGGGTCTGTCCGTGCACAGGCTCTTTGTTGAGCCACATCTACTCCTCCTTGATGAGCTGACGAACCATTTGGATATGGCTTCCATCGACGCACTCGCGCTTGCAATCAAGGACTTCGAGGGTGGTGTGGTGATCGTGTCACACAACTTCCGTTTGTCTCTCGTTCGACTTTAGTTTCTCCTTCACACTCGCCGCCATTATCTTCAATCCGCCTTGCTCCCGTTCTGCACGACGCACGAGTCTTACGTGCAACTCCTACAAGACTGTAATGGAGAAGAGTTTTTGCCAGCACCAAACTCCTCTCGTCAAAATGATTTTGTTCCTCGCGTGTCCGTCGAATTGCTGTCTCTGACAAACAACACGTCGGCACTTCTCGCAGTGTCGTTTGCGAGCCACAACAAAGGAAGTGTCCCAAGTATACAAGGAGCAAGATTGGTTGCATGACATGTAGAGTCAAAAAAATAAAGGTATGCCACTCCACACTGCCACTCGAATATCTATTCATTCCCCAACTCAGTGTAACGAGGCGAAACCAAATTGCATGTGATGCACTCATGGGCAGCGAGACGTGCGTCTCGTCCTGTAGTATCCCCCAAAAACCACTAACAGTCGTGCAGTGCACATGGCCAGAAGGCGTTCCTGCCCGCAAGAAATCCACACCCCGGAAAGATAGTATCGACGGGCACCCATCCACTGCCGACTCATCAGGACTGTCCAAAACTTCAACACCTCCTACTCGGGACAGCACCCCTCCGAAACCTCGCGTATCTAACGACTACAACCGACCTCCAATGTCCCGTCGGCATAGGCATGTGCATCCCTTCATGGTACATGTTAATTACTAACCGGAAGTTTTTTTTTTTGTTTTAGCGATCTTTTCACTCCAGTACCTCAAGTGAAATACGAGGAAGACCCGAATCTCAGGCTCGGGCCAAGAGGTGGACGCTTGAGCCAGTTGTACGAGGATTATGATTATGTCCTCTTTGAAACGGCTCGCGATACTAATGAAATAAAAAAAAGGCGCTAATAGAGTCCCAGCTAATAACATCAGGCTGGCTCACGAGGTGCTGTAGTAAGTCGTGGAAAGTTCTCATGCTCGGTGTCTCGAGTCGAGTGTCGATGTCGGAGTAAATATTGTGTGTTCGATCTCGATTATTAGTGGACTAGTATGACACTAGTACTGGCTCTGTGGACATTAGCTAGACGGACAGAGCCGGGTGCAGGCGGTTGGACCCGGACAGACCCGTAGACCGCCAGACCCGGACTGCCGGAAATTCGGATTCCCAGACTTTCTGCAATATGGTATACCACATAATTATAATTATTCCCACACCCTCCCCACCTCACTGCAGCTTCACCACTACACCACAATAGGTCCCCCCTTGTATCTAAGTAGTAGTTTGGTATATACATGTATAATATTATATAATAGACCGCTTTTTTTATCAATTTGTGTGCCTGCTCATCCTCCAGGGCCTTTTTCAAACAGGGTAGGGTACAGAACATTTTCGCATTTTTGCCCCTTTGATAGGGGGGTGTTCCAGGACATTCAGAACATATTTATGAGCATATATGAGTAGATTCCCATCTTTATTTCACCCCTTGAAGTGTCCTACATCAATAGATATAGCACATATGCAAGAAAACACAGAATATGTTCTCATGTGATTATTTCTAGGTGAAGAGCCTTGCAAAAATGATTCCCAGCATCTATTTAACAATAGGAACAATGTATCAGGAGCCCAGGACCATAGGATAATTCCCTGTTGCATGGTGTGCCCCCCCTCTCCTGGTGGTTTACCCCCTGTGAAACTTTTTCCTGTAGGACCGGACCTCAATTGAGGTAGGGGGTCTATTCTTATGTATATTTGAGGTAAGTCTATCATATAGCTGGCCCAGGACACACATAGGATCCTGCTACAGGAACAAAAACATAGAAAATCGCATTTTTGACACTTTTGATTTTCTTAGTCCCTTACACTTGCGCAAATGACCAGGCTTGCTCATATATGATCAGTAGTACATTCACAAATATGTTTGTGCCAAGGATCAGCCCTACATAGGGTGCAAATGTGATATATGATGTACAGGGGCTTTTTCTACTGATAAGAAGCCTACATAGTAATCAAGCCTGTGATAAGTAATCAAAGACCTTGGACATGTCCTATATATGCCCCTGATGATATATTTGAAGATTTAGAAAGATCCATCAAGGACTGACTGAATGACAAGTAAAACCACATATGTGTGAAAAGTGACAATTGACATCTTTTCACACAAAGTTACATTTATATAAGATACAGGTCAAATATTTCATTAACAATATGTAGGATACATTGTAGACTACTAAAGGAACATATACTACATACTGCCCTGAGGTTGAAGGGTGGTGGAAGGGATGTGGTGTATATCTGAGTTGACCTAGCATTAAAATGCTACTATTGCTCAACTGACCATTTTCGATGTTTTGGGTCTTTGAACTTTCCCACACTCAATTTCTTATCTATTTCACTTCCTCAGCACTCAATTCTTGTAGGATTGTTCTGTACATTTAGGACTATGATACTGAGCATATTTGAAATCTACTCCAGGTGTCTGATTATTAAATTTCGATGTATTGAAAGTATGGGATCCTTATCAGTAGAAATAGCAAGTATTCACACTAACTCAAACCTCTGGCCTATTTTGAGCTGATCCTTGTCACAAAAAGCAAGTATATATACTATGATAATGATATATGAACAGGTTGTATTATTTATGCAAGTGTAAGGGACTAAAAAACATCAAAGTGTCAAAAATGCGATTTTCTATGTTTTTGTTCCTGTAGCAGGATCCTATGTGTGTCCTGGGCCAGCTATATGATAGACTTACCTCAAATATACATAAGAATAGACCCCCTACCTCAATTGAGGTCCGGTCCTACAGGAAAAAGTTTCACAGGGGGTAAACCACCAGGAGAGGGGGGGCACACCATGCAACAGGGAATTATCCTATGGTCCTGGGCTCCTGATACATTGTTCCTATTGTTAAATAGATGCTGGGAATCATTTTTGCAAGGCTCTTCACCTAGAAATAATCACATGAGAACATATTCTGTGTTTTCTTGCATATGTGCTATATCTATTGATGTAGGACACTTCAAGGGGTGAAATAAAGATGGGAATCTACTCATATATGCTCATAAATATGTTCTGAATGTCCTGGAACACCCCCCTATCAAAGGGGCAAAAATGCGAAAATGTTCTGTACCCTACCCTGTTTGAAAAAGGCCCTGGAGGATGAGCAGGCACACAAATTGATAAAAAAAGCGGTCTATTATATAATATTATACATGTATATACCAAACTACTACTTAGATACAAGGGGGGACCTATTGTGGTGTAGTGGTGAAGCTGCAGTGAGGTGGGGAGGGTGTGGGAATAATTATAATTATGTGGTATACCATATTGGGATGATGTTTTGGGTGTTGTGGGGTAATTCCCACAGTAGGTGGCTAAAAATGCGAAAATGCGGAGTGTGGGAATAATGTGGGGAGGCCTGACATGAGGAGGTGACCAAAACAGGATGTGTTTTGTGAATTTCCGCTTTTGGAGGCCAAAATTGCGGAATAAAACATACCAAAACATCTGACAAATGTGGAAAACACATTTGTGACTGAAAACATAGCTGAGTTTCAAAAATCCAAAAAATGCGGCTGTGAAAGCCAAAACACCCAGCAAAATAGGGCCTGACAAATGCCATGGATTAGGTCAAATTGCGCTGTTGGTAATTGCCGTCAAAAGTGTCTATGGCAAAACTGGTAGTTCCCATTTTACTAAGTCTAATACTACAACCAGGGGTGTCGATTAGTACCATACTAGCACTCTCCCTACCTTAGCCCACTCATCACTAACAAACACCACGTTCACATACTACTTACATCCAGCGCGTGCAAACACGTTCCTCGACACTTTGGTGCGTTTGATTTGAACCGCATTCTATTTTTCTTTGCTCTACTCTACGAGAAAACTCACGCTGTCATGCTGACCTGCGAGGTTCTGCGAACCCGAGCTCAAAAAGGTGAATGATCGAGATCACGTGCCTGCGCTTAGCGTTCTGGCTGAGCGCCACCGTAAATTTCTCGATATAAGTGTGTCTAATCTTTGGTGGCGTCAGAAAATTGACTATGTCATGTGACTAGAGGAAAGGGCCGAACTTCGTCGGCAGGGACCTTGTTTACCATTCATCATACTGTTTGAATGATAGATAATTGGCATTTGCTTTATAAATGCGAGTTGTGACGGAAATACAGACTCAAATATGAATCTGTACAGTAGTTGGTTGCTGTCATATCAGACGAAGAACTTGAATTCAATATTAATTGTACCATGGAGTTGAGCAGATATTAGCGCTGGCCTGCGACACAAAGATCGATCCTGCGCACTTGCTTAAAGGCCAGAGACGTGCCTGCAACGTTATTGACCGGCATTTGGCAGAAACACCAGCCAGGCGAGTGTGATCACAACCAGGAGGTGGTGTAGGAAAATTGAAGACTATCCAGAGAATTTCTGCAGCAAAAGAGTTGGTCACATGTTTGTCAAGGCTGCATACACTGGCATAGCAGCATCAATTATTGACGGAAAGACTCTGCACGTCATTGAAAAGATTCCCGTCAATGGTTGTGAACAGTCACAGCATTCTCACCCACAGCAGTGACAGCACCCATCGTCGAAATCTGAAGTTGGCGGGTCCAAGGGAAGAAATATATCCAGCTCATCGAGCTCAGCATTCAACTGTTTGACCCTTGCTGCCTCTTCCTGTTGGATTGAAGTGATGAACTCGAGATCCTGGGAAGCACGCCCTGCGTCGCGATCAGTCACCATGCGTGTAAAGAGCGCTGCCTCCTCAAATGCCCGAATAGTTTGATCCTCCTGCTCCTGCTGCTCACAATCGATGAAATCTCTGAGCCTCGAGAGCTTCTCTGCCTCCCAAGCCAAAGCCATTGAAAGATGCCGGCGATGTTCAAGTTCTGCCTCCTTGTAATAAGCAGCACGGCGCACTCCTTCAGAGGACAACCGCTGCAAGCCCTGAGAAAATATTTTGCAGGTCTAGAGACGTGATTAAATGTCACTGAGAGTCGGAGCATAAAGTATTGTAACATACCATATCATCGTCAAGGTCTGAATCCATACCGCCAGTCAATCGTCCCATCACGCTTGCCATCTTACGCTCAGCCTGCGGAGTGGGGGGAGTTTTCCAGACATAAGGGTGGTAACTGGACTGCAAATTCTGCTTTAAAACGTATGCCACCCCGCCTTTTTGTAGTGGGTGGACCGACATCAGCATGTCCTAAGGAAGTGACAGATGCTGCAAAGATTTGAATTAAGTGTTGTCTGAGGTGTTTTCTGAGATGATATGATGAGTACCTGGGGGTGATGAGGGACAAAGGCTACTAGGTGGAGAAGAGCTTTGGGGGCTATCATGGTAGACGCGAGTGAAAGCTTCAGCATAATCAACCTTTGGGAGAATCAGACTTGACTTTGAGCTATGCAGTGGACTGGTTGGCGGGGTTTCGCCACGCGGATACTGGAACAGAGACTCTGGAGGATACATAAGTGGTGTCTCAGTCGCTTGGTGTGCACTGTGTTCAACAGCAAGCCCCAACAAAAGTCGGAGTTTCAAAGACTTAGTGCTTTTCGAGTGGTGTGCAAAGTATCGCACTGGTGGTACCTCAGAGTGGTCATTCCTATGGCGTATCCTCAGCTTTACGATCCATATAACCCCGGTTTTCAGCACAAGGAACCCGACTCTGAGTTCGCAGAGTTGACTGAAAAGTGAGCAGTACTGTGCGGTGTTAAATGACTCACTGATCTATTTCTCCAGTTCGCCCTTCAACGTTGCTGTCGTCTTGTGTCCTAACTGCAAGAAACAATACCAATCAGCCGAGGCAATAATTGAGCATCTAAATAGTGCAGACTCATGCTGGCCAGAGAACCTCACCAACAGATCAATGCTTCCAGTACCGCAGGCTCTACAGCGACCGCCAGAGCAGACAAACTTATCAGCAAAGTATCACCCCACCTCTGGCTACCATTACATTCTTCCAGATCAACTGCCTGCACAAAATATGTTTCAAGAAATGCAAGACCATCCTCTTCAAGAAGCCAGGGAGACTAATGTATGGTATCCATTTGATGGGCTGGGTGAATGGTCACTCGCGAAATTCCTTGTCGAGAACCTCTCTCAGACGCAGATCGACAAATTTCTCAAGTTAGATTGGGTGCGTTGTCTAATTGTCATCAAGTAAATACTTAAATGACATACTACTTCAGTTCCAGATGAGAGAGCGGCCGCAATTCAAAATGAAGGACAAGTTGTTCTTCTACATGCAGCAGCTTCCTGGCTGTGGGCCGAAATGGCAGTGTACGAAGCTTAAGCTCAAGGGCTACGAGAGTGAACGACCGATTCACCTCATTTGGAGGGACGGGTTGGAGGTTACGAAGCAACTTTTTGCAAACCCCGTTTATGCGAAACACATGTGCTATGACCCACACCATATCTATCAAGGACAAGAACACCAAATTGGAGAATTTTGGACTTCGGATGATGCATGGGAGATTCAGGTAAGTAGTCGCACTTTTGTTTAGAGCTACTTGAGTGATTGACACTTGATAATAGGATCAACTACCGGAAGGGGCGACTATCGTTCCGATCATCGCTGCTTCTGACAAAACCCCAGTTACAAGACACACAGGTGGCCTCGAGATGCACCCATTATTCCTCACCATCGGAAATATCCAGGCCGATGTCCGCATGAAGGCTACATCACATGCGTGGCGATGTACTGCGTTCATGCCAATACCGACTTTCATTGTCAACTCTGATTTTCAAACTCTACTCCGGGCGCGTCTGTGGCACAAGTGCATGGATCTCGTATGTTCCAATTTGAAGGTCGCAGCTCGTGTTGGCAAGTATATGGTCGATCCCTCGGCCAAAATCTGTTACTGTTTCACGCCTCTAATCAGCCACATCGCCGATCTCCCCGAACAATTGATGATCGCATGCATCATGAAAAACTCGTCTCCCGTCACCACAGCGACCCACAAAGAGTTTGGTGATGAGACACCGCATCCTCCACGGAATGGATCGGACACCTACGCGCTTATCCAGCAGCTTTGCAACCGTGTTGACCCATGGGATCTCATTATATACGTTAGAGAGTCCAAAAAGCTCCATCTTAGTGGGGTGCACTTGCCGTACTGGAGAAACTGGAGGTGCTCCAATCCCGCTAGATTCCTGACGCCAGAAATTCTGCACATGCTACACAAATTCTTTTTCGATCACGTCCTTAAATGGATCAAGCAGATCATGGGTCATGAACTTGATGTACGGTTCAAGAGTCACCACAAGCGCACTGGTGTGCGCCATTTCTCTGGGGGTGTCTCTCATGTCAACCAAATGACAGGATGAGAGCACCGAGATATTCAGCGCACAATTGTGCCGACGCTGTGGGGTATCACAAGCCCTGGTTTCATCCACGCTGTGCGGGCAATGATTGACTTTATCTACCTTGCTCAGAATCCCCTTCACACTGAATCCAGCATCGCCTCCATGACTCAAGCACTTCAAGACTTCCATGATCATAAGCAGGCCATCCTCGATGCAGAGGCACGCCAGGGAAAGAGCGGTGCTAAAGACGACTTCTTCATTCCGAAATTGGAACTCATGCAAAATTTCGCTCGTGCGATCTCCCACGTCGGTTCGCTCATGCAGTGGACAGCAGACGTATCGGAACGTCTTTTAATTACTCACTGCAAACATCCGTTTGAACGCACGAGTCGTCAGAGAGACTTCGTCTTGCAGATCGCTCGCATCCTCGATCGGGAGGAGTCCATCCGGCAGTTCGACCTTTACACACTGTTGTCCTCGTCTGTATCTACACCTGGTCAGGACCCACTCATGAACACTGTCATCATGGAGGACGAAGAGATCGCTAGTACGGAGACAGATCCCACCTTTGCTTGGGTCTCCAACGCAAACCCAGCTGCCCAGCTATGTCTACAAGCGCCGCGCCCTGTTCGCAATCACTTCTTGAAGGGTATTTTGTCGGACAATGCACGGATTGCCTTCAATGTGACTGTGAAAGCAGATCACAATCGCCTTGATGCGTCTCAACTGCAGTCGTCGTACGACATCACTGATTTTTCTCATGCTTTACACCTCTACGCGACCCGCAATGGTTGTACACTCTCCGACCAGCTACTATTCAATACATGGTTGAAATTTCGCATCCAGTTATTTTCCGCATTCCATACTTGCAGGATCATGCCGAGCCAACAAATTCACGCCGAGCCACCTTCCAGTAATTTTCCTAGAGGGAACTGCAACGCCGTATTATTTAACCAGAGGGTCGATGGTCGTAACGATGGTGAGTATTACTAGATTTACCGGTGGTGACATTTCCTGATGGGCCTCTACAGGATCTTATGTCGCTCAAGTACGAGCCATATTCCAGCCAACCCTCCCCAGAGGTTCTCGTGCGCAGCTCCCCGAGCGCTTGTCTCAGGTGCTGGTATATATCTAGCATTTTGACTTCGTCGTGCCTGGCCCCGAGCCATCTACGGGCATGTGGATGGTCAGACGATCTTATACTCGATATTCAGCACAGTCGGAAAGGGTGATCAGACGCGGATCCATAATTCCTCTCACAGACGTTACGCATGCGGTGGAGATTATACCTGTCTATCAAGGACCATTGGGCAGGGACGTGAATTCTGGGAACTCAATGGAGGTGTTTGACGACTATTTCTTGAATAATTTTGCAGACAAAGAGCTGTACCACTCGCTATCAGTGATCTCAGATGCCTAGATAGATTTTCATGTAGCGCAGTTATCAATCTCAATCTTGGACTGATTCGATATCTTGATCATATCATGAGCCCATCTCTTGATCTTAGACGGGTGCCGATCTGCAAATTTGGTTTCCGAGAGTTATAATACCAAAAAGGGCTGTGTACGAGAGTATCCCTGAACTATCCCAAAAGCATCACTCTCAAGTGTCTCTCAAGACGAGTCCAAACATAGATGTACTACTCATCACAATTTATCGTTTTGTTATGGTTTCTCCCGATCGATCGATCTTTCGAAGCTTCGCATCGTATAGTGCACACATTGCATTGCATCCATTGCACTCTCGCAATGCAAAGGTAAGACACTACAATCTATATAGTAAGTCCATCACCAAAATTACTGAATCCAGACATTACCTTGTTTACAAGGTCACTCACAGCTTGTAATTGTGGCTGAAGGATAAAGTTATGCATCCGTGGGAAGTAATAGACAAATTTAAGTTGTATGCATACGATGCTCGCAAAACCAGAAATACTATCACTACCAGTCACTACTTAGTACGACTGCTACATATCGAATCGATAAGTTCTTCTCCTGATTTCCGCGTCTTTTTATACCACCATTTCTCGGTCTCCATGTCCAACTTTGCCAATCTCTCATCTTCAATTCGCGAGGTTTGCAGGGATGTGCCATCAGCAACTTTCCATCTAAATATCGCAACAGTCGAATATCGACACTGCCATGCCAGGGCAACATACACGTTGAATATGTCAGCACACCATGACTAGGAAGTGTTACAATATCTATAATGGAGTTGCTGATCATCTGACCTTGTGATGGTACGTCAGTTCCACACCGCCGACGCAAACTCCATCAGAGATCCTCCCAGTTTTGGTCAATCATCTGTCGGAGACCGCTCCGAGTATGAGCTGGCGACAGGGCCAAGGGTATCGAAGTAGGAGTCTAATTTTATTAACCAATACCAAGGTAAGCTTCGTTGTTTCATGTGGCAGCATGCGCTCATCTATTGATAGGATGTAGCCTGAATGATAGGGTTAGATAACTGTAAGGTGGTACATATGCAAATTTGTGTTTCTACTTTCGACGATTTGGTGTGTTGACGTCTTTATTTGTAGTTTGTAGAACTACGATTACCATTGAATGTAGCACTTCGTGAACTTTGTTTTTTGCCTTACGAGGATGATTGTTACAGACACTCTTTATTGATTGTTTCTGCAAGTGACCACCATGCCCGCAAGCCAAACCAGAGGCCGCCGAAGAGTTGTGCGGGAAAGTCACACCTTTAGATCCCCCCCTTCGTATGCTGACTCCTTATTGCACGATGACAGGACGTGCCCATCATTCGACAACCGGGACTGAATGTCGCTGGACACTCATCAGCAGATCAGCTGGGCTGCACATCAGAGATCCCAGAGTCGATGGGCATCCCTGAATTGCCCCCTCACATCTATCCTCCCCCTGTTTTCTCGCACGATGGCTACAGCTCAATGCCGCCTAATTCCCAGGACAGCATGCCTTTACCAAGGGCATCACACTTCTCTGGGACAACCCCTCGCGCGCCGGGGCCTGATCGAGTCCAGCGATCATTTGCACCTTCGGGCGATACCGCGTCTCGGTATCGCATGGTGTATGCTTATTTACCGCTTCGCGGTGGAGAGAAATCCCGCCAAGAGTATACGGATGGTGTTGTTTATGTGAGCCTTATATTTATATCCTCCGAGTTGTACTTATTCATGTATTAGAGAGACAACACGACGGGTGTACAAAAATCGACTACATGATGGTACCAACTCCCTCCCATTAGACCCCCAAGGGAGTCACATTTGTCGGATTCGGAAACTACGCCAATCGCTACTACCTCTCAACGCTCTACGTCAGTCCGTGCAGGTCGCCAGTACAGTCAAGGGGACCGCTCCAGCACCACGACCACAACAGTACCTTTAATCGACAAAAACAATTTGAAAATCATTACGAAGGACGCGAAGGACGCCATCATCAAAGAGACACTTAATCGATGTGGCTTCCACGATTCGTCGAGTCGATTAAGTGTAGTACAAGCTGCTCTGACTGATGCGTGTTCGTCCGTTATTGGCGAAGGTGAGTTTCCCGTTGGTGCTACAGCTAGGATACGTGCTAATGGGTAGTGATGTGCATGGCCCGGCTTCAAGCCGTGGGCCGAGCCAAGCCGGGCCAAATTAGGCCGGGCCAAGCCAGGCCAAACTGACGGCCTGACCAGGGCTTTGGCCCGGCTTGGAATTCTGAAAAGCCAAAGCCGACGGCCTGAGCCGCGGCTCCTAGCCTCTACCATCGACAACGACAATGAACATTTTGACACCAAATTTTGGTATATAATTTGGTTCATAATAAGTTATAACACATGCTGAACTTCGAAACAAACAAACGAGGACCAACACACACAACTTACAAGTCGGTCTGTGCTTCAACCAATTCAGCTCTTGTGATCCGCATGGTCAATACAACTCAACGTCACATTACAATTACTAATTACTGCTTGCGCCAGTCTTACCTTGATAGTTTTTTCAACGTTGGCGCGCAAATTTGGAATGGTCTGCTTGGCTAGGTCGAACGGACTCGTGCCAAATTGAATCAAGTTGAACAACCCCAGCGGGGCCCGTGTACCAGCCGTCGCACACATCCAGCCTCAAATCTTCCAAAACCCTGCAACCTTTGATCTTGAGAGTGCGACTTTTGCTTCTCAGGCTTGTAATTCACACTTTTGCTTACAATAGACGGGCGTTGGCAGGTCTTCACTGATCAATCAGGCATTCGGAGTGGACAAAGCGGTAGGCTGCTCATCATCTTAACACTGCTTTGAAATACCCCATGCAGGCGGGCGTTTATTGGAGACTGGCACGGAGGCATTCCTTACATTGAAGCGCGACGGAAAACTCGGAAATAGTTCGTTTGTTATCGCTCCATGCAGGTGACCGCTAACCCTGGTCCAAAGTTCCCGTCGTCGTAGTTTTCACAAAATATGATATGCTCATCGATCTCGTGGATCGTACTCTGGACAGCTCCTCTCTCACGCAGCGAAAGAAACACATGAGGAAACACGAGCCCATCTGAATCCGTCCGTCAGCATTTGGCGCCCGAAGTGTGAATCGTCGCGATTTGCATTCTGAGGCGCGCACTGGCAGGTGAGTCTTGTCAGAATCGCAAATTCCCTACTCGAGCCGCGGCTCAGGCCAGAGCCAGGCCAAAGCCAGCCGTCATTTGCGGCTTTGGCCCGGCTTGGATTTTTTGCAGGCCAGAGCCGTCTGAAGCCAGGCCAAAGCCGTGGCTTTTGGGCCAAGCCGGGCCGGAACATCACTACTAATGGGATAGCTACTAGAACACTTGATCAAACTTTGGATCGACGAAAACGCATCCGGGCTATATAAGACTGTCATCACACCAATGTCGACAATACTCAATCGTTTCAAGCAGTGTGCGCAGGACCTCGTCGAAACCCTATACCGGCTCCAAATGTCAATCTGGGCGGACCCGGTGGTCCAGGCCAATCACATCAAGTCGACCATCGATTTCCTCACCAGCAACAATTCCCTCAATTTTATATTTGGTGAATCAGTGAAAGTATGTACTATTTTTCGAATGCTACTGTTCGAAGGATGACAAATTATCAACAGATTGATGGCCACGAGTTGCGGTACCCGTTCGAGCACGAAGCAATCATCCAGATTGCAAAGTGTGCGGCATTTCGTGATGGCTACGGCAAATTCATCGACTCGGACAGTGGCTTCGACAACATCATGGCGATCTCTGGTACAGCGGCATGTTGTAGTTTGCAAGAGTTTGCGACTGGTGAATTCAACCAAATTGACTTTACTTACACTACTTTTCACGCAATGTACGAGAGACTCCTGAAGTTCATTCGCGAGGATATTAGGAGCTCTTTGACATTGCAAACTCGGTGGAACAAATTGCATCAACTTTTTCGTAGCGGAGCTCGTTGATTAGTAGATCATTATCTTACGAGTTATCTTCAAGTTGTAGATATGATAATCTCAATCAAATCGGCATCTCTTGTGGATTTAGTCAGGACTTGACCTTCCACCAATCGCATGAATGCGCTACTGAAGTCGTAAGTGTTCGTAACGCGCGTAAGTTAAGCGTTCATTTCGTCGTTTTGCAGATGCTAAGGCCTAGAAGGATCGAAAGGTACGACGCAATGCGAATGTTGTTTTCATTATCTACCTGATCTGGCCATATCAACCGTTACGGTACAAACATAAAATAATCAGAACCCATCGTACCACGCCATAGTGGGTTTTCACTGGGGACGACTTGTGCGTGTAAAGAAATTTATATGAGTGAATACTAAAGATCTGGGGATATTCGGGTTACTACGCGTCCAAAAATATTTTCGAGAAATACTTCTTCACGCCTTCTGCACCATGAACAATCGCCCCAACCATTCCGTCTGGCCGTAACGCTTCCTCGCGCAAGGCCTGAAGGCCTGACCCCTGAGTTCAAACAATAAAAACCCTCCATGAGTTAGCCCGTGACAGCATTCACACTACTCGCATGAATTCCCGATTTCGCTCCCGGACAAGGTCACAGTGTGGCTTCCAAGCAGCTTCCATAATTTTCGGGATCCCTTGCAACCGCCGTACGATGTACGTCCAACCAACCCCAAACCACTCCTCGGCAGCCTTGCACTGGGCTTCTAGAGACTTGTGAGAGAGGCTGGCGAGCATTTACGACGAACGGATTTAGCCTAGGAGGGTTTTCCTGCTATCACTCGGACCTTGTCCGGGAGCGAAATCGGGAGTTCATGCGAGTAAGTGAATGTTGTCACGGGCTAACTCATGGAGGGTGTTCAAACTTTGTTTGCACTTAGCGGTCAGGCCTTGCGCGAGGAAGCGTTTGTGCATGCCATTTGCCATCAGATGAGGGAATTGAGTAAGGTTCGGCTCCAAGTTGTATAAGAGGGCACCATGAATTCTCTGTGCTAACCCAACAACTTCTGAACTCAACAACCTCTACATATGGATTTCACTCATCCTCCTGTGCTAATCGTAAGTGATCTGCTTATGATAGAAGCCAGCACCTTTGCTGAATTTCTCTTTCTTAGGTAGGGGCCGGGCCAGTGGGCCTGGTAGCAGCGTTGACGCTCCTCCAGAACGGCATCCCAGTTCGCATCATCGACAAAGACCCTAACCCTCGCATCGGACAGCGTGGTGCCGCATACTGGGTTCGTCATATTATATATATATTCTTTTCATATCACCCTATGGTCTCATTAACCGCACGGACAGCCACGGTCCCTCGAACTCTTCAACTTCCTGAATGTCCCAGAAATCAACAATCTGGCGACTCCAGCCCTTCCCGTCCGTTCGTACAAGCCCGGGACGATGGAGCCTCTGATACAGCCCCAGTTACTCCCGACTATGAAACCTAACCCTGCGGTACCATTTGTGCGCAACACTGTCGTCTGCTCAATGCTCGAGTCTTCATGTTGATTGTTGGGTTTTGTTTTAGCATATCCTCATGATGATGGGTCAACAACTCGTAGATGTAATTCTGAAAGGCCACCTTGCGAAGTTCTCTTGCTCTGTCGAGATGGGAACAGAACTGTGCTCATTTGAGCAGTCCGACGAGGGCATTACTGCTGTTCTCGCGAAGAACGGCATATTAGAGACGTTCAATACCAAGTGGATGATCGGTGCTGATGGCGCTAAAGGCAAGATATGGTTAAATACAACAGAACGAGACTGAATTTGGTTCGCAGGTGTCGTGCGCAAGCAACTTGGGCTCACGTTTTTGGGCGAGACTAGACCCGGTGACCAACTTCTGACCGGAGATATCTGTTTGAAGAGCGATAGTATTGATAGAGTGGTGTGTTCATGTTGTACGTTCTCGATTGAAAGCTGTTCTGATCCAGTCTCGAAGCATTGGCACCAGTTTGGAAACTATGCTGAACGAAGGTATGTTCCGTTTCTGCTCTTGCGGCTTAGAGATGTGTATTGACGGTGCATTGACGACCTACAGCGTGTTGTTGCAGCCAACAAAGGAAGTTGGAGAGGACGGCTGGCAATTTTTTTTCTTCGGCCCTGAACTAGACATGCCGAAGCTCGCTCAGAGCGAGGAGCTTGTCTTCGAGACCATCACGTCCTTAATACCAGCGGAGATCACGTTCGACAAGGTGGTTTGGATGAGCGCATTCCAGTGCGTTTTGTATTCCTCTAGGTGTCGACACGCGTTCACGAATTTCTTTAGAGCCAATATCCGAATGGTGGATAAGTTTAGCGAGGGTCGAGTCTTTGTTGCAGGCGGTATGTGGTTCGATTTTAGACGTGTGTAGCCGTGTTGATAGGAGTGGTGGTAGATGCTGCTCAGTATGTCTCTCTTTGAATGTCTTCCGAGGCTCTTCATAAGCTGCTTCTAACACATATTCAAGTGTCCATAGTCCAATGGGTGGCCAGGTATGGTGGTTTGATCGGTGCAAATAATTACTCATTTGTCTATGAACAGGGACTCAATTCAGGTGTGCAAGATGCTGTAAGTCAGGTAGATCCAGCATGTACGACACAGCTAACCGTGCTCTACGCCAGTTCAATATAGGATGGAAGCTTGCGCTCGTCGAAAAAGGACTCGCCGACAAGTCTCTTCTCGAGACATACAGTGCCGAGCGTTTGCCTGTCATTTCTGAGTTGCTCGACATGACCACCACGATTCTCGACAAGGCAATCTCAGGAGATTTCTCGCTCGCACGAACCCCGAAGCTTTTCATGCTCGGCATCAATTGCCGATTCAGCAACATCGTCCTGGATGAGTTTGTGCCTCCAGTCGAGGGCAGGCCTATCAACGCCTACGGGGAGGATTACGAGGGGCATCTGGAGGCTGGAGACAGGGCGCCTGATGCGCCCAATATGCTCCAGGTGGGGCGCGGAGAATCCGATGTGAAGACGCTTTTTGGTCTGTACAGACCCTGGTACCACACGGTGCTTGTGTTCGTGCCGAGTCTCGCTGATGCTAGCCCGATCTTGGGAGCACTGGAGGCATTGGACAAAAGTGTCGTGCGTTCGGCAGTCGTTCTGCCCTCATTGGCGTTAGCGACGGATGTCGCATCTCTTGCGGACCTCGTCCTTGTTGATCAGGATGGCCATGCCCATTCGGCTTACCTCGTGGAAGCTGGCAAGACAAAGGTGTTTGTGATACGGCCAGACGGAATGGTTGGGGCGATTGTTCATGGTGCAGAAGGCGTGAAGAAGTATTTCTCGAAAATATTTTTGGACGCGTAGTAACCCGAATATCCCCTCTTTAGTATTCACTCATATTTTCTTTACACGCACAAGTCATCCCTGGTGTATCACGTTTGTAACTGGATTACGATATAGAATTACACCAATTTGTAGGAGTTCGAAACAATTCGCTGCTCGAGCGGGACTCACGCAATACGCAGCCTTGTTCACTGCTGAGGCTGTTTTCATGCAGTTCATTATCACGCCCTCCTTCGGGCCGTTTGAACAAATTCTTGTAAAATGCTTCGACGACGTGTTTTACGACAGTGTCGTTGACCAACAACAGCGTGCCTGTGACACTATGTTGAACCCGGATAACTCCAGCTGCGAGGTGGTGTAAGCACACTGGCTTACTTGAGTTCTCATAATCAATACATATACTGTCGCTGGTACTGAAGACTAAGTCTTCAGTATTTCTCCCTTTTGGTGTATCGGTTATGCGGCGCGGCAGCTGACCTACTTACAGGTGGATGACTTTGTGTGTCTTGTCTTTTCATCGCCGACAGCGGTACGACAGCGGTCTGTCCGGGACTGTCTGACGTCACCTGCCCAACACTAAACAGGAAGGCACCTCGGTCTATTGAATGCTGCCTTAAGCTTATGACGAACAACCTCAGCGTCCCTCACTCCCAAAAACTTCAAGTCGCCGATCTCGCAGGCGCTGAGACTACCCCTCCCCGAAAACTAAACTCACACCTGTCAATCCTCAGCCTCTTCAAGAAATCAAATATGGCCTTCCCAGTTACTGGCCATGATTTGCGCGATGAAGAAAACGACACAGGATGAGTAGTGGGCTGAGTGGTGGGATAAGGCGGGGAGTGGGGATATGGAAACTGTGAATGAAGTTTAGGAGAGGCAGAGAGGGGTGGTGGGTGAGGTTAACCGAGTCTCTAGAGGTAATGTGTAGCGCCTCACTCAATTCAAGCCTGCTGTCGACAGATAAGAGCGCCTGGCCTTGCCCGGCACCGGATTGACGTTTCCCGATTGCCACACAAGATGGAAAGACACTCGAGCGATTGAATCCTACCTGTGGTGTTGATCTCGTCGTTCTACACCTACGACAACGAATCGATGTGGGAGGTTGATTAGCGAACGAGAAACACCGAAAACTAGTTGGGCCGGGAGTTGGCCGAAAAACCAAGATGGAAGACGACGCTGTAAGCAAGGCTGTGGCACTTGTGAAAATGATCACATAGGTGTTTGGATAAAACGCGCCTGGGAAGGCGGAAACTCCGTCGCATCATTAGTAGTTGATTTGAGATTCGAAAAAAAGATATTTGCAAGCAGCCTTACCATTCACGTTTCGCTACGAGCGATGAGGGAGGGTGACTATATTGTGAGTTCAATAAGACCACGGTCCGATATCTCAGAAGTAGCAGATAACATACCCAGATTCCGGAACCACGCTGTGCGATGCGAGGGTTTTGGTTTGTATCGAGTCTTTATCGATGAAAGGATGTTTTGGAGGGGGGCGGAGCGTCAACGCTGCTACTAGGCCCACTGGCCCGGCACCTACCTAAGACAAATAAATTTAGTTCAGGTCACTTACAATTAGCATAGATGGGTGAATGGAATTCATATGTAGCGCTCGCGAGAGGACTTCCAAGACAAGTAGTTCGAAGTCCAGGGGATTCAGTCAACGGAATCGTGTGAAATTCAACTGCGTATTAGTATCAGCATCCTCAGGTCCTGTTTGTCATAACAAACTAGGTGCGACCGAGTATTGCATTGCAAAGCTTCAAGTGCGCAGACTCGTGTTGCATCGCCCAAAAAAGTGACGGGGTTGGCTGCCATGGGGACAAGCTAACAGACTAATTCAAGCACGTTGTCGAGACTCGACAGACAAGAATGCCTCCATTTGCCCGGCACCAGATTGACTTTTCCCGATCGTCGCAAAAGATGAGAGCGCGCTGGAAGCAAGGCTGCGAATGCATCTCAAAAATATTATCATGCAAATGCGCTTTGGAAGGGGAAGGGGAAGGTAACCGAAGGTTGCAGAATTAGTAGTGGGTTTGAGACGCGAGAAGAAAGAAATTTGGCTGCACCTGGTGCACACGCAGATCTTGGGAGTCGACGAAATGAATCGGTGACATTGCAGTAAGATAAATGCGTCAGGACAAGTTAAATGGTGAGGCTGCGATGTGCTGGAGAACCTGCTCGACACGAGAAGGATATATAGCTGTCGGCCAGATCTGAGCGCTGGGAAGTATTAACTGCATTATCACAATTGGATGCGATGGGATACATGCTGAAAGATATGGAGATAAAAGTCGGATGTACACAGTGCAGAGGCAGCGGGAGGGCATACTGTCGAGAAAGGCGGGTATGACAATAGGGAGCATCATTGACCTTCTCTTCGTCCTTTGTTTCTTTATGCAGGAAGAACTGCATGCAGCCCATCTCCCAAGTACGTAGGATTTCAGGAGTTAGTTGCCCTGCAGTAAGAAACGGAGGTTTGCTTGCCGAAGTTTGTTCAACACACGCAAATTTGGTCGTGGAAGCCATAGCCGTGGTGGAGATGTCGGATTTGGATGATTCTGATTGTGAGGATATATGTGTGTTTGTTAGCGAGGGTGGACATGAGATATTTAGGGAGGTTAACCCTGTTGAGGGTTGTGATGGATCTGAAATAACAGCAGGTGTAAGGGTTCCACTTGTTGTGGTGGTAGCCTTGCTACGGCTACGAGTTGTAACTGTCGTAGGAGGAGCGGTACAACAGTGAAGGCAGCTTATTGTTGTTCAGTGCAGGTCTTGACATAAGTCAGTACCCGACGGATGTATTCTTTTGGGTAGTCGGCGAGGAACAATAGTTACAGTAACAGCAGCGTAACGGTGGACAGAAGATTAATGCTCGGCTGATCATTAAACAAAAGTGGAAAGCCGTCATGTTTGACGGTAAACACTGAGCGGTCAAACAGCAACGAGGAAGAGCATAAGATTCTTGAGACAGTAAGAGGCTGATCTACAAGTATAACTCTAGGGGCTATATATAGGGATCAGTAATGTGTAGCCAAATATCTGATAACAAACTGCAGTGTCCAATCATAGTGAATCGTGCGATGAGCATAAGAAACACCTACTGTAGTCATGCGTTACAGAAAATGGCTAGGGAGATGTAATTGTCGCTTAGTCCAGACCAGAGAACATACATACCGAGCTGATGATGAGAATATAAGACCTGACTAGATGAAAGCCGGGAGTCATCCGAGAACAGATACTGGACCACGGCGAGTAGTAGACCTTATAATGCCCTAGGTCATCGAACGGTTTAGCTTGTTCGTATGCGACTGGAGATCGACAACGAAAACGAGCGTCTACTCTGCTCTCCGTTATCCGATGCGGAAAGAACAAGAAAAGTGGACCACAGAACTGGCAGAAAAGCGAAATCTTGGCGGGGGATTCAGAAGTTCAGGGGTTAGGCACCCGCTGCAATTAAGCGATGTTCGAGTCAGGAACAGTCTGGGGCAACGATTGTAAGAACACATCGCTTCACATTTAAACTATTGGTACGTACAGTCGATCATTTAGAGCTTCTACCCATCTTGCGACTGCTCAAGCAGACTGGGCTGGTGATGACTGACAGGCGAAGATATAAAGGGCTATCCCGACAACTGTGAAGCCAAAACAGCACCTAGGAAATGCGTTCCTGAGTGTAGGGAGTGAATAGTAACAATCAAGCCGTTGTGAAGGATATTCTCTGACACTCGTGTACAGTAGTAGTCATACACAAGGTACTCGTAGAGTCAAGGTTTGGCGTGGCAGAGCGATGGTAGCAACCATGTCATGCCAAAGACTGTCGACGTCAATATATTGATCTCAAACATGCGATGTATACGTAGCTCAATGTGCGAACTATCAGGTGCGTTGGACTGCTAAGTAACGGACCGTAGCGGGCCTCATTCGGCTTGTTCCAGAAATAACTGTCGATGACTATAAATAGAGCTAACTGCTATCGGTATCTTCACAAGATATGATATTTGGATTGAACAGTCATGTCGTCTGCAATGCCGCGTCTGGCAGTAGTCGCCGCTGGGGCCATGGGCTCTGCCGTGGCGAAGCGCCTAGTCAGCTTCGGCTGTACAGTATACACCAATCTTGATGGCCGCTCTGAAGCCACGCGAAAGCGCGCCCAAGATGCAGGGATGATTAACGTTTCCATCAATGAGCTTGTGCTCAAGTCAGATTGGATTCTAAGCATTTTGCCACCAAGGGACGCTGTGTCGTTTGCCGAAAAGATACAGGATGCTGCTGCCAAACATGGGAGCGCATTTCCCTCCCCACGAACATTTGTGGACTGCAACGCTGTGAACCCGGAAACGGTAAAGCGTATCGCGGCCCTATTTGCAGGGACGAGTGTCAAGTTTGTCGATGCTGGCATTATTGGAGGGCCCCCGAAAGGCAACTATGATCCTACATTCTATGCATCAGCAGAAGACGGGAAGATGTTGGATGAATTCACTGCGCTGTCGAACTATGGGTTGAAAGTATCTCCTCTGAAAGGAGAAGGGGTCGGGGTCGGGGACGCTAGCGCACTCAAGATGTCATATGCTGTAAGTGAAAGAGCAGACGAATAAGTTGTACGTTGCTTGAACATGTTGAACAGGGAATAACAAAGGGAACGACGGGTTTGTATACCACGATGGTACTAGGTGATTGCTATCTCCTTGTGAAGAAAACGAGTGATTGACGGAAGGCAGCGGCTCATGCATCGTCGCCTGCGACCGCAGATGCTCTCATGAGAGAGCTACATATGTCCCAGCCTGTTTTGTTGAACCGCCTGGTTGAGGCTGTACCGCCCATGCTACCGAAAGCGTACAGATGGATTGGAGAGATGGAAGAAATTGCTGACTTTGTTGGTGGGGGTGAGGGGGACGTGTACCGGGGTATAGCGAAAGTATATGAGCGGATTGAAAAGTCGATAGCGGGTGACGAGGTGGACGTAGCGACGTTGAGGAAATTTGTAGAGAAAGCAAAGAAATTGGACTAGCTAGGACCTGCTAGGACACGAGCTGGTTGTCAATGAAAATTCTTGATGGATGAGGTTAACGTTTGGTTACAGCAACGTAAATGAACTGCTGTAAACTTATATTGACCTGATACACTTGTTCCGAATTCGGGAGGATCGATTACGGCCTTGCAGGGGGTTACTATCTTTAAGCGATAGTCGAAACGTTGACTGCGTCGGACCCGTTAACCTTCAATTTTCTCTTCTTTGATTTCCTAGTTTTTGGTTGTCTCCTTATTGCTTTTTCGATTGGAGAAATCAACTCAGTTTTCGTGGTCGTCGTCGTCCTGGTGCTCATTACGTCCATCGATTATTGTCCCTTTGGCGCCTGGGAAATCTCCAGCTCATCCGCTTTTTTGAATCGTCAAGAGGCGCCATTTCTTGAACATGGCCGTTGCTGTGGGCGAGATAGCCGCTGATCTGAAACCACTTTCTCTGTCATCAGACACTCAGACAGCCCCTGGGTCACAGGCACCCTCTGCAACCGATCTAGACGCAAAGACCAATGGACATACCACGGACACTTCTGCTATACCCCAGGTAAACGTCAATGGGGAACCCATGCGCAGTCCCCGCCCGTCAGCAAGTTTTGGCCGTGTAGACGCAGAGGATGCGAGATGGGGCTCCAATTTTTGGGTGACTTTAGTAGATCCGCAGGTATTCATCTCGTCTCGATCGTCGACATGGTTTCATGTTTAGAACGCACTTTTAAAAGACTAGCACTGTATTCTTCGCGTGCCCTGCCACTGGACAAGTGAGCTGGGATCCACCAGCTGGTACGTTTGTGTGCGTGATGTCATAATTTCAAATATTGAGCTCTGTTCTTACCTGTGTTTGTGCAGTTTGCCTCCGAGCACAGAGGGAGAGTGGTGGGAGCTCAGTGATGACTCCCGTGGTGGAATCCCATACTACTATCAAACCAAGACGGGGGAGACGGTCTGGGAACGTCCAGATGGTTTTGTCATTCCTTTGACTATCATTCAAGTAATGCATTCACGTTAACTGATTCTTCTTACAAGTGTAGCTAACACTTCTCCTACAGCAATCCGCCCTGGGTCGTCGTCTTTCGCAGAATGGCATGCGCAAAACCAATCCTGAAGTCCAGGAATCCACCGCAGCGCCAGGTCGGTCCCCCTGTCGAACTCGGACTCGATCACAGGCAAGTCTAAAAGACGCACGCCATGTGTCACCCCGTTCCAACGAAGAGCCTCCGTTGCCGCGACATTCGTTGTCATCAGCACGGAGTTCGCCAGGAAGGATATCAGCTTCTGGGGCTAGCCCGACCAAGAAGTCTCCTACCGTAAGGCGCTCATTTACCACAGACCAATACGGTCACGCAAACTCCCCTCGTGGATGGACAAATGGACATCATCTACCCCCTATACCCGCATCCCCTTATGCAACTGAACCTTCTACACCAACCTCGCGAAAATCACTGTCAACGCCACCTGCCAAAGTCGCAGCGAACGGAAGCACACGATCGAGCCCTCGCAACAAGGAGAAAGAAAAACGCCTAGCTTCAGATACTGATGACAACTCACCATCGCGATCGCGGGCCAAATCATCCTCTTATGTATCACACCGACCCCCCATCCCGCAGAGTCTCAACGCGGCTGTGGAAATGCTGACGTTGTCTGAGCGGCGAGCTGCTTCTGACACTGGTCACGGGCAAGCACCGTCATCACCACCAGCCATGGATAAACCACGGCCGAGCACAAGCCATTCTCCAAAAGAGAAGGCAAATGAGAAACGAGAGGTTCCTCAAACTCCCAAACTGGCCGCAAGTAATAGTTTCTGGATGACACGCAGTACGTCGACCCATCCCACAATACTCGGCAAGACTATTAGTAGCCCTGTTCTCAACAAAGGTACGCTTTTCACTGCCGATACTTTCTTGGCTGATTGCCTGCGATCCAGAGGCAACTAAGAACATGAGCGCCGTCAAGAACCCAGCAGGAGGAAAACCGATTCCAATCACTAGGCAGCCTACTCCCCATGCCCCTACTGCTACTTTAGCATCTGGGTAAGTACGCCACATGCATGGATTGAATATGTCTTATACTTTCTCAGCACATACCCTGTCCTTCCTCATGACCTCGCGTCAGACATCCAACAATTCGTCGAATCCGACTATGCAAGGCAATACTTCTCGACACATCGTACTGGCTTCATATTCAGGCGCAAGGTTCCCGTCGCACAAATGATGACATGGCAAAAGGTTGGTGACGGTCTCTCGTCCTTACAGCTAGTTGACATACATCCAGGCACCGCTCAGCTCGCCACTTCTCACATTGAATCGCTCGCTCAAGAACGATGCAGTCCGGATTTTCAAGGTTATCCAACATATCATGGGCGACCGTGAACGTGAGAAATCGGCTGGTATTCCAATTCACAATGGTTCTACGCACTCCCTCACGGGGAGCACCGTCGGCCTACTAGAGGAAGAACGGTGGTTGCTGGGAGAGGGTTTGGCTCATGGCGAGCTAAGGGATGAGATATATTGTCAGTTGATGAAACAGCTCAACGGGAATCCCAATACGTATGTCATCCGTCTACCTTTGTTGTCCAGCGATCTCACAAGTGTTTCAGAGAAAGTGTCTTCAAAGGCTGGCAGATGCTCTGCGTACTCCTCACTGCGTTCCCGCCCTCAAAAAACTTTGAGACGTACCTGCGTTCTTTTATGCAACAGCGGACAGGTCAGCAAGAGGGCAGGGTTGACGTGATAGCCAAGCACTGCCTTCGCCGTCTAGTTGCGATCTCAAAGAAAGGTCCACGCGGAAAGCCTCCGACGATGGCAGAGATCGAGACGGCATCGGACGCCGCCTTCAACCCATCCACGTTCGGGGAATCGCTGGACGCAACCATGCGCCTGCAAGAGCGCAACTACCCACACGAGAAGATCCCCATCATTCTCCCGTTCCTCGCAGACGGGATCCTTGCTCTCGGGGGCATGAAAGCGGAAGGCATCTTCCGCGTCCCTGGCGATAGTGACTCCGTGTCGGAACTGAAGTTACGCATTGATAGGGGCTATTATACTCTTGACAGCGTTGATGATCCCCATGTCCTGGCTTCGTTGCTTAAGCTCTGGTTACGTGAGCTATGCGACCCACTGGTGCCTGAAGAGATGTACAACGACTGCATCACGCATTCTCGCGAACCTGAGACGTGCATACAGCTTGTCCGGCGTCTGCCCACGATAAACAGAAGGGTCGTGGTTTTCCTGATCAGCTTCTTGCAGTTCTTTTTGGAGGAGAAGGTGCAGACGGTGACGAAGATGACATCGGCGAATTTGGCGTTGGTGATGGCGCCGAACTTGTTGAGGTGTAATTCGGAGTCTATGACCGTTGTGTTCACAAATGCCCAGTGCGTATTACGATGGTATTCTTGTAGCTCTGTGCTGATGTCTTTACAGGTACGAACAAGTGTTCGTCTATAATCTTTTAATGCACCTCAAGTGCGATCAAATTGATACGGAATATGTTCCCGTCCATGGCCTTGGTGCCAGCCTACCATCACCCCCACAACCTCGCGTTTCTAAATCTCGCAGCAGAAAGTGACCCATGCTATCGTATATCCACCATCTTTTTCTATACCCACCATCCAACTTGGAATTGCATTCATGTACATACAGATTTCTTCTTTCGGTCCTCGCAAGTGTACCTGCTATCATTTATCATCTCTCCAACTCTACTGTCATTCATCGCGAGTAGCACAAGCTCCTACCTCTCCTTGGTTAATTACGACAAAAAAATGTATCGGTTAATACGCTATTTGAATTCTAGACGATCTTCGCCTGGTATTTTGCCATCGAGCCAATCATCCAGCCCTGTCCGTTCTGAATCCTGTTCCCGACGCCTCGGCTTCGGCTTCGGCTTGCGAGAACCACTCCACTGACCAAACTCATACCCATCCTGAAGGTCCTCCTTGAGCGCGTCCCCCTTCCACGCATCAAAAGCCGGCGCCCTCTGCTTGCCCGACGCTTTCCCCTTCCCCTGCTTCCGTCTCGGCTCCTTAATAGCAAGCTGCTCGATTTTAGCCAACATCCCAATAACCTCCCCACTCCCAAACACAGATTCCTCTTCCCAAATAGTGCGTGCGCCTACTTCGCGCCGTAGTTTTTCGACGAGCTTCTTGGTTCTGCCATCGGGCTCGACACCGTTCACGCGCATCTCTTCGAGGGCGTCGTGTACGCCTTTGAGGTCGCGGAAACATGACCACCGAGTTTCTATGAGCTCGTTGTATGCGGGCGTGGTGCACCCGAATACGTAGCTTGGGATGCTTAGATGGCGGGCGTAGTCAAAGATGGAGAGGGCGAGGTGGGGGTCACGGTACTTGTCACGGAAAGAACGCATGAGATGCGCGATGAGGTAAGGATAGGTCGGGTGTTGGAGGTCAGGGTGCGAAGATGCAGGTTGTGTTAGCTGTGGTTGTGGATTTGCGCTCGCGTTTGCATTTGCGTTCGACGCCGCTGGAGTTGGGGCATGTTGCTCCTCAGCTTTTGCAATAGCATTCCGCGCACGTTCCTCGTATTGCTGAGACTGCCCAAACACTTCCCGCATAGCCCATTCAAGCAGCTGCTGATCCGTATCGCAAAGCTCCATTTCTTCCTTCTTCTTATCAAATTCCTGATCCGCCTCTGTCGTCCATTTCAACCGTTTTGAGTGTCGTCTGAGTTTGCCGAATAGGTCTGTCATTGGGGCTTGGCCGAATGGTTTGCGCCCTATTCCGTTGAGGACGGCGAGTGGGTCGTCTTTCTGTGGTGAGAGCCTGGCGGAGGGGTTCTTTTGCTCTGAGACGGCGTCGAATATCATGTTGAACATTTCGTCAAACGCGCTGACTTCGCGGGCTGTCATTGCTTGTCTGCGTGCGCGGGTGTGTCCTGGTGTTTCTAAACCGCCAGCACGCAATCCCTTGCGTGCTGGGGTGGGGAGGATAGGTGGTATGTCATTGATGGAGTCGCCCAGAATACGGTCCCAAGGAGATTCTTTGGTGGCGAAAATGGAGTCGGTTTGTGAGGAAGTGCTACTGCTTGACGAGTCGCTAGGTGCAGCAGAGGACGTCAGGCAGCGTGCAGCAGCCCTTGCAAGACTTGCACACGCATAATTGGTGACTCGATGGTAGACGAGCATGAATGGTGGCAATTTCCAATTTGGACAAAATTGAGCTTCACGTTGTTTTGCCGGGTTGGACTTGACCGTAACACTTCACAGCCTCTTCAAGTCACATCTGTGCAGATGAGTTGCGCGTCTTGAGACTGAAGCAAGCCAGGACACAAACTCGTTCATCTAATACAAACGTTGTTGCAAGACTAATCTATAGGGTATTGCGTTTCATGTTGTCTTAGGAAGACTGTCAATACAGTCCCGAATAAGACGCAAGGTCTCGACCTTGTCGTACAACACACACGTGCAGTCATTGTTGGGGCATTTGGCATCCCAACACGCCTTCGCCTCGGGCCACTCCGTCAGTCCGATATCGACAACCGTATCTCCTAGCGGGCGTACATCCATCTCCATCACCACTTTATACTTGAGCTCTCTCCATGTATGATGATCAATGATCCACCTGCAGCGCGGGCAAGATGCCGTCGTGCTTCCTGTCACGAACGGCTGCTCATTAAGTCGTTTCTTAATACCCTCGCGTCGGTCGCGATGCAGGTTTAAAAGGTCAAGCACAGCGCCCGTGCGTAGTTTTCGGAGGATGGGTTGATGTTCTGGTGCGTAGATGTTGAGAGCGAGCGACTGCGCGGACGCATGTTTGGCCTCTTCTTCCCATCCACAACGGGTTGCAGCTGCGTAAAGGCGCAGAGGCTGATCTAAGAGCGGGGGCGTCATGATAAGAACGCGTACGAGCGACACAGGCCCCGGCATGTCGTATTTTTCCGCGGCGTATAATAATGCATCAACCTCGTCATATGTTGTGAGTGGGTTGATTGGCAGACCACAGATCATAAGGAGGAGGCTCTCTAGTGTGTAGGCGTCTTCGTCTAGATTGATGGTATCGGGGTTGTTAGGAAGTGGGTTTTGTTGGGGCATGGAGAAGAGGGATCGGAACCAGCCCGATGTCGTTTTGAGGGTCCATGAGTGGACACGGAACAGGGTATGGTTTTTGGCACCGAGTATCACATCGGCTTCTGGAGAACAGAAGGACGGGTGGAAAGCACCCTCACCCGCCATTCCGACTAAAGCCGCACCAGGAATGAGCTCCGTTTCCATCATCGGGGCTGCAATCAAGTAAAGTGAGGCGTGGTAGACTAGAGCAGAATTTGAGGTCGGTATCTTACTTCTTTCAAGTCAACGGCCTGACTTCGTAGTACCTTGCAGACCTTGCAATTGAGGCTGTCAGGCTCGTCGAAGGTGGTTGAGACACGCGAGTGATCACGTTGCTCAGTGTCTTGTCAAGTGGTACGTACCGTGCACCTTATTATATCACCCTTATAAGTAATAACCCCTGTCTCTAGTACTCGAGGCAGCAAAATCAATCACGAACTTTGCACCACAACTCAGCCAGTTGTTCAACAACTGCCATCTCACGAGGATCATCGTAAAGGCTGTGAATGTTTTTGCCAGTGATGTATGCTATTTTGGTTTCGAATATTTCCCTGGCTCTTAACTGGTTTTAATCAGCTTGAATCTCCTGGTGTGATGCGAACAACTTAATTCCATTCTCCAGTGCCTTCTACCGGGTACTTGGTTCGGGTAGATCCCCAAGGATACCGCCCAGAAGCAATTCGCGTAGCCAAAGTTCCGCGTCTAAAACACAGAAGAAAATTTCTACCTCGACCTCTGACGCAGAGCACACCTACGTGCTCCCAATTAACGGCGAACTCTGCAAAGTTCCCCGCATCTGCGCAACCAATTGTGTCCTTATCGAATCACAATTTCACCCTCATCCCGGTAGTATCCATTTTCGTCCATATGTGTTCTCCGACACTGGCAAGGGCCCTGGAATGTCTCCTGCTGGACCGTCAGCTACAAAGGCGGTCTCGAATAAAGCGGGACGATTAACGACCATTACAGACGGCGTAGATATGTATATGTGTATCCGTCCGCACTCACACACGCTTTATGCGACCGCGAATTACCCAGGCCTGCCAAGTAGAGTATTAATGCTCGACAGTTCAACGACTCGACGGTACCGTAAAGTTAACATCTCGACGTGCGCAACTTCTCTCTCGATCTGGCGTCGTAAAACGTTAAACATTGTCTATTGAATTCCAAACTTGAATATATAGATAGAAGCCCATCAAAACAGCACAACTATTGCAAACTATTACATGAGAGACGAGCGACCTTATAAATACAAGCAATCGAGTCAGCCTATGGAACACTGCTACGAAAACAGGGATAACATTGAGATCCAGACCTCACAGAGTAGCAGATATTTGAGGGTACCAATTTCGCATTCCTTCATTAAGCCTGGACGATCGAGTAATGTCCAGAGGCGTCGCGTTTGAGGGTCCAGGTCGTGCTTTCTTTAAGGGCGGCGAGGTTTTGTGACCAGATCGCAGGGGTATCGACGGGTTCCGGTAAGACTGCGGTTTCTGGATAGTCCGAGGTGATGTAGGCTCGTAGAACCGGAATGAACTCAGCCATGACGTCCCTGCCATCTCTGTGTTTTGTGTTGTGAGCTCTCTGGAGGAGAAATGGAGGGAAAATAGCATACTTGACTCCACTGAAGAAGAGTGCAGGAGTAGGTATCAGGTCTCCTTTGTTCATGAAGCCTGAAGGTGGGATACGTTGAGTTGAATGAAAAAGAGAAAATGGCGGTCACAAACCGACTGCAATGTCCTGGGTATCCCCAGTGTTGTTCACCGCCTGCACGACACCAGAGGTTACCGCCTGAGGGGGCTACACGAGTTATTTGTGAGTTGTCGAGATAAATATCAACGGAAGCCAGACTTACTGAGAAATGGAAGACATTGTTGGACTCGGTCAAAGAGGTTTTCTCGCCGTCCTATATCGTGATTCGCGTTAGCTAGGAATCGCAGGGTAGATGAGAGGCGCTCACATTGATCTTGACGCAGGTTTCAGCACCAACGATGTTCCCATCCACGAGCTGCGGTTTCGAAAAAGCGAGCCTATGCGTTGAATAAGCGATGTTCATGAGCACTATTTGCGTCATTTGTCTTACTGGCTCGTGTAGGTCGCGTGCGCTTTGTAAGGACCTAGGACGAGGGATTATATGTAAACTGTCAATTAACTAGCAAAAATGTGGGAACACCCACCCGTCTTCCTGAATGAGCTAACCCTAAATAATTGCAAGGTTTGAAATCATCGCGGGCAACAGTAAGCGCACTTACTTCCAAACTACGGGAAAGACATCCCGGTAGAGGCTGCCTTCCATGTTTTTATCGAAAGTGAGCATGAGCGATACATCCTTGCCAAGGTCGTTTCTGTGAGACGGTCAGGTGAAGAACTATGCGGGGTGATAATGCAAAGACACTCACGACTGAAAGGTCAAGTTTCTGACAAATGCGTGCGACATCGTTTGAGATGGAGAGTGGATTGTATATAAGCTAAGACAGAGACACGCTCAGTGGTTGAGAACAACGACTTTATGATTGTAGTACCTAAGACAGAGACACGCTAGGAAAATTATCGTAAGAGACGGCGTGATAACTAGAGACCATGAAACTGTGATTGAGAACAACGAGTGAGGTATGATGATACGAGACGATGCGATAAGTAGACACATGATGAGACACGTGATGGACAGAATAGGAAAAATGGAATAGGGCTTGAGTTTGCGGCAGTCAGAGCGCTCAGCAAGGAGGTCATTTATATGCAAGCCAGTTTCGACTTCTTGGCCCTTCAATGTCTCTGTAGTACCTGCCGCTGAGGGCCCGATAATTCTGGTATCCGTGTCCAGCTGATCCACAAGGCGGTAGTACACGTTAGCGCTTGTCTTGCTTCTCCACGATGCTTTTCCCGTGCAATCTTGAGCCTTCATCGGAGGTTCGTAACTGCAGTTCCAAGTAGTACCCCTTGTACCTGTCCTTCACGCTCACCTCCTATTCAAGTTGTGCCCAATCATAGCATCACCAGTGGACAGGGGTCAGTACTGAGAGTTAGTCTGCCCTCTAAGGAAGGACGGGTCGATATAGCACCCTCACCTGCCATTCCGACTAAAGCCGCACCAGGAATTTCAATGTCAACGGCCTGACAGTACCTTGCAGATCTTGCAATTGAGGTTGTCGGGCTCGTCAAGGGTGGTTGAGACACGCGAGTGATCACGTTGCTCAGTGTCTTGTTAAGTGGTACGTACTGTGCGCCTTATTATAATTAGGCCCTTGTAAGCAATAACCCTGTCTCTAGTACTAGAGGCAGCAAAATCAATCACGGACTTGGCACCACAACTCACCCAGTTGTTCAACAACTGCCATATTCGCTGGGATCATCGTAAAGGCTGTGGATTTGTTGGCCCGTGATGTGTATCATTTTTGGTTTCGAATATTTCCCTGGTTCTAAACTGGTTTTAATCAGCTTGAATCTCCTGGTGTGACGCGAGCCACTTAGTTCCATCCTCCAGTGCCATCTGCCGGGTACTGGGTAGATCCCCAAGGATTCCGCCCAGAAGCCATTCGCGTGGCCAAAGTCCTGCGTCTCAAACACAAAGAAGAAAATATCTACCTCGACCTATGACCCAGAGCACACCTACGAGCTCCCAATTAACGGCGAACTCTGCCAAGTTCCCCGCATCTGCGCAACCAATTGTGTCCTTATCGAATCACAATTCGACCCTCATCCCGGTAGTGTCCATTTGCGTCCATGTGTTCTCCGACACTGGCAAGGGTCCTGGAATATGTCTCCTGCTGGACCGTCAGCTACAAAGGCGGTCTAGAATGAAGGTCGATCAACGACCATTACATACGGCGTGGATATGTTTATTCGTCCTGACTCACACACGCTGTATGCGACCGCGAATTACCCAGGCCTGCCAAGTAGAGTATTAATGCTCGACAGTTCAACGACTCGACAGTACCGTAAAGTTAACATCTCGACGTGCGCAACTTCCCTCTCATGAAATATTAACATCGACTGTTGAATTCCAAACTTGAATGTATAGATAGAAGCCCACCAATCAAAACAGTACAACTGTTGCAAACTATTACATGACAGACGAGCGACCTTATAAAGACCAGTAACCGAGTCAGCCCATCGGAACGCTGCTACGAAAAAAAGGGAAAACATTGAGATCCAGACCGCGCAGAGTAGCAGATATTCAAGCGTACCAATTTCGCATTCCTTCATTAAGCCTGGACGATCGAGTAACGTCCAGAGGCGAGGTCGCGTGTGAGGGTCCAGGTCGTGCTTTCTTTAAGGCCGGCGAGGTTTTGTGACCAGACCGCAGGGGTATCGATGGCACCTCGTAAGATTGCGGTTTCCTGATAGTCCGAGGTGATGTAGGCCCGTAGAACCGGAGTGAACTCAGCCGTGACGTGACTGCCATCTCTGTGTGCTGTGAGCTCTTCGGAGGAGAAATGGAGGGAAAATAGCATACCCAACTTCATTGAAGTAGAGTGCAGGAGTAGGCATCACGTCTCCTTTGTTCATGAAGCCTGAAGGTGAATTGCGTTGAGGTGAATGAAAAGGAGAAGATGGCGGTCACGAACCGACTGCAATGTCCTGGATGGCCCCAGTGTTGTTTACCGCTTGCAGGATACCAGAGGTTCCCGCCTGAGGAGGCTACACGAGTTATTTGTGAGTTGTCGAGATAAATATCAACGAAAGCCAGACTTACCGAGAAATGGAAGACATTGTTGGACTCGGTCAAAGAGGTTTTCTCGCTGTCCTACATCGTGGCTTGCGTTAGCTAGTAATTGCGGAGTAGACGAAAGGCGCTCACATTGATCTTGACGCAGGTTTCAGCGTCAATGATGTTCCCATCCACGACCTGCGGTTTGGAGAAAGCAAGTCTATACGTCAAATAAGTGACGTTCATGAGTACTAGTTGCATCCTTTGTCTTACTGGCTCGTGTAGGTCGCGTGCGCCCTGTAAGGACCTAGGACGAGGAATTATATGTAAACTGCCAATTGGCTAGCAAAAATGTGGGAACACCCACCCGTCTTCCCGAATGTGCTAACCCTGAAAAATTGCAAGGTTCGAAATCATCGGGGGCAACAGTAAGCGCACTTACTTCCAAACTACGGGAAAGAAGTCCTCGTAGAGGCCTTCCATGTTGCCATCGAAAGTGAGCATGAGTGTTACCTCCTTGCCGAGGTCGTTTCTGCGAGACGGTCAGGTGAAGAACTATGCGGGGTGATAGTGCAAAGACACTGACGCTTGAAAGGTCAAGTTTCTGACGAATGCGTGCGACATTGTTTGAGATTGAGAGTGGATTGTAGAGCTTAGGTTCTGCAGTCAGAGGCTCAGCAAGGAGGTCTTTTATATGCTTCGGGTCGTATGGGCTGTACTTCCTTCACTGCTTTGCGATATAGCCAGCTTCGCCTTGGTAGGCTTGCTTGTACCTTCGTACCTCGGTACCTGCTGTCAGGGACCTGATGCATTATACCACCCTTACCTTGGTTTGCTATATAATAGTATATCAAGCCAGTTTCGAGTTCTTGGCCCTTCAGGCGGTAGTACATGTTAGCGCTTGGCTTGCTTCTCCACGATGCTTTTCCCGTGCAATCTTGAGCCTTCATCGGAGGTTCGTAACTGCCGTAGGTACCCCCTTCACGCTCACTTCCTATTCAAGTTGTGTCCAATCATAACGTCATCGGTGGACAGCCTGGGATCAGCACTGAGAGTAAGTCTGCCCTCTAAGGTAGACAACTTTGAAAATCCGAACAGTGAACCTATAGTACTTGTAGGAAGTCAAGTTGCAGTCGCGAGTACTGGCGGGTGAGCACGGACATGCGCTCATGGCACATTTCGTGACGGATGACTGCAGAATCATTATATTGCTGCTGTATGTAGCACATAAGTAGTACTCGGGTGGACCGGATTATCGAACGAGCTGCCAGGCGGAAGTTGAGTTACGGAAAACCGATGAACGTGCGTCGACTGGTACAAAAGTGGGGTACCAACTCCGCAGAAGTTGCCTAAATTGCTTGCAAGGGTCAAGTGCATTAATGTTGGCTGTAAGTCAGCATGGCGTCGGCTGAGTTTTGTCTGCTCATCTAGATTTAGAGCAACATCCAGTGATCCAGCTAGTGTATTGACTCGGAAAAACAAACTTTCGAGTTATGACTAAGCAAATGCCAACGCGCGCTAGTAGCTTTGTTGGTAACCACAGCGTCTACTCACCAGGTTAGCCCCTATATACTTGTTGGATTTAGTCAAGCGTGCGCTACGTCCAGCGACGACAACGTGCGCTACTATTGTTTCTCGCTTACCTATTGTCTCGATCATATGGTCTGTCTTTCGTATTACTTATGTCGGCTGAATCTTTTGTCTGCTTAGACCAGGACCCCCCCTTTTCTTTTGTCTATGGACTCATACCCTATCTCTACGAACAAGAGCATTCGTTCTTACTTATACTCGCAGTATCGAGCTCGTATACCTCAGACGCATCCGCGTGCACGATCTGAGGTAAGACATTTAGTTTCCACTTACATTCACCTATACTTACTTTGTGTTAGCTATCTACTTGATATAGATCCACGCGAAACGAGTTCATAACTTGCACAATACTACCTCGTATCAACACTCCCTTGCGTTGGTCCAGACGAGGTAGGTCCATTTACTCTCATTATTTAAGCCCTCATCTCACTAGGATTTTTGTGACAGTCGCAAAAAATGTCGCAAACGTCACAATCTGAGTGTTTCATCCACTCGCTTCCCACAGAGACGGTGTGCAACATCCTCAAGACTTTACTTTATGACATTATCGAAGATGATATGATAAGAACTCCTGAAGCCAAGCACCGGGTTCTGGCAGGAGGACTACCGTTCCTTCACACCATGGCATTGGTGTGCAGACATTGGCGAGACATCGTGTCTTCTACACCCGAGTTGTGGACTCGGATCTTTTGCGTTTTTCCCCAGGAGGAGCTCCGGTGGATGAAATCCCAACTCAAGAAGACCGTCAGATACCCAATCCATCTGACCGTAATTCTGAATCACTACCCTGATGATGCCGTAGACTGGGTCTGTCGTGTTTTCCGCGTCATTGCACGGAATCTTCAAAGACTGAAGAGCCTTAGAATATCCAAGTTCTATGAGGAATACCAGTCGTACGACACGCGGCCGCATCGCCACCTCGACAAACTAAAAGGATATGCGCCCCAACTCGAGTTTTTACGATTCACAGATGGAGGGAGAGATGCCAATCGTCATTTCAACCAACCGTGTTTGAAATTGGACTGTCCAGCCCTTAGGACACTTCATATCGACACGAACGCGATTTGCGGCTCGGATCAACGGTGGATGCACGAAATTCTGACACATATTGAAAACATGATCATATCATATGAATCCGATCCTCTAGCCTATGGATATTCAAATGAGACGCTTGCTCGGGCGTTGAAGGCAGTATCGCGGCCAATACCTTGCCTCACTCTCGATAACTGGAATCTGAGATCGCTTTTCGGCCGCCAAGTCGACTACAAAATTGTGGCAGAGAAAGTGATCCTGCGCACACGCTTTGATGCTTTGACCGTGCTCGATAACGATTGCCAGACGATTGTTCTTCACCAATGCAATACTATCCGTGATCTTCATGGCATACCGTTACCTTCCTTCAATTCTCTAGAGTTGAATGGGTGCTCTAGCAAAGATCTGCAGCATATCCCTAGGGTCTGCAAATGGGACGGTACTACGGTGACCATCACGAACAGCCACTTCTCCTGCATAGAGATCATCCTATACTTCCTCGGTGCACCTTTCAAAAGCCAGAGTTGCTCCCTGTGGCCCCGTGTCACCACACTCAAGCTCGTAGCCGAAGGCGATTTTGACATGGAGTTGCTGTTGACAACATTGCAGGCAATGATCAGCAGCCGGAGGGAGGCTGCGGGGCAGGAGAACCTAGGGAAGGACGAGGAGGAGCTGAATAGCATGAGATTCGAAGGCGTGCGTCCGATTATGGTACTTCATGTGCACGGCGGACAACGTCTGTCGCACAAGGAGAAGGTGTGGTTTGAGGAACGGGTGAGGGACTTTGTGTGGGATCACGAGAAAATGTGAAGGAGCAGTTGATATGCCTGGATTGGTCTAAAGAAATGTACATGTTATCTATCGTTTGCGTTCGGTCATTATTCTAGGTGTAACCGCACATAAATGTCCTAGCTCCGTCCTGGACGTTCTAAATTTGGAGTAATCCCTTGCTACTTAGGCTTGAGTTGGCCGGACAGCCTCTAACCTTCTCCGAGTTCTGACTTGAACAGTGGACACTGACAAGGGCCCTGGAACACGTTTCTTGCTGAAATCCCCAGACCACACTCCCCCTTCCCTGGGCCCCATTCACATCTCAACTATTCCTCTCTCTTATCTATCAAGGAGCCGTCTCGATGTTATCCGATACCTGGCCGAAGCGGATGTCTGCGGACCTTCAGGTCTTGAATGAAGGGGAACACTGATAAGCATTTAGTACGGCGCGTAGATAGGTGCAGTTTATTTTTGCACTCCTGCCTTCTAGCTCACGCTGTCTGCCGCCATACGAATAACCCCTGTTAAGTTGAGTAGCTCGACGACTCGACATTAACACCAAGTTAACATCTTGCCAAGTACGACTGCTCTCGGCTATCACCTGTTATCACAGGTAAAATGTTAATATTAATTGAATTATGTTATGCTCGAACAACAACGACGATCTCCTCGTTCACTGGCTGTGACGTGGGAGCATCAACATCAGTATGTATCTGCCACAGCGTGCGGATCAACTACTGTCGCATTGTAACTACAAAACCCCAAAAAAACCATCACAAGCGCAGCAAAAACATTGATGACGTGTAACATCAAATCAGTCCATATCGGAAAACGAATAAGTACCCATTGACGAACACCACATCCAAAAGTACATAGAAGATTAAACGAAGGCCTCGAAAAAAGGTATGATATAAGCTTCACAGTCAGTTTCAGAGAAAGTTTATGAGCGTGTGAGATTCAAAAAATCCCGTTTTCCACGAGCATCCATTTGTGCGCTATATAGTCCGTTTGGTTTCCGATTCATTCTCCAAGTGTCCAAGAATACGATATTCTTCAGAGGAGCTGTTTCCAGCCCGCATCACGGCACTTCTTCACGAGGCGCTTCACCTCTTGCGAACGTGCACGCGTCGTGACAAGAAGCGTGTCGGGCATGTCGACGATAACCAGATCATCAACACCAAGACACGTGATAAGACGCCCTGAGCCAGGAACCACAATTCCACCCGCAACTTGTTCAGTTAGCACTGTTGAACGGAGATGAAAAAATCAATCACGGCGACTTGATAAGAAGAGGTAAATATATTGTTTACCTAAACAGCTGTCCCCAAGGACACGAGGTTGATTAGATTCTGCAGGCAGGAGGTCTGCGAGCGAGGAGAAGTCACCGACGTCATCCCAACCTGATGTCCGATATCAGTCACTGTAGATGAAGATGAAATGTAGGGGACATACCGAATGTCGCTGGTACTACGGCAACCTTGCCCTCAGCAGCAGCAGGTTCTGCAACTGCGTTGTCGATTGGAATCTTCTCAAGCTCGGGCCAGATTTCGTTAAGAGCGGTCTGGCGTAACGCTTCGTCGTGCCATACAGCGGCAATCTTTTGTAGCCCGTCGTGGAGGTCGGGCTTATAGTCCTTGAGAAGGTCCATGAGGACAGTAGCTTTCGTGACGAACATCCCTGCATTCCACCGGTAATTTCCAGTCCCAATATACGCAGCAGCAGTGCGCGCATCAGGTTTCTCCTTGAAGCTGGAAACAAGTCTCGCATTCGGAGCTTCCTTCATGCCTAGTTTATTTCCGAGGCGGATGTAACCGAACCCGGTAGAAGGATGCGATGGTGCAATACCGATAGTGACGAGATAATCTTTTTTCGCAACCTCTACGGCTTCTGCAACGGCTGATAGGAAGGCGTCATCACCTGAAATCATGTGGTCTGCTGCAAATGAACCGATGACGGCATTGGGATCTCGTTTGGCAAGTACAGCCGCAGCAAGTCCGATGGCTGCCATTGAATCCTTTGGACCAGGCTCGCAGAACAAGTTGTGAGAGAGAAGGTCGGGCAGTTGCTCGCGGATGGACTTGACATGACCCGGACCTGCGACCACAGTAGTGCGGAGGGGCGACGAAAGTGGGAGGAGACGATCCCAAGTGGCTTGGATCAAAGAACGCCCCTTAAGAGTCAAGTCGAGAAGGAATTTTGGGTGTTCTTCTCGTGAAAGCGGCCATAGCCGAGTACCAGCACCTCCTGCGGGAATTACAACGTAAAACCCGGGAATGTCACGAACGCCAAATTGGAATGGTGTGACCGCATTATCACCTAACGGAGAGGGGAAGTGACCTGTGGGTGAGGCGACGAGGGATGGAATACTGTGCGGGGATAGGAAAGGGGATTTGGCTCGGAGTTGGGGGCTGCCGGGCACGGGGGTTACGAAGCCAGAGCCCATGCGCGAGCTGGCGTAATAGTTTCCGTTCCCGTTTTGTTGCTGCAAGTGGAAGGGATCCTGGAACTTGAGAATCCACAAAGTGTAATGGTGACTTTTGCTCTCACCTGAAACCCTTCCCGGATCTGTCGTTCCAAGCTCGCATTCGTCATCCGTAGGTCAGCGCATTCCTGCCGGAGATCAGATATCTCAGCTTGCTATTGTACTGGTGCATTAGCGACTGTTTTTTTCGAGTGTCTTACATGGACAAACGGGACTTACAGATTTCTGAACTGCGCCCATAATCTGAGCGAACATGTATTCAATAGGCGGCGCGCTACCGCTAACCTGCGCGGTAGGCAACGCAGCAGAACCAGGCGGGAGGGACATTGATAGGTGAATGTCGAGAGAAATCGGTGTCAAGGGTATTGTGTTAACTGTCGGAGTGCAGCTTTATATAAGGTACTAGGGTCGCGCGTTTTTTGCAAACGTGTATAAGGCTTAGCGCTAATTATGATCCATTTCGGGAATTGCCCAACTATTCGGTAAAGTCACGGAACATGCTATGTAAACCGAATGCCTAGGATAAACCTTTCATCATGACAACCTCATCAACGTTGGAGCACGATGGACCGCAACATGCGTTGTCGTATTCAAGTCGTACTACGGCAAACTAAGAGTTGGAAGATGGATAGCTCAACCTTGATGAATGTTTTACTCGTTGTCAATAACACCGCAGTAGTACTTGAACAGGATCCGGCCATTTGGCAATGCCCAGACGCCAGAGATAACTCGGAATATGTTTAAAGCCCCACCGCACATGTGACATACACAGAACTAGTCTTCATCGCTCTCGAATTCAAGAGCTTGGTACTTCCTTGCCTTTTTATTCGGGTTAGCCAAAGATGCGCCCTTCGGAGGTCGGGAGCTTGCTGAAGGTTCTGCCAAAAGTAGAGTCAGCTGCTTTGCCTTCTGTACGTGGCACACGCATTAAATAAAAAGGCTTACTACTAGATGTCGTATCACCCGGCGGGGACCTTTCTTTGGAACGGGCAAGTTCCGCCTCAAGAGTTTTGATTTTACGTTCGGCCACCGGATTGACAGCAGCAGGGACAGGATCTTGACTCAGGCCCAAGGGTGTGCGCTTCGGCGCAAGGGTCGTGGCTACGAGTCATGAGCTCGATAGTACGCATCAAATCTTTTGACAAAAAGGAACGCAGCGGACCTGAATTAGCGTGGGAGGACTCTGGGATAACGGTGATGACGTTGCGGGACGGGAAAGGGGGGTTTAGCTGGCATTTGCGGGACTGGGCTTGTAGTGCGATCTTGACACGAGTTAAAGTATTGAGCTGCTAACGATTCATGTGCCTTACTTCAGTGAACACTGCAGTTGCGTGCGATGCAGCTTCAGCTGCGGATAGTGATTTCAAAGCCATGTGTAGTGGATGCTTGGCGGTGAGCCCAAACGTGAGCTAATAAAACGTCCTGCGTTGTCGGCCTGGGTATAAATCCATAGCATCAAGAGTAATATTCACGTTGATGTCAGACTCCCCCTCAGTCCATTCTCCAATGGTGAGGTCACCGTTTACAAACGTTGTCCGAAGCTTTTCAGCAAAGTTCTCAAGCACCTGAGGGCCTGATTGCACGCCCTGGAACGAGAACGATCAGGGTAAAGGGGAAGTCAAAAGACTTTGACACTAACGGTAATGTTGAGGATATGTGTGGCTGACCAGGAGCCTCGCCACCACCTGCCTTCCGGTCCCTTGAGGCCTAGGTAAATCGACCATGCAGATTCCGTTACTTGTGATAGCGCGACAAATCGATCAAGGCCCTGGTAGATGACTTGTATGAGTTCGTCAAGAACCCCAAAATGCGACAGGACGTCGGTGGACATGATGAAAGCTGTCAGATGGGCCAACTAACCATTTATGTAAGTAGTATTGCCTTCCAAATCGAGCACCATTAATATTGTGGGTATCGACACAAAGTCCCCACGCACAGACCATCAACGAAAAAATCTATATAAGCATGTGCTCCAACTTTGTTGGTTCTTCAGAACATACTCAGCTAGGATCTATTTTATAGAAACTAACTCGAGTCTCGCATGTTTACACATGCCACATCCTTCAATTCCGCTGGATGACACTAGCGCTCACTCGTTCGACAGAGAACATGGTTTCCGCTTGCGGAGATCTCGAGGACGTTTGGGTTTGTGCATTGTCGAGCTGCTTGCAGCCTGGTGAAGCCGAACTCAGCGAGTTGAGCGTCTGTCTGACGGAATAGGACCACACGATTATGTTGTAGCATTTGTACGTTAGTATACGAACAATTCATCCACGTTGTGAAAAGAACATTATTACATGAGTCCTGCTTCCGAAGCATGGCGCCTTAACTTGTGTGCCCATCCATGTCTCTCAGCGTCTACGTCTCCACTGACCACCTGTGTCATCGACGACGTATTCGAGTGTTCAAAACCGCCTTGGTATTTCCTTGTCCATTGATGGTTTGTGAAACCTTGCTCCCGTATTTGTTTAGACGCAGTAAAAACATTCCAAGATGTTGCATTGCTGAAGAAATCATCAATTTGCTCGAGAGGACGACCTGAGGTTTCCGGATCTGTGAAATGGAACCGCGTCAATAGGATCTCATTGATAATAACAAGACGGATGCCGTACACATGAAAATGATAAAGGGAATTACAAATATGTTGAGGCCGAAGAGGAGCAGGAGTACACCATATTCGATTGCCTGAAACAAGAAAGGCTAGAGTAATATCCATTATTCGTTTGTCAGTATTCAATTGTTCAACAACTTACAGTAATCATAGTCACGATGCCATTACCTATAGACCATCCAACAACAGACCATGCACCTCCTTTGGCGCGAACATACGTAGCTGCATTGTGTTAGAAAACAAAATCGATCAAAGGAAATGACCTCACTCACGAAAGAGTTCAGTTGGGTAAAGCCACGGAGTTACTAACCAAGTGGCGCCAAACGTGCCAGTATACAGGAACTGTAATAAAAGGCACATGAGTTACAAAAATGACTTCACGATGTCGTGAATCGGTTACTCACCGTCATCGCTACGACACCTGCGCCGTATGCTCGTTGATTGGGCCCTCCTGTCTGCGCGTCTATCAAGAGATATGAGTGATGTTCGGACGCTGAGTAAACGCATATCACATTTGTCCAGGATACCACCAATAAGCAGAAGCAGCGCCATGCCAGCCGCCCCCCATACCATCGTGCTTCGCCGGCCGAACCTATCCAAAGTGAACACGGCAAAGAGCACGCTAAACATGTACGACAAGTTGTTAAACCCTGCCAAGAGTTTTGCCTCGTCTTGGCTAAAGCCAGCGCCCTGAATGAGATCGATGGCTGCATATGACGTCAGAGAAGTAGGGAGAGCCGGGAGAAGAAAGTGCTTTGCCGTAGACAGTGATGACTCCGATGCCAACGAGCTCTTGCATAATCTGCAGCCACACGCTTAGTACAACTCTCCACCGTAGCTCGCGCTGGCTCTTTGTCCTCGGGAATATCATGCGAAGATAACGGTTGTTCTCGGTGTGCTGTCGGTCGTGCATCACATTCCGTACTATGGCGCTGAGCTCGGCCTCGACGCCGTCGCTGCGAGTGGCTTGCAGAACTGTGCGTGCTTCGGAGACACGCCCAACTTTGGCCAGCCACCGAGGGGACTCCGGAAAGAAAGGTATGAGCACTGCGGTGGGTTCACATAAGTGAGATGAGGTAAAGGACACAGACGAACCGAGAATCGCGAGCAGAAAAACAACCTGCAGCGCTAGAGGTGTGCGCCACGCCATAACCTGATTGTGGTTCATGCTCGCAAATCTACAAATACATCAGACCGTCAGTTTACAACAGGGTGTTTGGGATGGGCTGACATCTCTATCCAATATGCTAATGACAGTCCACTTATGTTCAGGAAGAATTCAATGGCGAGAAAGCTTCCTCGCGCTTGATGTGAAGAAACTTCGCTGCTCCAGACAGGAATGACTTTGATGAAAATGAGTGTGGGGGATCAAGATAAGACCAACGGGTTATTTACCTGCGTCGATGGCTCCGACACCAAGCCCAGTCACAACTCGTGCACAGCACATCCAAGTGATGTTCATAGCGGAGGCTTGAAATACTGCTCCGATGATCGAGATAATGACACCCAATATTATGGCAGTTATCCGTCCCGACCTGTCGGCGATGGAACCGCCAAGGAGTGCTCCGATGAGGGAACCGCCGTAATAGACCTGATAGACATGTAGGAAAGACTACTCTCAGAAACTTTCCAACTCACAGATACTATTCCCCCAAGTGCCGCGAGGTTACGTGAGTTGCCCGTCGTAGGGTATATGCCCATCACTTTCAAGTAATCCTCGTTAAGATTAACTTGGGACATAACCCTGCTCATCAATGCGTTCAACAGTCACTCAAGGGAGGAAATGCAGAAAGTTGTACCCTTGGTCATAACCCTAGTCGATTAATGAGCTTTGATAAGCGAGAAACATGGAGCTACTGACATAGAAAAGGATCGCTAGACCGGCAAGTAGGTTATTAGCCCAGTTATACGAGCTTGGGTTACTGAACTTGAACATTCGCGAAGCTGAATAACCCTGCAGGTGTGGTGTGCATCGCCGGTAAGCGTGTCGAAGGTATAATCCGGAGAAAGTAGACTTACGGGCAAATACTTACTCATCCACCACTCGGGTGTGACAGGAACTTTCTCGGCATCACTTGCTACGACAATGGTTGCAGAAGTATTGAAGGAAAGTACATCGTTGCTAGCACCAGTGAAAATTGTAGAATCTACGGAGGACGATCGTTGTGCTGAATTGGTCCGCATTTCGCGCGAGGTGTAGGGTGAAAACCGCTCTGTTTCCATGGAGTACGGTAAAGAAATGGATATGCTCTCCGGTGCGATAAATCAGACTGCAGAACTGGAGGCTTACCACCGTCCGTATTTATAGTCAGTCAGGTTGAAAACCAGCCTATGTTCCTGTCACAGACGGTGATGTCAGAACGCCGCGAGGTAAGCTCGACCTATGTCTCGGTCATCGACAGCCGGTAGGCTTAAGATCCCGAGTTAAAGGTGATCCTTGTGGGACGGACTGAAATCGTCCAAGATCCTGAAAGGATCAAAGGTATACTGGATTCGCAATCACAAACGTACCGAATGTGTAGATACAAAATCCATTGTGAAATAACGGTGCCCGGACCATGCACTCCCCCCACAATGATGATTACACCATCTAGAACAATGGGCTCCAATCCCATCGGCAGGAGCATAAACTCGAAAACTTTCAGTCGATTGCCTGTTAAAACTTGAGTTTGAGCGCAGATTCGGGGCCGAACACCCGCGGCCGGCGATGCCATTCAAACACCAGAAGCTTCGAATCATCAATGCATCATGAGTACAAAGCCAAGGTTCAAACGTTCTAGGGAATCCCCTAAACCATCATTTAGAGTGCAGAGCTAGCTTGCGGGTGATGATTTTACGTAAGAACGTGGATAGTTGTTGTCGGAGTTATATCGGAGAAAGTAAAGTCTGATCCACGTGGATCTAAAGAAGTATGCCACCTGGACCAGAGCTGGCGAGGCTTTTACTATTAGTAGTACGAGTAGCGCGTTGCAAGTGCTCATTGATATGATCAACCAGTTCGTCATGCAAACACGGTGGAGCTGGCATGTGCACTCGCTGAGCTTGAACAAAAAAATCGACCATGAGGTCTAGTTGCGTAGTACCTACGGGCCCACGTACCATTCGCTCGCTCCAACCAGATCATGACATCCCATGCAACGAAATACGTCTCACTGACCTTATATTAATCTAAAATGATTGTGTGTGAGGGTTGTGCTATTAGTGTTGATTTGGGTTCCAATTCCCCAATCCTGATGCATTCCTACAAATGGCAGTGCTGGTCGAGGAGCATCAAGTCATCTTCTCGCAATCGAAATTAAGTGCTCACTTTAAGTTTTATGCAACATTGCCCGCAATAAGTCCCAGGTAGTAGTCTCAACCACATGGTCACTCGTGGGTTGCGTTGGTGTGGATACACTGGTCCAATTTCATTTCGCCTGCTTCGTCTTGTTTGTCAACTCATCGCCTCATGATAGATATCGATAGATACCAAAGGCGTCGGAACGAGGAAACCCGCTGTGGTAACCCTTTCTGAGCGACGAAGGACGACAAAGGATCATGTGACAATTAATGTCGTGGGTTAAAAACTATATTTAATCGATAAGCCTCTCATCTTGGATGACGCTCCCTCCTTGGAAATTAAAACAATAATTACGGAGCATCAACAGGGTTCCAGCTAATACATCCTTCCGCTCCACGGTCAAGTCCGTCAAGTTGCACCATCTCTTCGGGTTCAAGCTCAAAATCATACACTTGCGCGTTTGATCTGATTCGTTGTGGCGTTGCTGATTTGGGAAGCGGCACGAACCTAAGTTTGTAAAAAAACCCAACGTAAAACTCAGCTCGAAAGATGAAAAAAGATGGCGCGACCAACCCTTTTTGTAATGACCATCGAAGGAGCACTTGGGCTGCGTCTCGGCCATGCTAAATATAATATTATTCAGTCACATGTGGTGTAGCGCTTCATAGATCGCAACGTTGACTGACATTCTGTGCTATTGTTTGAATGATCGGATTATCCATTTTCCCTCGTATGATCGGACAATAGGCTTGGACCACGATCGAGTGTTCACGGCAATAGTCCACTATGGGCCGCTGCTGGCAGAACGGGTGAAGCTGCCAGCATGAAGCAATGAACAGGGTGTAACTCCTCATCAAAATACAACAACATACCTCAATTTGATTCACCGCGGGCATATCATATTTCGCATTTGCAATCTCTTCTAAATGCTTGATTCCGCTGTGTGTTACCGAACTCTAGCTCTCGTCCACCGATAAACCGAGGGGAGAAAACACACTAGTTTGAAACACCGACAGAGCGTATTTTTCCCGCACTCCGGGCATCTTGCAAAGCCCTGTATGTGGCTAGGCGGCGCTCAGTGCCAGAAAACGGATCATGGATAAGAAACAAGTCAATGTACTCTTGTAAAATTTTGAATTGTAAAAGACGTAAGAATGCTAGAGTTTCGCTCAAAAACACGAGGCGAGGGGTGACTCACCAAAACCAAACTTGGCAAGAGATTCTTCGACGCCTTTCAACGTGCTCTCGTATCCATGATTTTTACTGATACATTTCGTCGCTTGACATTTCGGTAAGATATCGAAGCCTCATTTCCTGGGCCGCCGTTACGCACTAATGAAAAGTTCGCTTCGGTCGATGCCGCTATCTCTGACGGCCTCTCCAACAGCCGTTTCATTGCGGTAAGCTTGGGCGGAATCCACATGTCTGCAATGGTTCATTGCAATGAGGGACACATCACCGACGTCACTCGGATGCCGTCATCACCTGTAGCCCGCTTGCAACGCCTCAAGAACTGACGCTCGAGTGGTGTAGTTTTGATATACGCCAAATCCAAGCAGTGGCATTGTGTGACCTATGGGATTCTCAGCCACAGACAGGTATTAAAAATTTCGAATTATTACCTGACATCAGTTCAATTCTGGAGTCGATCGTGAGCACCATACTTCCAACTCGAGGGAGACTGAGCGTGTTCATCGTGCACAAGGATCACTGCTTCAGTTGGTAACACTTCGCCTTATTTGTAAACCCCCTTGTCAGACTTTCCCGATTTAAAAAGACCGCTGAGACGTAAGAACAAAGTTACGCAAGGAAAACGTCAGGAACAACAAACTTGTGTACGTGAACTCGAGGAGGTCAATGGTAAGTATTATTCACACTGCATCTCTATTCTCATCATGAGTCAAAGTGATGGTGATACTGCGGTAAAAAGGTGTCGTGCTCTCAATGCACTACGCGCAAGGTCAGCTGTGAGATCAAGTCAAAGCTTCGAAACCCTTACTGCGACTACGTATTAAATCCATGTCTATACATTTTCAAGAATGCATCTCCGAGTCTCTTTGTCTCTCTAAGCGCTCTTGCATCACTTTCTGCGCATCTGCTTTCGCCGAGTCAAGTTTTCCAGCCTTTGCTAGGGCCAATAACAAAGCATGCACAAGGCCAATGTGGTTATGGCGACGCGAGCTGTTCTCAAACTTTGGAAATCAAATCAAAAGGGTGGCGTCGGCGACAGAACACTAGATAACTCACTGCCCAACGCTCGCGCTTGGAATTTTCATTGGAAAATCTATCCATAAGTTCGCTCAATTCAGCGTCCCTTGCTGAACCCTGGAGAGCGTCTAATCGTCTTCTCATTTCAGGTATTGGATCATCCCGAAGCGCGAGCAAGCTGAACTCGAGCTGCAGAATATGAGTTGAAATTATGGAACACAAAATCCATATGTTTACTCACTGCTCCAGTCGGGTAAGTGTGTATCCGGTTCTCGATGACTTCCCTGGAAAACAAGACAATTCAATAGTGAACCACGATGAATGCGTATCATTCAGTACCTTGCTTTTTTAACCCATCCCTCACCGGATTCATCATATTCTCCATGCCGCACTGGGAAAGGTTTCAGCCCGTCAAGTTCATACAGACTCCCCAGCACCGGAAGGTATACGACAAAATGGTACGCTTCTTCGCTCTTCTTTGGAAGGTCTAGACCATCCAGTGAGATGGCACTAGGTGGCGAAAGGGCATTATGAGCTTCTCGAAGCCAATCCGCGCTTGTGATAGTCATCCCACACGTCTGCGGGTCCATGCCCGTAGTAAAGCTCATGAGGTCCATGAATTGCGGTCCAGCAGTGAGAGAGGTAATGTTTCCCAGGGCGTTGACGACAGCAAGCGTAGCACAAGCATTGTTCACAGTTTGATGGGCGAAGAATCCCGGGAAATCTGAATCATAGTGACCAGCGCCCACACCGGGCTCGTCGTCTGGTGATTCAGGGAACCATTTGAACAAGAAGATTAGGGCATGTAAAGGCTGTAGTGCAGCCAGCGATTCTGGTTCAAGTGAGTAAAGGTCATCGACGATATAGGGCACTCCGAGCCTCTTCAGTAACTCTCTGTGACCGGTTGCGTGAGTGAGATAGATCAGTTGTCATTGTTTCGACATACGTGAACACCCCAGGGTCAGATTCTGTAAGTTGCCAGCCACTAGAGTCCTCGTCCGACATCGTTTTACAACTTGAACGCGGTTGTAAAGCAGAAAGAAAGCCGCGTCGAAGGCCTTGGTTTTACACGTGACCTTGTTTGGCGATGGCTTGTGTTCATAACAAGCCTTTTTCTCCGCTTGATACGATGGCTTCTGACCCTGCACAATCGCCTCAAGCCACGCCAGAAGATGATCCCCGAGCTGCCAATCGCGAAAAATTTGAGCTCGAGCTAGAATTCGTGCAGTCGCTGGCAAACCCATACTACCTCCATTCTCTCGCACAGCAGAACATCCTCGACCAACCTGCATTCATACACTATCTGGAGTATCTCATGTATTGGAAAGAGAAGGATTATGCGAGGTTCATACAGTTCGTCTATACTTGGTTTGTGAGCGGTTTATTATGCTGCAACCGATACTTTTTGTCTAGCTACCCACATGCGCTGCATCATCTTGACCTGCTCCAGCATGCGCAATTCAGGTCAGAGATGAAGAAAGACGAATGGCGCGAATATCTCAATCAGAAGCAGTATGATCACTGGCGAACATGGTATGAGATAGATGTTTACCAGAGGCCGCTTCCCTAACCGTCGCGTCAGGCGAGATTACCCAGGGATTAGTAGTAGTGTTACCCCCACTGACCCTCAAGAAACCGGTGTGCAATCGCAAGAGAATGCTCCTTATGGGTGACATGGTTTACCGGATGTCTTGGCGGAAGCTTAAGGATATGGCGCTTTGGATAATGAAAAAGCACCATGAGTCCATGACGGGTTGCCAAACATACAAGAACTTCCGTTGACACAAGGAGTTAGGGACGTCGACATATACTTTTTAATAGTGGTTTTGGATATCCTTGTGGAATCGAAGAAAATTTCTCACGCCTGTTAAACACTTCACGCGCGGTACCGCGCCTTCAGAAGCTTCTAGTTGAAGCCACACTGTACATGGACAACTATGCTGAAAGTGACTCTCATCGCCACCACTCATACATACCGGTGGAATCAAACTTCAGGGAGGGTGCCCACGACGAATCCCATATTGCGTCGCCTGCAGAGAAACGGCGAATATGGTGGAGAGCAGCCATCATTAACGCGTGCTTTATAGCTTCGTGGTACGTGTACTTTCCTGCCAGGCCCCTGACGCAGGTTTATGTATCGGCCGCATAGGTACATATTCGCAACCGTACTGTCTCTGTACAACAAGTGGATGTTTTCGCCAGACCTCTTTGGATTTCCGTATCCACTCTTCGTGACTACCTTGCACATGTTTGTTCAGTTTGTCTTGGCTGCTGCACTTCGTTTCTGTTTCTCGCATCATTTCCGCCCAGAAAGAAGTCCGTCTGTGAAAGATTATGGGTACGTGTATTCTTGCAACAGTTAGTACACGTCGGGCAGTCCGTGTCCTCACTGGGCACCGAATCTGATTGTAGCCTCTTTGAAGCAAGAAGGCAGTTCCTACTGCTGTTGCTACCGGTCTCGACATCGGTCTATCAAATCTATCACTCAAGACCATTACTCTATCATTTTACAGTGAGTTCTGAACTTCCCCAGACGCTGCCCTCATTCTTAATATATAACTTGATGCTTAACTCACCTGATTGCCTACAGCAATGTGCAAGTCGTCTTCTCTCATCTTCGTGTTATTCTTTGCATTTTTCTTCCGTTTGGAAGTGTTTTCGCTGCGACTCGTCGGCGTCATCCTTCTCATCTTTGGTGGGGTGATTCTCATGGTTGCGTCTGAAACGGCCTTTGTTCTTCCTGGATTTTTGCTTGTGATGACCGCTAGCGCATTCGGAGGTCTCCGCTGGAGCCTCACGCAACTCCTCATGAAGAACAAGAATCTGGGTCTAGATAATCCAGCGGCAACTGTATTCTGGCTAGCTCCTGCAATGGGCATCACAACAGCCGTCCTAAGCATCTTCTGGGAAGGATGGTTTACGATATTTGCATCACCATTCTTTCGGGACACATCCTCGACCATGCGTTCGGGCCTGTTTCTGGTGGCTCCCGGTATATTGGCGTTCTGTATGGTCATGAGTGAATACTAGTACGTGTACGACCCATGCACTCCGCACCACGGGGTCAACTAATTATGTGATAATAGCATTATCCAGCGTGCCGGAGTCCTGCCAATGTCAATAGCCGGAATAGCCAAAGAAGTTTCGACAATTACAGTCTCGGCTTGGTTTTTCGGAGACGAGCTTACGCCACTCAACATAATCGGCGTCGGAGTCACAGTTTGTGGTCCGTTTTTTCGAAGCTAGTATGTGATTGCGGCATTTCTAATGACCCGATCTGTAGGCATTGCCCTTTTTACGTTCCACAAGTATCGCAATTCCATCGATGGCAAATTATCATTGGACTCGCAAGGGAACATAAGAGCGATAGACGAAGGCGGTTCTGTGCATGGAGTCAATTTCGAGCTTAGGGCGGCTAACCTAGGAGGTCGAGAGCACCTTGCGGTAAGTTGTATCATTACGGCACTAGGTTCTAGAATTGTATTACTCATTTGAAAACGCCACAAAGGAGCAGGAGTCAGATGATGATAACGACGCACATCACCGTCTGCTTGATCATGACGATGATCATGAAGGTGAAGAAGATGCCGAACTAGTTCGAAGCATTCAGTTTTCCAGGTTCGATTGGGATGCCGAAAGAGGTATAGACGAGAATTAGGGCCCCGGGTGGGCTTCCAATTACTGTAGTGCATATGCAGACTAGTTACTGTCAGTAGTTTTTCAAGAAGCTTCACTAATACCCTAAAGGCATAAGTGGGTCCTGCTCATTGCCTCCTCTCTATGGTTGATTATTAAGCTTACGTTTCAACCGCAATAATAGTGAACAGTTTGAGTTATGGTTCAAAAATTATTGATCCGAGGACAGCTGAGCTCTAGCTGACTTTTCTTCCGTTGAAGCCGGGAAGCACGCGACCTCACGCGACCCGTCACGAAGTTAGTTGTCAGTGATGGGATTGGGCCAGAGACGGTTGCAGGTTACTGCGGACAATCTGATGGGATCAATTTTGTCAGCACAGCAAGAAAGAGAGATGGTACTTGGATACGGTGTGAAAATTTGGACCTGAGTTCCTCTAAAGTGCCTGTAGGAGGCGATGAGCGGCCTCGCGCACTGCGCAGGCCCATCAAGGAGCCGGACACTCCCGCAGGTCAAATTAGAAGGCGATAATCGGACTGCTGCTTTATGACGTGTAATAGTCTAGAGCCCTATGTGATGCGGCTAGTAAGTGATATTATTTCCCGCACGTTTTTTTTTTTTCGCTGCATCAGTGATTAAGTGCTTCATGCTGATTGTCAATCCTATTACGATATGAAACCAGAAGAAACGGCCATTCACGGATTGACTAATACATTTGCTAGATCGTTGAAATGCTGGCTTATTGGCGACGTTCTGTTGGGTAAGAGGCCCGATCCATAGTCGCTTATGGAACGCGTATGGGCACGGCAAGTGGGAAATCAGCGCGATATTCACTTTTTGATCTGACTTCGTTGGGTGTACAGATCTCACACAACGGCCTCGAGGTATTTAGGCTGTGATATATAAATCCGGGCGTTTCTGCCTTTTGATTTATTCACTTCATCATGGACGGTTTTCAATTCATTATCGAGTCCCCCCAGGAGACACAAGGTCACAAGAAACGCCCGCGTCTTGTGACTTCTTGCGATAACTGGTGCATGCTGCTGAATCTTAATCAACTAACACAATGCTCATCATCACCTAGCCGCCTCAAAAAAATAAAGTGTCTCCAATCATCCCCCGAGACACAATGCGAGGCATGCAAGGCAGCAAAAATTCCATGCAAGTTTCGTGATCGCGAACGATATTTTGCTGAGCGCAGTCGAGCTATTGCGGGCCCCAGTTCGGCGCCACCCTACACTGGATCATCGAATAGAGCACCCACCGTCGTCCCAGAGTCTTCGGAGCGTTCCAATTCGGGTGGCTCAAACGAATACGCCACCGCGCCATCCACACCGTACTCGCCACCATCCCAAGGCTATGCCAACTCCACCATGTCCCGTTCTCCGTCCTACTCGCCACCAGGGACAGCATCCACCGACCATGCCCGCTATCAATCCTATCCAGATCATTCCAGGCTTTCCACAACTCATAGGTAATGCATCCCCACCTCTCAGATATCGACATTCATTGACAAAGTCATGGAAGACATACCGCTTCTGCCGAAGATCACGGTCGTCGATACGGAACTCCCGGTCCAGGTCAGGCATTGGGTCGTCCTCATCTCACATCGGGCAGTTACCGGCCAACTCAAGTCTTCGACCCAATGCACCCTCAAATGCCACAACGCAGCTGGATGCCCCATTTCATCCAGATATTCATCAGTCAGCTTGGCAGCCAATGCGCATTCATGACTTACGACGACCTATATGAAAAGTTCCGACATCAGACTCTATCCCCATTACTCTCCAACTGTATTGCAGCTCTAGGCGCAAGGTCTGTCTTCTGGAATCTGCACATGCGCTCAATTTGGATATGAATGAGGTACAACAGGTTCTCTGACATACCGGATGTTGTCGCGCGTGGTCCGCACAACGTTGCAGATATTTTCTGTGAGAACGCCAAGGTTCGTGGTCAATGTGTGTGAGTTCTGCTGATCTAATGAATTGAGTAGGAGATGCTGTCCGCGGCGCTTAATCAACCGTCCCTCGACGTTCTTCACGCTGTCATCACCCTGGCATGGACAGAATACAAAACTGGCCGTCTTCTTGGTAGGTACTGGGAATGTTCCCCTTGCTATCCGGCTGAATATCTGTCTTCTAGGATTCCGACAATACGGTGATGTAAGTGAACTTGGAACGGCTGACTATTCATTCTCTGACATCCAAACAGCTTGCCATGAGAACCGCAATGGCTATAGGATTGTCTGAAGAATCTACCAGGCAGATGAGCCCTTACGACAGCTACCAAAATCGTCTTCGTCTGACATGGCAAAGTGTCTCCCAACTGTACGCCTCATCAGCATGTGAGTTCTCAGGCCTATTGTATTTCAAACCGCCCTAATCATGGAGAAGTGTCGGGATAATTTGAACGGTCAACCAATCTTTCCACACTGGCAGAGCCAAAATGTTGCTTTGTCGCTAATACTCCAAATCTTACCCCCCCTCTTCCGTGGCTTGGTACCTCTGGAAGACGGTTTGGGTTTATCATTTCCACCCGGAAACCTCTGGGAGGCTTCCTTCATGGACTGTATTTCCTCATGCTGCCCCTATTTATCTACCTGACATATAGATTAACTCACGTATCAATAATACCACCAGACTGCACGTTACATTGATTAGATATGTACAATCATATTCATGCATACACAGAATTTCAAGAGCGAAGTTGAAGCAAACTGCAAGAACTGGGAGCTCAGTTAGCCTGTACAGCGTATCACCATGGGAAAATCGATCATCACCGATGGGCCATCAAGTTCAAGATCAGCAGTCGTTTGACTCCGAACATTAATCATGCGCCGATCAGGCGCAGTAACTGTGCAGGGCTGCTACGCTCCCCAAACCCGTAGTTCGCGCATTAACTACTTACGAAGCCGGCGGCGGCCGCGTACTACTGTAGAGCCAATTCAAACACAGGGTCCATAACAATTGTACGACTGCAGTACCCCACTCCGTGTTCGTTCTAACCAAACATGTGCATCATTTATTTAGCTTGATCAATAAGCTTAATCACGAAAAAAGAAAAAGATGACGACAATGACATTTGACGATGCGTGCTGTACATGTAATTTATTGATAATGAGCCGCACCGAATATTGAGTAAGGTAACGCTATATATCATTCCGAGGGCTTTGTGGCACAGCCTGCTCGATCAGAACCTTTCAATGCAATGGAAGTGTTCTGTCACATTTTTTTCTAATTCTGCAGCAGGCCTGTAGGGTCGGGACCGTCATGCACGCTGTTGACTTCCTTCTATGGGTCTGATCATGGCTATGGGACTTATAAGCATGCTCAGGGCAGTTGGATTACCTACCGGTACTGCGAGAGCGCGTCTCGGGGTTCGGTACAGTGCAGTGTTGCCCGTAGCTGACAAGTGATCCGTACAACATGTTCAAAAAATTTACAGTATGTTCCGACGGTACAAAACATACTCGCCGGTGGAACACCGACGGCAGTGCAAAAAAAAACGACAAAGTCACACTGGCATCTGGAAACGGGTTGCCGCGTTCAAAGGACAAATTCATAGGGTGCATCGCGGGTACATATATATGTGGTCCCAGGCCTGCAGAGTTGCAAATTTCAAAAAAAAAAGTTGAATAGGCTCAATATTTATCATGAGGTATTGGTTTCCCGGAATCAGTGCATGCCTGAGTTTTACACAGGTTTCCTTTTAGTCCCGCGTTTCAATACAACAATAAGTCTTAGTCATTTGTGGGGTGACGATCGGGCTTCTCGGAGAGGCTGTTCTGACATGGCGGTCAGCCTGACTTCGTGTGTGCTTTATAATTTTAAGCTTGCTCATCCCCGCCGACAGTGGACTTCGAGCGCCCAGGGGGTTGGTTTTATCCGTAGCTTCGCGGAAAGCTCCTGGACCCTGTAAGGAGAAGGGCAGTCTGAGTGAAGCATAATGGTATAACAGGGTTCAAAGGTTTAAGCTTGTGCCACCGTGACCGGTTGCAAAACCGTGCAAGTGTTGCCACAGTCCGTATCATCTAGCGCCAGTCAGGGGCTTCAAGGCATTTTAAATACTTGTCATCAACTTATGATGCGGTGTCTCCGCATGCTCTTGTTGTTGTGACATCTGAACTGGGGAGGCATCAGACGGAGCCCGTGGGTAGACTTGATTAATAAAATATATTGAGATCTGGACATGACGGACGTAATAGAACCCACGATGACCGAGGAATGAAGTTGACATGCAAGAGCTGTTCTCAAAAGCTGACTCACGCAGCAGTGGAGAAAGGGTATCTCATTCGTTTACCGCCCAGAACGGGGGGTCAGTCACAAATGCTCTACAGCTGCCTACCGTGCGATGCCCACACAAAGACTTACCCATCCATCTGCACCCGCCATACAAGCCCCTAGCCATGCCATCTCCGCATCAGGGGGCACCAGCACACCGTGCATCAGAGCATACGCGAGTTCTGGGCCAGAATATGGTGTGGGTGGGAAGAGGAGGGGAAGATGTGTAGATAGATAATGCGCAAGGGTATGCGCAGAGCCTATTTAGTGACGCGATCAGTTTCACCAATCCTTCACCAGCAGTCCTACGGAGGAAAACCCACCATCGTCAAGGTTCGGAGGGACAACATCTTGCATCACGGGCCCATCAGGTAAATACAACCTAACTGGGACACTGCGAACGTTATAAGCGTTATCACGGTCCGACGCACTCTGCGGGTCTACAGATGGTGGCCGTGTATGCATTGATGGATTCGAGGAAGGTGGTGGAGAACCTGACCGTGCAGGTGCGGTTGTAGGCACTATCTTCGATGCGACGCGCCAATATTCATCAAAGTTATCTGGAAATGACGAGGAGGCATACTGAGACGCGCATACACAGAGTGAAAAAGCTGGCTTACGTTCTTTGATGCCTTCCCAGATACCATCCTGGTCTTGCTTCCGAAGACCTGTCATGCGCTTCGTGTTTCCCCATCGTACAAAGTCTGCCTCCTTGAGCTGCCCCATGAAGGCTTGTTTGCATGACTCGGCGGAGGGCGAGAGAAGAAGCTTCTCTGTAGGAGGTGATGCAAGGTGGAGAATGAGCTTCAAGGGTGTCACTTGCAGATTGTAATGCGATGTTGAAGTCTGAGACGGAGGTCGAATTGAAGCAGAGATGGTGTGGTTATCGTAAATCAGGCCTAACGGCCAGTGCCTACCAGAAGATCATGTTCAGGATACATTGCATACCACACTACAAGGGTCGGAACTAACCACTTCAACAGCGTGCCTTCCTCGCTCTCAAACCACCATTCTTCCTCCTTCAGTATCTTCCCAGCTGCCTCATCGAATACGACATCCATCAAGAACCGCCGTATCTCTGGCATTAGAAGAGGCAAGTAGCTGACGCGAGGAGCTTGAATATAGTAACATTCTAGGCCGCGATCGGAATTCGCTGGCAACTCTTTCGAGTCTACACGAATTTCAAGGGGAATGGTACCCTCCCATGTCAGCCGGCGAAAAAGGGTTGTTGATGCTGGGGTTGAGTTCGCAGATGGTTGACCATGATGACGCGTAGTACCGTATGTAGACATCAGAACTCCGCCGTGATGGCAACGGGTTTGCAAGAAGCGCTTCTAGTAGAGCAGCAGCAAGTGAGTACTAGTGAGTGCCAGTACTGGCACAATGTTATGATTGTTCGTTCACGTGACTCGACGCGCCTGATATGTACTCGTGTGTCCTACTAGCTAGTAACTAAGTACTAAGTACGAACGCGCAGATCTCATGTCGCGCCAGCATTGATGTCGCTGGACCGGTTCAAGTTAGTGCCAAAGCCATGTTGGGGCATATTCACAGGACACACACAACTCTGTCAAGACCCTTCCTTGGCTTCGAGACGGATATTTGCAAGAACGAGATGCATGTCATCCCTTGTTTTCCCGATAAAATTCAAGCCTAATGAAGTTCGAGAGTACAAGTAATCGTAGCGGTCTGGATGCCTTTGGAAAGACCACACGGACTCACCTCTGGCTTCACCCGCACCAATCAAGAGCAGATGTACGATGCACTTCTTCTACTAATCGCCGCCGCCGCCGACGCCGCCTGATTTATGAACAGATTAAGCGGCAACGCATTCCTCACCCCGCTAAAATGAGCAAAGATCTTCCAAGGTTGCAAGCCTCGAAATGTTTCGTACCGGCCATCGACCACCCCATATTGTGAGTGCCACCGTTGTCTGACAAATACATTCAAAAGAACGATTTGGGAACGCAACGCATGGCGTCCATGATAGAGTTTTGATGTGTTCGCCGCTACCAGGGTTATGGACGTATCGAAACGGGGGTCACTAAGCACTTTCGACTGCCAGGGAGGTGAAGGACGGGTATCGGCCCCAAAACCTTACACTCCGATAGGAAGATCCTCGGCGCGATCAGGGCTGCAGGAAATGCGTCAATGCCACATGGGAGGTCACGGCGACTCCATATTCCAACGAAATTCGGACAATTCAGGACCTTGCCGCGAAAGAAAAGTGTCGGTCCGGCGTCGCCACATGAATTCAATTATCGTGAGTAATGTACCGTCGAGTCGGATATAGGGCACCGAGCGGAGTCGTCGATCAGAGAGAAGAACATTCAGAAAGGCAGCCGGCATCAGTGGTATCATGATCGTCAATAGGAGTCGTTCCGAAATCCTTGATGAGTGTGATACCTTGAGATCGATGTTCGGTTTCATCTCCGCCAGATCATAAATTATCCCTGAGGACCTGGATTTCTAGCTCAGCCAGGAGCGTAGTCACGAAAAAAAACATCGCTAGCGGGCCGCACAACGCAAGCTTGGACTCGAGTTACCTGGCAGCTGTTAAGTCCCTTAATAACCATCCTTGCATCGCGAACCGTTGCAATGATAAGTGGCTCAAATATAGATACATATATATAGATTAGACGTACGTGTAAATCAAACAGTCCATCGTGAATCATATACTGACAAGCGGTGAGGTTAACCTGGTTCTGACAACCTCTGATAATGTTTCCACCGCGGAAATAACGTTCTGAGGCTCTGAATACTTTCTCAGGACATCTAGCACCCAGTCTATTCGCTCATCAAGCGTCTCGAGGGCAAGCCTGTCCAGCGGGATATATTCAAGCGTCAACTCCGCGAGGGCTGGTAAGATTTCCACACAGTCATCGTTGCCTGAGAGATATACGCTAGGGAACGCATCCCATGCGCTAGGTACGAGTGGCGATAATTTTTCCCTTGAGAACATATCATGGAGTGGAAGTTCCAAGGGCATTGAAACAGCCGTGATCCGCAGGAAAATACCGGCAAGGTAAAATGCGTGGGGGTTGCTGTCCGCGGCTTCGGCCATAAGGCTGATGCACCTGTTCATATGGTCGTCTTGGGAAAGGCGACAGCGCCATGCAGGATTCTTTACGAGGGCAAATAGGAGTTTCAAGTAACATCCATCACGCCCTTCGTCGAACACGGCATCATGACTACCGTCCACACTAGCATCTTCACTAGGGGAGATAGCGGTGAGGATTGCGGGGGAAAGCGCGAGTAGTTTCTCCCGTAAACCGCCATAGCCATCTATATCTTCCATAGCAGCCAGTAGCGTTTTTCGAGTTTCGTATGTAGCACGCAAAGCAGCGTAACGCAACCGGGCGGGCTGTTCCGGTCCCATGGATGACAATAGGATTTCGAGATAAGCCGCCTCTTTCGCCCGACTTCCGAGGCTCCTCATAGCACTAAGTGCTAAGAGCGCATCCGCAAGAGTATCCTCCACCTCATAACCCTCGAGCTCTCGCAGTTCGCAGACATAATCGATGAGCCAATCAAAATCATGGGAAGAACGAGTGTCGTGCGCCCAGCTAAACTCTCCATACCAATATAGGAAGGAGTCGTCTGGCTGGTAGATGTTTCCAAGAGGGCCGTGAGGGATACATATAGCTGTGTGAAGCGCAGCTCCTGCTTCGGACAGGCGTCTCTGCATGTCTTCTGAGTCCTCGGTTTTGTTGTCGGACATCGTCGAGCATTCGAGGAAGATTTCTTGGCAGCAAGCAAGGCCCGCTCGGAAAAACGAGCCGTCAAGCGGAACCGCGCGGGTCAGCTCAATGATGCGAAGGGCATGGGGGAGACATTTCTTGGCTCGGGAAGCGTAGTGTTGTGGGTGTGTTCCATCAACGCAGCATTGTAGGCAGGCGAGGAGTTTAGTGACAAGAACATCGATATCAGCGCTTTGGTTGTAGTCAGATAGACGATCTAATGGAAAGCAATTGGCACACCTTTTGTCAACCTTCACGAGTACCGTTTTGTCGACATTTAGCCCGAGCAAGATGCCAGCGAGAAGTGTACAATTAGCGAGCACTTGAGAGGACGGGGATTTGTTCGGTACTTTGGCTTCAAGGAGCATCGAGATTATGCTCAACGCTAAATCCTCCATCTGCGCGAGCTCGTCTATGTCTTTATGGAGCAGGAAAACATATGGAAGGACTTGAGAGAGCCACAACAAGGTAGCATCAGATGCCGAAGAGAATGTTGGTGTATCTCGGAAGAAACGATATGTGTAATCAGCTATCCACTTCTGCCCAAGGTTAATCTTCAAGGCATAATCAGTGTCCAGCGATTCCAAGCTGAGGAGGTGCCAGAAGTGAAGATATCTAGGTTGGGAAGGATACTGTGCAGCGGAGTAATATTCCCCGTCCAGTCGAAGGTATTCCCTTCCACTGAGATGGACGAGAGCTGTTGCACAAGCTAAAGCTCGTTCTTTCGCTGGCGCTAACAGCCGATCCTTCGTATCGAAGCAGCTTCCAAGCGCACGATGCAAGAGAGAAATTATTCCGGAAACATCAAAATCGAATGGCCATTCAACTTCGGGGACCAGGTGACACGCTGCAATGAATACGTTGGGATCCGTGGACGTTTCGAGCAACCATTTTACGGAAGGAGCATCCGAGGATGCGACGGAAACGATTGGGAATTCGTAGGACAACGAAATTACGGGAAGGCAGGGCTCTGTTACTGTAGAGGGAAGTTTGCCGAACTCCAGATCACAGATCGCGGGGGCACGGGACTGCGCAGATAAATGAGATCGGAGAGCTCGGATGGAACGCAAACAGGAGCTGAGAATAGTCCGATGGAGAGCAGACAGCATGCTTCTAGCACTAGCGAAGCCCGTAAAAAGTGTTTTACCGAGCGCCACACCTAGCCCAATGTATCGCGGGGCATATCGCAATTGGCATAGATCATACAACTGAACCACGCGGACTTTTGTGAGCTGCCAAGCAAGTCTGATGACAACAGAGACAGGAGTTTGAAAAGGACAGTCCGAGGACATGAGGGACGCGAAGACGGTGAATCCATAAAGCGAAACGCCAAACGATGTGATGCAGATTATGACACGTGCGATAGTCTGTTGCTGAGACCACATGTTGATACTGAGGGAGGCACCGAAAAGGAACAATGAAACCTGCAACAAAGCCGGGAAGGACTGAACCACGGCATCAAAGTACCACGTCCTTAGCGCTTCCATCTTCTGTTGCCGTCGCCTTCCACGATCCTCTAATGAACCATGACCGTGTCTGTTAGACTTGTAATAGCCTAGCCACTGTTTGCCCAGAATTGCACCAAAGGCAGCCAAAAGGCTAAGTAGAAGACTGGCGTATGCTAGGCTTTGCGCCCACACACTACTAGGTGAGTACCCTGCTGGTTGCGGAAGCGTGATACTCTGGGGTGCTGAAGTACCATTTGCCGCGAGCAATATGAGTTGGGTCAGCAGTGCATTGGTGGTGTCCGCTGCATTAGGCTGCGATGCGATTATGAAGGAGGTGGTGACAGCTGAAAAAAGACCCGCCTGCAAGATTACATCAATATTGGGATGGTTCGCGACTGTCCTGAGGAATGAAACGCACAAAAGTAGGAATGATGTCGATATCACCATTATACCGCCCCAGGAACTCGCTGTCGACCTCCTCTGCGACCACCTCATATGTCTCCCAGAACTGTAATCGGATGTCCTTGTCCGCTTTCTCCGCTAGTTCTGAGCGCTTAAGGACGTCAAGAATTTCGTTCTGCTTCTGGAGAAGACTGCACAATGTTGGGACACATTCAGTTCGCAACAGCTCGAGTGAGTTTCAAGAGTCAACTGAGCTACTCACGAGCTAAGGACCTCCGATTGCTTGTCGTGTTCCATGGCACCCGACGAGGGGTGCTCGTTCGGAAATAACCTTGACTAATATTGCCAAGGCATCATCAAGACTAAAAATTCCACAGTAATCAGGAACGACATCATATCAACTGGAAGATAATTAGCAACTGTCAGTGTCCTGAGTCAAGTGTCAGTATCATCGTGTACGAGCACATCATGAAATGCCGTTGATCACTGCCTGCGGCTTGAAGGCTTGATGGACCGTTCAAGATCAGAAATGTGACTCGGAGTAATTTTGCTGAGGACTAACATGTCGACAGCGTGGACGGGCCGCGGCACGGAACTCGGCAACTTCGAGCGACCCGGCCGTAGGCTCGGAGCTTCCCCACAGTACTCTCCTCCGGTCCACAATGTCGTTCGTCGTACTCTCCCGCTCAACACTCCGCCATGTAAGCAGCACCACACGTTTCTTCTCCACTAGCTTGCGTGCCAAGCGCGAATACGCCAATGTCCTTGTCTCACGGCCCAGCCCAGGCGTGGCACTCATCACTCTGAACAGACCCAAGGCACTCAATGCGCTCAATGCAGCGCACATTCAAGATATATCTGATGCAATGAAGGAGGCTGATGAGGATGCTAGTGTGGGTGCTATGATTCTCACTGGGTCAGAACGCGCGTTTGCGGGTGTGTTTCTCAGTCATTCGGATCATGAACAAGACTAGACATATTCATGCAACAGCTGGTGCGGACATCAAGGAGATGAAGGACAAGTCTTGTGAGTATCTCTCCTCACCGATTCAATAATTTTTGATAACGTCCCCCGAAGTCGCAGAAGCCTACACCACCAACTTCCTAGCTAATTGGGAAGTCATCCCTAAACTTAAAAAGCCAGTTATTGCAGCTGTCAGCGGTTACGCCGTATGTCTTCAAAATTATCTGCTGTCAGTTATTGTATTTTCATCCAGGTCCTTTCCCTTTAGCTTGGTGGTGGCTTGGAGCTTGCATTGCAGGCTGATATTCTTCTCGCGGCGCCTTCGGCACAACTTGGCCAGCCAGAAGTTAACCTCGGAGTCATCCCTGGCGGCGGCGGGACCCAACGTCTTGCACGCCTCATTGGTAAATCGCGTGCCATGGAACTCGTTCTCACAGGACGAATAATCGGTGCGGACGAGGCAGAACGCTGGGGCATTGTACGAGTTGTACGAGAGGGTAGTGTCGTCGATGAGGCCGTGAAAGTAGCAAGTGATATTGCAAGCAAGGGACGTATCGCAGTGGGTGCAGGCAAGGAGGCTGTGAATGCAGCATTTGAGATGAGCCTCGCTGAGGGGTTGAGGTTTGAGAAGCGGTTGTTCCATGCCTTGTTTTCAACCAAGGACCAGAAGGAGGGCGAGTGTCTTTTCTTTGATGTCTGACTAGGTTTGCACTGATCATTTTGAATTTCACCAGGTATGGCTGCTTTTGCTGAGAAACGCAAGGCAGAGTGGACGCACTCATAAAGGGGCGTTCTGTATATTAAGGGGAATCCCGCTCGTCAATACTCCCGTATTATCCTGCATTGACCCGCTTTGATTCTAATATATAGGTCCGATTTTTCAATATCACGGCCTGATTTTACATCACTATGGTGCCCAGCTGTTAAAGATGAGGTTAAGCAATGTCGTTCCGATTATCGGCTTATCGGCCCTTCAGCCAGACAGCGATGTTCGCAAGCGACCTCAGTATTTTGTGGCAAGATTCAACGCCATTCATCTTGTTAAGAATTTCTGGCGGTCGTATTTCTTCTACAAACGGACTTCGGGTTCGATTTTGTAATTACCAATTTCATAAGCACATTGCTGCTGCAGCTACCAGATTCGCGGGATACGAGGGTGTATTTCTTCCAGCTGTAAACGGTGAAATCAGCATAAAGCAGCTTGTGCGACAAAGCAGTGGACAACATTCGCGAATATCTCGCAGGTGAGACTAGCGGTGGATCCCAGTATAAAGCAGAGACCAGCTCCCCGATGGGACAAGAAGTGGACAACACCCGCGAAGACTTCGCAAGCGCGACCAGCGATGGAAACCATCCTACAAGGAATTGCTCTCGAAGACCAGTGTGAAAATTGCTGGAATGGTATATATTATTTAATACATATCACACGACGGCCGCTTCAACTAATCAAAGACCGCCTAACCAGGAGGAAGAAGGCTGGCGTCCACAGTGCCAACCTCGTCTACCGCATCGTCAGAATCATCCGAGGAACGTGAGATAGGTGTCCGCGGCATTGCCATAAGACCTACAGACAATGAACTTCACTTCACTTCCACAGACGTATGACAAGACTTACCAGTCCGAGCTGACTCCAAAATTCCAAATGGTTTGAGTAAACTCAAAAATGCGACAACGCGGTTTGTTTTTGCAGTGAGCTCGACGATGACGCTGTTCTCGCTCACATCGACGATCTTGGCTCCGAATTGGTCGGCTAAGACGGAGACAGATTGAAGGTGTTGGTGTTTAAGGCGGAGAGCCTCGGAGGGTGTCAATGGGGGTGGAGAATGTGATTCTGCGTGAGAGTTGGGGTGGGCACCACGCTCAAAGTTGTGGGCGAGCGCAGTCTCTTTTTCGAGCTTGGTCTCGCGGTGAGGTGGGTGGGGACCCCGTCTCGGTTCATGGGAAGGTCCACCTACAAATTGGTCCTCCAAATACTCGGGACCGAGAATGGATACTTTGACCAGGAGCAATTCACGCGTGATGACGCGGGTATCTGTATAGTCGAGAACAGCCCATACAGGCACCTGTTCTGCGATTAGAAAGGCGAAAGGGAGCGTTATACAAGATACTTACCAGGTCCTCCAGCTGTCTCCTCGCCTGCTCAACAACTCCATCCTGCCCACTAAGGACAATGGACATGCGACTTAGGTCGCGAATTTCGGTCCGGCACACCACGAGAGAGTCAATGTTGAACCCGCGTCCAGCGAGGATGCCGGACACGCGAGATAACACACCAGGTTCATTTTGTACCAAGCAGTTAAATATATGTCTATGTGGGACACCATTAGCAAAATCATAAAACTTTAGCTTATAAAATGAAACATACTTTTTAAATGGCTGTAGACTTGGAGGAGGGGTGTTATAGAGGATATTTGTCACAGCTTCTTCCGCACTTCTGGATCTTGGAAGGTCCGTGGTAGGAAGAGGTGGTGGACGAGTCCGTTGTGCAGTTTTGTAATCCAGCGCAGAGGTGGAGTCATCGATGGATCGTGGAGGTTTTGGTGCACCATCGGGAGCGTTAAGACGCGTCGAAGTCGAGAAAAACCGCGGATTTGCTGCTCGAAAGGCACAACGCGACCGAAGTGCTAACATTTTTGGTGACGAGTAGAACAGCTGGCAGCTTTGGCAAAACTGACTCACTTCATTTTGCTTAGTCATACGTTTGGTGCATTCCGAGCTCAAGTTGTTCCCCTCAAAAATCCACTATCAATTTGGACAGTCGTATTTACTTGTCAACATCTCAACCATATGGCGTTGTCGCTGGCCCTTCGGCGACTTCTCGGGTCTGGGAGCTCTGAGACAACCTCTTCGCGGTTCCACACCTCGTCAATGCCGTTGGCTCAATTGCGTAGGTTTATGTCTGTCCGTTTTCTCCAAGATTCAATGTCATTAAACTTGCTTTATTTCACTAGCCCACCACTACGCACCCGCCTAGCAGTATCGCTCGAACCTGCAGGAAAGGCCAAGAGGTTGGGAAACTTGCGATAGCACCAACACGTCCGGAATTCAAGCGTGATGCTGTCCCACATCAATGCCTCGCGCCGCAACAACGAGAGAGCCCACCTAGGCGGAGGATGGCTCCTGAACCGAGAATCATCACAAAGCGCTGGGCACAAACTGGCGATGCCGATGCTGGGACTCAGGTCAAGAATTGAGTTATAAAAGCTCATTCAGAGCGCGTAGATAAACACAAGGCGGTAGCATGTCAACCCCCACATCTCAAGTCCATCTTTTACAAGAGGAATTCTATTTGTCTGGATCAGCCGCTTCCTCAAGCAAAGACCTTCCCACTCGATTCTCTTCTTCACCCTTGATGCCTGGCTCGTTGCAGAGTTTACAGGAGACACTAGGAACGGAAGCAAGCCCGAATGCAATGCAAGCATCCCCAACGAAACACCTATTCGAAGAACACGTCGTAGGCGAGAAGTACAAGGAGTTCCTTCTTTCCAGTGATACATGATCCGGAAAGTCTATAGCATACCTCCTCCCCATACTTCAGGATCTCAAATGCACAAAGCACAACAGTCTAACACTATTGCCCATCATTCATCTCGCAAGCCTCTCAATCCACGTGCGCTCGTACTGCGCCTACGCACGAATTTATCCGCCAACTTGCGAGCTTTGCGAAGAGCTTGTCCTATGTCATCAATTTGCGCGACATGTGCGCTCGCAAGGTTAATTCACCAAGTCTAGTGGAACAGCTTCAAAAATGGAAGGAATTTTCGAGGGAGCTGGCGCTGAGTTCGTCATTTCGAAAACTTCAAGTGGGTCAAGACCGGTAGATCTACTAGTCGGCACTCCAATGAAGCTTCTTGACATGGAGCGCGGGAGAGGTTGGAACTGGAAGGAGCGGTCATGAGAGCCAGCGATGAGGATAGGGAAGAAAGCCGAAGAGCACGAGGATGTGAAGGAAGAAGACGGGGGCGACAAAGACTCACCGCGAGAGTTCTGGATTGACGAACCCGAGATGGGCTCGGAGAACGTGGAGTGGGTAGTTGTAAACGAGGGAGACGTCTTGTTCGGTGTGTATTTAACTCGAAATACATGCGCTCACTGACACTATGCAGATCTGGACTTCCAAGAATACACTAGCATGCTTCTTGTAGATATTGCAGCAGCACGTGGATTGCCTGTCCAAGTGGTCCCTTCCTCAGCCCTATCCTCGACCCCGGATTCAGAAATATCCGCACAACCAATTTCCTGCCCATTCAACTTCATTCTCACCAGCGCAACAATCCCCACGTTCCTGACTATCTTTCAAACAACCACCCGTCCCTCACTCGCCTTGCATCCCCGCGGCTGCATCACTTCCCCTCGACTCTCCGCACAGAAGACACCTCATGGACAGACGGCAACAAGAGCACAGACATCGAACGCCGCATTTGTCGTGTATGGGCCGAAGACGCCCTCGTGCACTCCAAGACCGCCACAGGCCCCGACCCCATCAAGCTATCCAAGCTCTTCGTCTTCTGCAACAAACGGCACAAAGTCGAGCAATTCGCTGCCTTCCTCGACGGCCGTGGCTTCAAAACGCGCAAACGAGGGTTGAATCACCATCTTGATGTGTCCTTGAAGACGCGGGTGGGCCTGAAGCGATAGGACCGTTGTTGTCTGATCCTGCTCAGATGCCTCAAGTGCTTGTATTCAACGTCGTTTCTTTCGCGGGGACCGGATTGTTTGCCCACGATCACATGTGTTCATTGTTGATGAGCTGAGGAATATAATAGACTTTTTGCATCGGGCTGGAAGGGCGGGTTAGGCAGGGAATGTGGTGGTGTTTGGGAGGGCAAAGGGGAGGGCGGTTGGGCGGACGGAGGAGGTTAACCAGAGGGTCAGGGCCGTTGCTGGGTAACGGTGGTGGCGGCCGTAGGTCGTTTTAGATCGGTATGGTCGCTTTGACTGATGTGATATGTGTTATCGATAGGCGTCTAATAATCCCTGCTCACGGGTTTTGCATTCTGTGATTTTCTTTGTGACCATCGTCGTCGCACACAATGCAAAGCTAGATTTTGCGTTGCTAAACTAGCCCCTAGTCAACCTCCCACCAAAGTAGGTGTCGGGAACCTCCTCAAGTTGCTAACGAAGTACGCGCAGTCAAACAATTGCAGGCAGAATGCTGCTCGGAGCCGTTACTCCCCACGTATGGAGAACAGTTGCTGCCGTGTCTATCAAACCTGCCCGCTTGTTCGTGTCTCACTTATGCTTTCACGCCTCACGCGCACGTCCTGCATATACTTTCACGCACCATTTGCGTGGTTCTCTCGTCTTCACCACCTTTGTAAATACACATGTCGCGATGACATGTTGTACTGTAATTACAGTGTACACAGTGAATTACACATTTCATCTCACTCAGAACATTCGTCGTGCTCTCACAAACTAGCAGCAACATGAAGAGTATCACGCAGTCAGCTCCCCAGCAAGTCGTTCGCTCGGACAACCCTGATCTCAGACGGAATGCTGGGTATAAAATAGAACACGAAGTATTATCCACTCGGTATCACATTCAAGTTGTATCTGAAATCTCCACATTGTAACAATTACTGGAATGGGATCATCATTGTCGAGTCCTGCAAGTGTGGGTTCAGCAAGTGCGAGAGACGGAAAAGGCTTTGAAGATACTCACTCCTCTTGCCAGTGGCACTTTCGCCAGTGTTGTCCATGTGCCATGCGGCTCAAATCAAGCTCTGGACCCCCTCTAGGTATCACTAATTCAACCCTAGGGGTATAAAATAGGCGTCGAGAAGCAGGTGGTACCCAGAACAAGAGCTGATGGTTGGGTCCTAACATCCATCCACTGTCACGAAGGAGAAAGAGGGTCGGACTGCGATCATCGTGGGATGCTCCCTCCATTAACTCAGCAGTGTTGCATAGTGCATGAGCAGAGTTGGGTGAGAAGCGAATGGCGTGATTAATCCAAGTGTCGGCGGACTTTTGCAATGGCTGCCTCGTCGCTGCATCCCACAGCCGCACAGTGGAATCATCTGAACCAGTCACGATGCGAGCGCCATCCGGCGAGAACGAGACTGAGTAAACCGGTTTGGTGTGCCCCAGCAAGGGCTCGCCGACTGGCTGCCCCGTAGCTGCATCCCACAGCCGCACAGTGGAATCGTGCGAACCAGTCGCAATGCGAGTGCCATCCGGCGAGAACGAGACTGAGTTGACCCCATCAGTGTGCCCCCGCAAGGGCTCACCAACTGGCTGCCCTGTAGCTGCATCCCACAACCACACAATGGAATCGTATGAAGCAGTCGCAATGCGAGTGCCATCTGGGGAGAACGAGACTGAGGTAACCGATTTTGTGTGCCCCCGCAAGGGTTCACCGACTGGCTGCCCCGTAGCTGCATCCCACAGCCGCACAGTGAAATCGCCTGAACCAGTCGCGATGCGAGTGCCATCCGGCGAGAACGAGACTGAGTTGACATGATCAGTGTGCCCCCGTAAGGGCTTGCCGACTGGCTGCCCCGTAGCTGCATCCCACAGCCGCACACTGGAATCACCTGAACCAGTCGCGATGCGAGTGCCATCCAGCGAGAACGAGACTGAGTAAACTGATTGAGTGTGCCCCCGCAAGGGCTTGCCGACTGGCTGCCCTGTAGCTGCATCCCACAGCCACGCGGTGCGGTCATATGAACCAGTCGCAATGCGAGTGCCATCTGGCGAGAACGAGACTGAGTAAACTTGAACCGGTTTAGTGTGCTGCTGCAAGGGTTTGCTGACTGGCTGCCCCGTAACTGCATCCCACAGCCGCACAGTGGAATCATACGAACCAGTCGCAATGCGAGTGCTATCCGGCGAGAACGAGACTGAGGAAACCCGACTAGTGTGCCCCAGCAAGGGTTCGCCGACTGGCTGCCCTGTTGCTGCATCCCACAGCCGTACAGTGAAATCACTTGAACCAGTCGCAATGCGAGTGCCATCTGGCGAGAACGAGACTGAGAAAATAAATCCAGTGTGCCCCCATAAGGGCCCGCTAACTGGCTGCCCCGTAGCTGCATCCCACAGCCGCACAGTGGAATCATATGAACCAGTCGCAATGCGAGTGCTATCCGACGAGAACGAGACTGAGGAAACCCAACTAGTGTGCCCCCGCAAGGGCTTGCCGACTGACTGCCCTGTAGCTGCATCCCACAGCCGCACAGTGGAATCATATGAACCAGTCGCAATGCGAGTGCCATCTGGGGAGAACGAGACTGAGGTAACCGATGTAGTGTGCCCCCGCAAGGGTTCGCCGACTGGCTGCCCCGTAGCTGCGTCCCACAGCCGTACAGTGGAATCATCTGAACCAGTCACGATGCGAGTGCCATCGGGCGAAAACGAGACTGAGGTAACCGATTTTGTGTGCCCCCGCAAGGGTTCGCCGACTGGCTGCCCCGTAGCTGCATCCCACAGCCGCACAGTGAAATCTTCTGAACCAGTCGCAATGCGAGTGCCATCCGGCGAGAACGAGACCGAGAAAACCGATTTAGTGTGCCCCCGCAAGGGTTCGCCGACTGGCTGCCCTGTTGCTGCATCCCACAGCCGCACAGTGGAATCGTCTGAACCAGTCGCAATTCGAGTGCCATCCGGCGAGAACGAGACTGAGAAAACCGCTTTAGTGTGCCCCCGCAAGGGCTCGCCAAATGGCTGTCCCGTAGCTGCATCCCACAGCCGCACAGTGGAATCGTTTGAACCAGTCGCGATGCGAGTGCCATCTGGCGAGAACGAGACTGAGTTAACCATACTAGCGTGTGCGAGCACAGTCTGAGCAGCCGCCCAGTTCATATCACGTCCAGATGCCACACGAAGAGTATTCGGAAACCGTTCAGAAAATATTCCAGATAGTGCAAATTTGGTAGGCGAGAATGGGAGTGCTGATACATAAAGATGTGGGGTACTGTATGAGATGATGGCGCCGAAGACTTGAATGAACCGCTGTACATCAAGTGCAGTCGATGAGACCTCTTTGAATGCGGAACGGCCCTGTGGTTGTGCATGAGCATGATATCTCAAACTCAGTAACTATGTGTTCACCTTCGCCCACGTGGAAATCAGCGGAAGGGCTACAACTGCACCACTAAGCGCATTGATAAGGGCGAGTAACTCCAGCCAGAAAAACAGCTGCTCGTGGTCGAAGAACATTTTTACTTCTTTCGCGAGCTCCTCGTCGAAGTCTGTGATTCCTACATGCGTAATCCAAAATCGACTGGAATAGGACAGGTGTGGGGGGATGAATGTTTTGACTCGTTCTTGCAGCCCGGGATCCTCGCAATTCGGGAGATATGAAGACTTCAAATCGCAGATATTGAAGCGAAGACCATCCTTCATCACTCGAAGTGACGCAAAAGCAAGGTCACGTTGTACCTTTGACACGTCCACGAAAAACTCCTTACTGTCTGATTGTTCGGTGAGGAAATCGCGGAAGGATGCATGAAGGGGTCGAATGGGGGTAGATGAATCAGTAGTGCCGCTGAGGAGGGATCCCATCGATCCCAGGATGACCTTCACCTCGTAATGCTCGCCTTTGTCTGGAAAATGGCTCCGCATGGCATGCAAAGACGCCAAAGACAGGGGTTCAGCTGCGCCAAGCAGTTGGCCCATCACAGAACGAAACCTCGCTAACCGGAATTCGACGTTGCGTTTATGTGTCTGCATGATCCCTCTCAACATAACGCCATATATTTCGTACAGCAAGTTTTCCCGCGCGGAAGGATCACTGGACACCACAGCATTGAAGGCATCATTTTCATCGGAGCCAGTGGGAGGTGTGTTGATGAATGCGCAAGCAAGACGGGCCCACTCGAACAGGCCATCAGCTGTCTTAGCCAGGACTGTATACTCCTTGTCCCCAAAATGCGGAAGCGCTTCTAGCTGCTGAGATATGTAAGCGTAGATGTCCCTTTCCGCGACTGCTGGTGGAATGTTGTCCATGGACATACGTAGAATATGCTGAGCATTAGCAAATGCCTTATTGATGTCGGGAAGCGGGCGAGAAGTAACTATGATTCGGAAGTTTTGTGGAAGTGCCGTGATTTTGGTGATAGCTGGATCTCGATGTGTACCGGCAAGAATTGAGAGAATTTTACGTCGCGTCTCGTCTGTCCCACTCTCGTCCAACGCCTCGATCACGATCACGACAGGGCCCACCGTTGGTACCGACAGCTTCCCTAACGGTTCGATAAGAAACTTCTGCCACTGCTGGAACACATCTGTTGTAGTCTTGAGCGCAGTGTCGTTCTGAACTGTCTCCGCCAGGGCTCGTCTCATCTCCGGATGACGGTCAGCCAGGTCCCGCGCGATGGTGGAGAAAACCTTTTCATGACGATTCTCGGCAACTTTCGCTTGGTCGAAGCAGTAACAGGAACCAAACCCCCCCACGCCGATGAATGAGCTGGCGATTGTGTGAGAAATGGCTGATTTACCTGTCCCAGCAGGGCCAGATAACCATAGCATACGTGGAACGTCTTCTCCGCTGCTGTTGATCCATCCCATGATATCGGAGAGAATGTCCACGCGGGTCCCTTCTAAGCATTGTTTCCCGGTATCTAATCCAGCGCCCGCTGCATATGTCATACCATTAAGGTTTACTTCATCACCTGAAGAGGGATGAATGAACGTTGGATCAGAAGCGCGTCTCAAATCCGTACCTGTACTGTGGACGATGAGTTTCACGTCCCGGATGGCTTCGTCGCGAAAGTTTTGCATGAGGGTATCCAACACGTTGTTGTACTCTTGGATTTTCTGATTCGTTTCCGATAAGATGTTCTTTCCGAGTCTCTTCCCTATGATGATAGTAAGAGTTTGAGAAGGAGCAACATGCAATGGCTTGTAAGACTCACAAAAGTTCTTGGTCTCCGAATAATCTGTGATAAAATGGGCACATTCAAGGGTCTGCTGTGAGATCCGTCCAAGGACAGCTGGCTTCAATAAAAAGCAAAAGCCCTTGTCTTCCGTCATGAAGGCGTAAACCTCAACTAACTTCTTGAGAAGCGCAAGTACTGCTTTATCGCGATCTGCTTGAGCAAGAATGATCTGGACGAATGATATCTGAGCAATAAATAGGAATGAGGACGAAGAGATACATACTTTTGAGGCACAAGACAATACACCCAGTGCCATCTTGGCATACGGATGTACCTGTGAAACGGGATTCTAGTTCCGTTCTGTTCGAGAGAAAGAGTCCATACATTCGCGATTTCCCCGATAACAGTGTCGAATATCCTGAGAGGTTGGAGATATGTGTCCTGGAAATCGTCTGCAGTACTGAGACCCGCTTGTGCATCACGACCGGCAGACAATGCAGTTTCCTCATGTTCCGAAAGTGACTTTATGCCTATCGTAGCAGCTGCTGTGGCTTCTTGAATGGCCTGTTCGGGATCAGCACGTTGTTCCATGCTAGACAGGGCATCCTGAACATTTGAGGCCACCTGAATTTAGGGGAAGTGCAAAAGTTAAGATGTTTGAGCACCTACCTCAATACGCGGAGTCGACGAAGAACTGGCTATCGAGGGAACTGGGTCGGGGGTGCGGGAACCCTTCAAGTGCTTTTGTACAATCTCAGCTTGATTCTAGAAAATTTGTATCCTCGTCAACTCACCAAAATCTTTTTGGTCTTCCCAACAAATTTACGCATTTTGCGACGGGCTCGGCCCTAGGCGAAGGAGGCAGAGTCAGTATATCATAAACAAGTGATCCTGATGAGCTATAGTACGTACTGAGCCCTCTAGATTCAGGATCAGTCTGAGGCGAAGTACTAGGGTGCGATGAGCAGGTTCGAGGAAGGATCCCAGGCTGTTGACATTCGAGGGTTGGGTTGGCCTCGAGGCAATTGTTTGCTGCAGTATTGGCTTCAAGCGCTAATGAAGTTCGTTGGCGGGCCAGGGAATTCCGGACCCAAATCACACCATGAGAGCCCGAGCGCCTAACTTCATTTTGTCGTCTGAAGAAACACTCGGCTGAATCTGATCAAACTGCACGTCGCGGACATGCATGGTTGAGCATACGCACGTAAGTATCATGATACATGTCTCCCCTGGGCCCTTATAACCCTTTAGTTGAAGAAGTGTCCAGTAGAAATCAACATGATCACGATTCGATCATCATCGGGTATTTGTCATTGCCGAATCCCGATTCGAATTTTGCTTTGTATGACTCTCGCAACTCTTGTATGCGTAGTTGCTGGCCCTTCGACGACTTCTTGGGCCTGGGAGCTCAGATCTCAGAGACAACCTCTTCGCGGTTCCACACGTCATCTGTGGTATTGGCTCAATTGTGTAGGAAAATCGAAAAGTTCAATGGCAAGCCATGTAAGTCTTTTACGTCTGCTAGTCTGTCCGTTTTCTCTAAGATTCAATATTCAATTTCATCAAACTTACTTTCTTTCATTAGTCTCACCACTACGCACACGCCTAGCAATATCACTCGAACCCGCAGGAAAGGCCAAGATGTTGGGACACTTGCGATAGCACTAACACGTCCAGAATTCAAGCGTGATGCTGTCCCACATGAATGCCTCGCGCCGCAACAACGAGAGAGCTCATCTAGGCGTAGGATGACTCCTGAACCGAGAACCATCCTAAAGCGCTGGGCACAGATTGATGATGCCGATGCTGGGACTCAGGTCAAGAATTGCGTAATAAAAGCTCATTCAGAGCGCGTAGACAAACACAAGACGGTAGCACGTCAACCCCCACATCTCAAGTCAATCTTTTACAAGAGGAATTCGATTTGTCTGGATCAGCCGCTTCCTCAAGCACAGGCCTTCCCACTCGATTCTCTTCTCCACCCTTGATGCCTTGCTAGTAGCAGAGCTTACAGGAGACACAAGGAACGGAAGCAAGCCCGAATGCAATTCGAGTATCCTCAACGAAGTATCTACTCAATGAACACGTCGAAGTAACTGATATCCTCGACAAGACAATTCATTGACGGGTGCGTGACGACCGAGCAGTGTAGTCCTTTTCCTTGGATACAGGAGCGTGCGTTTTTGCTATAACTGGCGGTACACAGGTTGTGACTCACAGTGCTTGCGGACAAGCTCACGTCCTTCCCATTCAACTTCCTTCTCACCAGCGTAACAATCCCCACACATTGATCTTTCAAACAACCACCCATCCCTCACTCAACTTGCATCCACGCGGCTGCACAGAACGCACCTCATGGACAGGCGGGAACTAGAGTGCAGTCATCGAGTGCATCCGTTGCATATGGGCCGAAGACGCGGTCGTACACTCCAAGACCGCCACAGGCCCCGGTCCCATCGAACTCCTCGCCTTCTGCAACAAAAGGGACACAGTCAAACAACTCGCTGCCTTCCTGGACGGTCGCAGTATCAAACGCGTAGCGACGCGCGCAAACGAGGCTCAAACCACCACCTTGATGGGGTTTTGAGTCGGGGGTTTGTGTGATCCGGCTCAGACGCCTCATGTGTTCGCCTCATGTGTTTGTCACGCATCTACGTAGCACTGATCAGCGCCGAGCTTCAATGGAAATTCGCATTCGGACCCATTTGTTCGTTCATGTTTATTCACGGTCCCTTTACAAATTCCAATCAGGGCTCCAGTTCGTAACGACTCCCTCCTTCAAGTTGAACCTTGCTTGCGAAAAGTGATCGTTCCTAGGACCTTGGCGGCGCCAAGTTCATAGATCTTGAAGCAGTCCAGATTGCCGTCGAATGCAATTGTAAAGCAGACACAAGACACGATGTTCCTCTCCAGGGTATAAATGTTCTGAGACTGGAAAATGAGAAATTTCGAGTCTTCTGAGACATCGGCTCATCAGAAGGTCTCTCAAAAATCCTATCACGGAATATGCAGAGAATCGTCAGGTCAGCTGCAGGTGGCATAGTGTTAGTATACAGCGAGAACGGATTTTACGCTCACAGTTTACTTTCAACATGGCATGGTCTCGTGCGACACAACGTAATAACTGGCTCCGATGCTGCTGAGTTCATAGATAATAAGCCGAAACCTAGACGCGATGTTCCTCTTTCAGGGCACGCCGCACGTATGTTCTGAGACTGGAGGAGACATGTTCTTGTGTGTAATTTAGGGTCAATGAGATTGAGCTCATAGGTCGCGCTCCGGGGAGCTGTCCAGAATGTGTCAACAGGTCACGTCAACCTGCACGTACTAGTCTTGACTCTTGCCCCAGTAGTACTATCTGTATACAAATAACCGATCATGATCGATCTCGGAATACATGTAGATCTAGCTCACGTGGCATGCAACGAAGGAGAAGGTTCAAGATTAACGTTCACCGTCTCCACCAGATCATCATCAACATTCATATGTTTTGTCGCGACCGCGATCCCCCGCCTGGGTCTGAGCCTTCTAAGCTCCGGCCTTTGTTACATCGTAGGTACATAGTACCTCACTGATTTGCGGCATGTCTGATAGCGTTTTCTGTTTGGCTTTTAAGCTTGTAGGCTTCCCAGTCATTCTCTCGCGCTGTGACAACCCTGCCAGGATTTTCGGGTGTTTCCTGAGCACTAGTAACGTGATTCATGCACAACGCTATGTATCTACTATCGGTCACTAGGAAGACCTTGGCTGTAATCGACAACGGCACGTTTTTTTTGCACTATCCCTGAAAGGGGGGCCAGGGCATGCAGCTCTTCCAAGCATCTTGGCTTTCAGATCGTGGCCCTTACTACCAGCAGTTACCACGTCGTATTAGGCCAGTGAGCGATCCAAGCCTAAGTCCAAGTCCACGACCCTCGACTCCGACGCATTTGATCTGGTTCATGAAGAGTTTCCTAGTAAACACTATATTCCTTGCGCCAAAACATGCGATGTTTCTGTCAGGACACACACAGTAAGAGCAATTCATTCGAAGGATGAGGTCGCCGTCCACTTACTCATGTGTTCGCAGAACTTTGTCTCACATTTCATTTCACGGCTACTTCCGCAGCGTGCAAACAAAGCGGCGACAAGATCCCAAAGATCGCAATTGAATGGCAAATACTGCTGCCGCACACTCATTAGGCCTCGATCAGGGCCTGGCCTGGAGTTAGTGAATGTAAATCTTTTCAGTCTGCTAACCCGACGGTGCGATACTCACGATCAAATTGCACGGGAAGGACACCGACACTATTGTCAAAGCTATCGTAACAGCCGTACACTCATCTTCTTTCTTGGTGCACAGTCTACGTCTTCGTACACTCGCTTCTTGGATTCGAAGTGGACTTGGTCACCATGTGCAAGCAGCACTAGGGACCCGACATGATGGGCCATGGCTGACTTTACGTTGTTGGAAGTTGATAGCTGATGCGTCTGTAGCCTACGTGAGTATCGGGGCCGCCGGTATCGACATTGGATGCCGTATCTACGGTCAAGGCTGCTGAACGCTAATGTTATCCTGGCTCATCATATCCTCCCTGGATATCGTGTTGAAAAAAGGTTACGAAGCGAGAAGCCTATTTACGGTTCTCTCACTCGGTGTTGCCGAGATACATTACCACACCTCCGCAGCAAGTATGCGTCCCTTTCCTCCCAGTTACGAATTTCGCTGATTCCTCGCTACGGCCATGTAGCCGACGAAGTTCTTTTGACATACTCTACCGCAGGGAGGCCCACGCGTACACTTCTGTACCGTATCCTATAACACACGGCGACTCATCCGCATCACCACCTGGCTGATTGGCATCAATTCTTATTGGCCCCTCTGAAGCGCTGTACGGCATCAACGTTTTGTATGTTCGGATATGTGGTTTCACGGAAAGTTCAAGAGTATTTTCCACTCGGTTTCCTCAGGAAGAGGTCGCCGATTGGCAGCATTCAGTACTATAAAGACTCATCATGATGACCGGCTTCCCAAAACCGCCATATTCAGGAAGCCTCCACTGCCTTTGCCTCACATATGGATACATTTGCATTACCTCAATCCCCGCGGTCTTCATCGCCATACCTTTGGGAGCATGATCCAGACGTTGACGTTAGGTGAGAAGACTTGTCATTTACACCAACGAGTATTAGGTCTCATGCTGTGTCTAGTTTTCATGATGGACGGTTCACAGGCACTAGTGAAGTACAAACTCTCCCTCGAGGGCTTTATTATCCTCCGCCCATGTACGTGTTTCTCGCGAGTCTATTACCTTAACACTCATGTGTGTTCCAGAGATATAGCGCACACTCATGCAGGCTCGCAGGAACATTTCAATGGGCCACCCCTGATCGACGTCAGGGCTTGGGGAACCGCGTCAAATCAGCCTTATGAAGGCTTCACATATAACTCGCCGTTAGTACCCAATCATTGGCAGCACGGTTATCTGCCGCTCGCGGACCATGAATACCCCGCATCCGACAACTTCATGTATAGATCTCCTCAAAGTGAGTGGACGACATCACCGGTTGATGTTCTTCCACCGTCCACGTCATTCGGCCCGGGGCCCACATCCCCCTCAATACCTTCAGCATCGCACGTGCCTCCTTCGGTTGACCAAGATCTTCATAACTCGGATGAGATGTTCTGTTGCCCGCTGCTGTCTAGCGATGGAACGTGCTGCAATGCACACATTCCCTGCAATGAAACCGACATCACAACACACCTACGCAGCGTCCACGCGCTGCGCGCGAAGCGCCTGGAGGTCATCACTTGTCCGTGGCCCAGATGCGAGTGTCGCATGCAGGCAGCGAGCATCCCTCGTCATATCATAACGCTTCACGTCAAAGCGCGTTTCCAATGCTCGTACTGTGGAAAAAGCCTCACGCGAAAAGACGGCAAGTTGAAACACGAAAAGATCTGTCATGGAAAACCGTGATGCAGTCTCATTTTCATCGGGTTATTATTGCAACGCTATCGATCATACTTCTCGGCCTGTTGCTTTGCGCGGTGCTTCATTTAAACTTAGTTTCTCTTGCATTAATTACAGCTTTTCAATTTTATACCACGCAGCTTGTTGCATATGTGAGCTTTCGTATACCATCCCCGTCTTGTTCTGTAGAAATCTCTTGTGTCGGTGATGCCCGCTCAGATGGCTTTTTGTGCACTACTGTATTGATTGTGCGAGGGTTGATAATGCGAGGGTGGTCTTTTCTTCTGCGACGTTTTGATTCGGCGCGACCGATGCCAGGATGGCCGATATAGCGTCTTTATCTCCCTGTCTGAGCAACAGTGATGCAAGATGCTCGTTGCAACTGCAAGGAAAGACGTCCTCGTCAAACTGGGTGCCGGCCACCCCGGAATTATACATCTACACTGGACCTCCCAGGACGAATGGAACTAGAAGAGGTGCCAGATTATGATCTTGTGTTGCAGTCAAGGGCCAGTCAGGGGAGGGTGACGCCAGGGCCGAAAGAAGATCTGGAGGAGACAGAGACAGTCGTTGGCGAGCGCGAGCACGGAACGAAGAATGAGACTGATTGAAATTGTCCGGACAACACTATTCATAACAATAAAGACTCTCCTTGAAATCCACTCCGCAAACCAAATGACCAAATAAGTACCACGACGACACTTGAATCGAGAAAAAACCAAATTCTCCATCTCCCTGCAGAGCACCAGACAACTGTCAACTACCGAGCATCTCCCGTGCTACACACCACTGCTAGTCGATATGTGCACGCGCTCCTGGAAAGCGATCGAGGTCATGCCTGTTGCTGCGTCGGAGTCAGTCACAAGCTTAGCGTTAAATTCTCGAACGCCCAGGATCAAGCGTGGTCCCAGCACAAACATCTGCACAAACGACAAAATTTGAAGTGAACCGTAGTAAAAACCAAGTCCCAGAAGGGAACTTGGGTCCTATGGATATGATGAACTGCGGTTGCATATAGAGACTAGACAGATCAACATACCACTGTGATCGTTGGAGACAGAAAAACAATAAGGTTGAAGCAAGAGACAGCAACAAAGCTAGCATGTTCGATCCTTGAGCGGGAAAGGGAACGACATTCAAATGAACTCACCTCGCAAAGTAAAGCACCTGGGTTTTCATCAACACCGTGAAACAGTCCGCCATAGGCCCTCCTGCTGAATATTGCCGCAGTTCACGAAAGTGTTTTACAGCAATCCAGACTGCGAGACACAGAACGAGGACCTCCCACGCGGTGCCGCATATCCAAGTAATGGAATCCAGAAGTATGATATCTCCCCCATAGGTAATCGCGCACTCATAGGTGCCGGAGAGAATGTATTCCTCTGGTATTCATCAATGAGCCGCATGCACATTGTTATTCATCCATAATTAAACGTACCCCCTGAAGTATACTTCGTTGACATTGCGGCGATCACTACGTTGAAAATGGTGGCAGCCATGAAGGTGACAACGAGAAATATCAGCATCTTTCTAGATTGTTGGTACATGGCATGTATCCGAGCAATCATGATGACTTGTAATATTTTTCAGTCAAGTCAATATCAAGGTCTTGCAACTGAAAAACTCACCCCGCAGCATTGGAAATACCACAACACCCGTACAATTCATTACGATGTACAGAATCCAGCCTGATGTATCCAGTTAGTGATCTGCCTCTGGTGGAACACAGACCAAACAGACTCACATCTGGGACAGTCATTGTGGCAAACCAAGAAGCTGGTCAAAAATCACACTCACCCCTACATAGCGCCACAGTTAATTGGAGGAGAATAGTAGGTATCAGTGCAGAATACTTACTGCATCTGTCAACAAGATCGTCGGAACATTGACTGCATGCCGTGGTCAGAAGAAGCAAGGGCGGTGAATGTGAGAAGATATACTCAATATGTTCATGCTAATTGTGAGATATGGTTCATTAGCACAACGACAATGCTGAGAGTTTTAAACATACATAGCATAGATTATCCCAATATAGCGCACCTAGGATGTTTTCAAGAGTGAGCACGAGTTGCCAACTATGATGCAAGCTACATACCGCCAGATACAGAAACGTCATAAGGGACCAATTTTGCCTCTGTCGCAAATCAGTGTTGTTTTTCTGACGTGGAACTCCGCTCACCCAGATCAGTTCGACCTACAAAACCATTCTTAGTGAGATGGCTGCTCCAGTCACAGCATCAACATACCTCTTGTCCGAATGTAAGTGCTGGAAATACTTTAGGACTCCGTCAGTACTTCTTTAATACTATCATGCTCACCCCAATCATATGTCACTCCAATGGAGGAGCCAACTGCGAAACCGCAGTCAAGGTTAGATCGAGACATCAGCGTCAACATTTGACTGCTCTCCACGAACCTACAAAATAGCTGGAAATATGCCAAGCAGTAACGTACAGCCATACGCTAGGGTCATTTGAGACTATGGTCATATTGTTAGAGGATGGATATGGGAGCGGCGAACTTGATGGACATATAAAGATGACATTCGTGCTTGTTATACCACCAACCAGCGCTCTAATCACCAAAATGAGATCAAGAGGTGATATCTGTTGCTGCCTGGTCAATCCAGAGGCTCAAAGTAGAACTTGGTCGTAAACCATTTGCACAGGTGGAACGCTTGAACACCGCAAAAGATGGAAGGAATTTCAGAATTGTTAGTGTTCTGATGCCATTCTCGAGAAGTTTCTGATACACGGGCCCATCAGTCCATCAACGCAATGCTACTTCATCCGTCTAACATGTGCTGATCGTGATGTGACCATCAAAAGCCCGCTGACTCCACTCTCCGGGCCTCGCCAGCACAGGTCCAGGGATAAAAATAGATCCTCCAAGGTCCCGTCAAAGTGGGGGAGAGCCACATGAAGCAAAAGATAACTCACTGGTCCTACCCGGGTGCGAGCACATGTCTTAATGCACAATATCCCTGCTGCTCATCCTCAGCCCATTTGTCGCTTCACGCACCTTCTCGCTCTCTGCCTCGGACTCATTGGGCTATCGTATCACAAAAACGGTGAACCGGGTGAACATACAACGCCATATTGACGCCATCCCTAGATCAAGACAGTGCTGAGAGATGACATGAGAAAAGAAGAGTCGGACGCACCGCTATGACCGCATGAAGCCTGACATATTGTTGTTCAAATTGTACAGGCTGATTTCATAAAACGAGCCTCAGCAGCGTCTATAGCCCAGGGCTCTTAACAATGGTCGAAGGCGGTAACATTAGTATTCTGTTGGCACGCCGAATCAGCTGAAAAACGCGACGCAAAATTCATCATGCAGATGAAGACAGTATTAATGAGAGTCGAGCTCTTCATCCATTGACACGCGCTTTTTGTAGGGTAACCTGGCTGTGCACGCAGAAGGGTTAGGCTATGCATGCTGCAACATGACGGAGTGAAGTAACCATGAGTCTCATTTGGTCTTTAATTAACGGTTCCAAAGTCGGGTTTGGTCCCACGGGTGCTAACTCACACCTATGATACAGCCATTTCTCTATTACTATTCTTCATTCCGTGACTTTCCTTTCTTCAAGTTCACATGCACCACCACCGTCAGCAAGGAGGTCGTAGTACCTTATCAAGGGAATTTGGAGGATACGTCTGGCAGTACGGCAAATCGGAGCGCTTCTCCGAATGAAATTTACAAGGCGTAGATCGTTGCCTATGATATCCAAGGCAGTGACTCTTATCAAATGAAGTCCTGAGGCTCCAAATTTCAGCGAGCACTGCTGTGCACCACACAGGATATTCATGAACACGAGGACCACAGATTGATATGCGACAACAATGAAATAAGTAGACCAAGCGCACCCAAGCCAGATTTATACCTAGATCAATCACAGCACCTATAGGACTCGTAACGGTTCAGTGTGGACACGCCTTTGAGATGTTAAGTTAAGTTAGGCTGGTCACGAGCCCCAGACCCAGATCCCCAAAACGAACGGAACCTTCCTATAATATCTGTGCATGCATACCGATACCAATTACTACATACCATCGGAATCCCCAGGTCGAGAAGCACAAAAACCTTTGTCAAGCGTTCAGATGGCATGAAGACGGTTTGCATTACATTTGGATATCATCCGAATTCTGATCCCGCATCGTCATGCCTGAGTCCATCTGGAGATGCGCATGTCCCTGAGCGAGCGCTGCATTCACCGCCATGTCTAGCACTCAGGCAGCTCCGTTTGAATCTGACGTGCCATTTCACATCACTCCTTGTTGAATACCTCGGCATACCAGCGAACCGTAGAGCTACCAGGTGAATAACGTCGTCTGGAGTATAGATTCTCCAAGTGAGGTGTTCGACCAAGAGCATATTTGCCACGCAGCAGAATGACTGCTGTTGGTTGTAGTTTTTCGGGATTCCTACAAACCCAGATATCATCAACGCTATACCCCAAGTGATCGTTGACCCTCGATTGAATTCGCATTGCTGTAAAGTAGTCAGCTGCCGCGCCTCATAACCGTTACAACAAAAAGTAGAATAACTGAAAGCTTAGCTGTCAGTACCAGCGACAGTATATGTATTGATTATGAGAACTCAAGTAAGCCAAGTGTGCTTACCATTGCATATAGTTGCGCATGGTGTTTGAGAACAATCGAGAATCGTTTGCCGCAAGTCAACTCACGGGATCGATCACGCAGAACCTGGCGCACGGTAATCGGAAGCAACGCATTAGGTAGACAGCTGCTGTGCCGCGAAAGATCGCTTAAAAATTGTCCTGCTCACTTGATATCTGGCTCGGTGTGTCCGAGGATTGTGTCCATTTATTCCATGATCGATAGCATATCTGAAGCATATGTAGGGACTCGGACGGGGCTGGATGGCAAGATGTCAGGCGAAGACCATCCAGAATTCATATAGCGTACTAACCGATGCATTTTGTCGTAATAAACCAAGAAGAGGTAGAAGCTCGTGCTACTCACGATGAATGCCAGTAGGGTTGGGAGACGATAAATGATAGCAAGTACACTTGCGAGGACCGAAGAAGACATCGTTCATGTACTGATATGAACGCAATTCTAAGTTGGATGGTGGGTATAGAAAAAGATGGTGGATATGCGATATCATTGGTCACTTTCTGCTGCGAGATTTAGAAACGCGTTAACGAGACTACAGGGCATCAGAGAAATAGTGTTATGACAAACCTATATTCCGGGACCACGTTGTTCGATGCGAGAGTTGGGTGCTTGATCGATGATGTAGACTGGGATGCTGTTCTGGTGGAATGTCAACGCTGCTACCAGACCCGCTGGCCCAGGGCTGGCCGTTGAAAAGAATGATCACACAAGTCTTGGATTGAACCACGCCTGGAAAGGCAGAAACTCCTCCATCACAGAATTAGTAGCCGATTTGAGACGCAAGGAGAAATAAATCTGGCTGCGTCTGGTGCACACGCAGATCTTGGGAGTCGACGAAATGAAGAGGTGACAACTACCCCGTGTCTTGGGCGTCTACGTAAACGAGGTGGGTTAATGTAGTGGAGTAATATAGAAACACACACTACACGCACCTCTGCAGCTTAGAGAAAGACGCTCCCAAACCCTCCAAAGTCTACCTCGACCGTGCTCAACACTATCAACCTCCGGTGAAATGTCGAAGCTCAATCCAAGCACCACACCCCTTCGAGAGTTCAAAGGTCATGAAGAATGTGTAAGCGCAATTGCAGTTTTCCCCAGTAGACGAAGAATGGTTACGGCCTCGTACGACAAGACAGTTCATCTGTGGGACTTGAAGACAGGTGTTGTGTTGAAGAAGATGGAGGGACATACCGGTTGGGTAAATTCATTGGCGGTACAGTTGAAATGCTCATAATGCATATGCTAACAATGCATAAGTCTCATAATGCATGGACTTTGTTGGATCCCGACGGCGTTCCCATGTAATTGACTGCATAATGCATATTGCATAATGCATAACCTTTGCATACATCAGCAAATTATAGGGTTCCTTAATCTTTCCTTAAACTGCCTTATTCACCTTATTTTGCATAATAAGGAACATTTAAGGCGGCTAAAAATAAGGAGAAATAAGGAGATCCCCTTCCTTAAACTAAGGAGATATGGAGGAAATCTCCTTAAACTAAGGAAATCTCCTTAAACTAAGGAACTCTAAGGCGGATAAGGCGATCAAGCAAACTATTATTGAGACATAGATCACGAAAAAACAAAGTACGCTAAGGCGAAATAAGGTGAAATAAGGCGGTCAATTGAGTCCAGAGCATCCTTCAAAAATCACGTAGAAAATAGATGAAAAACAGGTCCAAAACTGAATGATGATAGCGCGAGCAGGTGTTGATGTGATTAATGACTTGAGGCAGGGGACGAGTGCGCATATGGTAGTGAACAAGTTCTGTCAAATGTCATAGTATCAGAGCGAGAAAATTTAAGAGAAAGAAAAAACACTACAGATGCGGATACGGGAGCGTGGATTTATGGGAAGCTGACTGTCGCCATCACCGGTATCGCCATCCTGACCCCTGCGGCGTGTACGCTTGATGTATGGTTGAGATCGCGCAATGATCTCCTGGATGCGATCAAAGGGAAGCTGCTCAATTAGCTCCATGTACGCGATTGTGTCAGTCTCCCAATTGCCCGCTGAAAATGCGGTACCAGTGTGGCTCATTTTGTTGGTTGCTTGATTGAGCGTCAATGCAATCTTGTGTTTCCCTTGGCCTGAAGTGTCCTCCAGAATGAGGTCGTCGCGAGCCAAAATTAGTGCGCGCTCGGCCTGCAAATGACAGATCAGTAAGTTTCACAAAGACGGTAGCAAACTCACAGCTGCAGCGGTCATTGCAAGGGCAGCTCCATATCCAGGTAATCCGAAGTCAAGTGTGTCCACTTTCTGGCGCCCTTGGATGGCGCCGAGGTGGGCAGCAAATGTGCGCAGGATGAACTCCGAGAAAAACGCTCCAGGTGAATCCTCGCTATCTGGGTCTTCATAAACAAAGCTGTGAATCTTCAAGTTGATATTCCGCGTATGCTTTCCGTGACTCCTGGGTCTCATATTCATCCATCGAGGCAAAAAATGCCATCAAGATGGTGACAGCAACAGAGCCGAAATTCCCCCTCCACTCGGAGATCCTTTGGCCTACCTGCCCGCATAGTAGAGTTAATACTGACACGCAGAACAGGGATTCACTCACAACACTGAAAGCACCGTTGCAGCTGTCAACCTCGAAGTCTCCAGGTTGGTTGTACACTGCCAAGTAGATATTATCAAGGGTATCGGAAAGGGTGTCATCGGGGATGGTCCATGGGTAGTTGCTATTTCCGATCCAGTACATGATTGTCGGAAGAAATTTCGAACACCAGTTTGAGTTCAGAGCACCAGAGGGCAAGTGTGCGTTTTTCGGTTTCTCTTTCTTGAGGTTGAGTACCAGTGGTGTACGTCCGGTTTCAGTTTTGATGTACTTCGAACTCTGATTGTCAGTCTCCACAACGCCAACTGACATCTGCAGGAACTTGTCAGCGCTTCTCATGCTACATCAGTTGATTTGAACCGCCTACGGAGGTTGTAAGCCGACTGGTTGTCGTTTCATAGACCTATAGAATCCCAGAATCATGGTAAGTGTCAATATCCATCTATCTCAGAGACCCAATGGGTGACTTACTTCAAGATCGTCCTCCTGATCCATCATCACGACATCGTCATCTACATCCTGGTATTCATCATCTTCGTCAGCATCATTGTCTTCCTGCATCTCGCACTGTTCTTCAGGTCCAAGATCCTCGACTGACACCGCGGACAAGGCACGCTTCTTTCCTCTCGGTGCATTATTGACAGTCTCCACCATGTGCACAATGCTCTGTCTTAAGTCAAGTATCTCCCCATCGCAAGTGTTAATTCACTCACCTGCGCACGCCGATTCCTGGTCACGCTATCATCAAATTCTTCAGGTGCGTTGTCATTTTCGAGCCATTCTGTATTGTCGTTTGCGACCACTGGAAATCTTGTTAGTGGTACGATTTGAAAGACTATTGTACCTACCGCCACGTGTACTTGGTGGTGTAGAGGGCTTCAGTTGGGACTTTGACGCTACACTTTTTGCCCACTTTGCCACACCGCCTCTCTCTGAAGGTATGGAGGACTCAGATGCCCTACGTTTCAGTGAGTGAAACACATCAAAATAATAAAGTGTTATTTCTGATAGAAGCAACATCATAGTTCAGATTAGGAACTTACAAGATCTTTTCCCATCAATGCTTCCAACACGTGTCTCACTTAAGGCCGATAAACCGCTGTTGGACACCTTTCGACTGGCGTTCACACCATCCTTGAACGTGAGCTTTAAACCTGGATGTTTCTTCTTCTGGATGTCAGCGTTCTGAGATGCTGATTTGGCCCCAACAGCTGTACAAGTTGGATAGGAGCGGTAAGTCCTTACAATAATGTTATGGATTGTATAAGATTTGCTTACATGTTTCAGGGTTCACAATCTGCGTTGCATCCTCCAGGGTTGACACCTGTTTCTTGGTCACCGGGCGTGGTTTTGGCTTTGGTCTGACGAGCCGTTCAGGGCCAGTACGCTGAACCATCTGCTCAACAGCCATAGCATCTTCCTCCGCAGCAACCTGTTTTTTCGCCTTATCGATGGCAGCGAACCTTGGACGCTTTGTCTGATACTTTCTTGTTCTTCTCAGCTGCAATTACATCTTTCGGGCGTGAAACTCGATTTGCATCGAGGACTACTTGTCCAGGATGCTTGTTAGCATTACCGGGACGTGTTGTGGGTCGAGGCATGGATAGGGAATGAGAGGAGCGTTGACAGTTGACAGTCGTCAAAAGTTGAAGGAATGTGAAGTAGAAAAGAGGTGATGCAACTGGTGAGGGTTTATTCCATTCAATTGAACATGTAATATTTTACGATTCACACACTTAGCAGTAGTCTAACCTGCCTCCTACACACTCCGCTTCCTGGTACCTGGCCTATCCATACAATCGCTCACCACTCAACATGGCCCCAGGGATTGTTAGGCTCGTTTGTCGGTTTCCAAACTGCAAGCGCATCTTCAAAAACAAGTCTGGCCTCACTAAGCACACACGCACACATCATCTGTTACCCCCGCAAATTCAGGGAGCTCTCAATCGAGCAGCCCCACCCGCAGGTCCTGGTTTTATACCTCCAAGAGAACGTTCTCCCACTCCGGCAGCAAGTATCGATGTCGATTTTAACCATGATGCAGCGGACGAGCAGGAGAATGATGGGTTTGTACCTGAGGAAGGTACTTGGGTGGACATGGGGCGTTTATTCCGCACATTCCATCCACACATGACCGGTAAGTGTTGGAGTTGTTCACACTATGTCACTGATATATTTGTTTTACAACTCAGGACTCAAATGTGATACTAACGGCATATTGATTGACCAGGATGCACCCCCACCGCCTCGTACGGATGCCCCATCGACTGATTGGACACCTTATAATAATAGGGTCGAATTCGAGACCGCAGAATTCCTATTCATGCGCAACCAAATGTCTGCGAAGCAGATCGACACAATCCTCGACTTGTGGGCCGCGACTCTAATACAACACCACGACGCTCCTCCTTTCGCTAACCACAGGGACATGTACGCAACGATTGATGCAACACCACTCGGTGATGTCCCCTGGAAGACCTTCTCGATGTGCTACAATGGAGGTAGACCCGGGGACAACGTGCCACCATGGATGGAGGGCAAATATGATGTGTGGTATCGGGATCCACTCAAGATTGCAGCGCAGCATGCTCGCAAACCCTGCCTTCGATGGAGGCATCGAAATTTCACCATACCGTGATTATACCACTGACGACAAACGATACTGGAAGAATTTTATGTCGGGTGACTGGGCATGGGGCCAGGCGGTACGTTCTTGATCATTCATTTTTGTAGCATACTGACGATCATCTCAAGGATCTCATTTCTCAAAATCAAGAGACTCATGGTTCAACAGTTCGTACCATTGATTATTGGCAGTGACAAGACAGTTGTTTCTGTCGCCACGGGCCAAACAGAATACCACCCACTCTATCTCTCAATCGGCAACATTCACAATAGCGTGCGACGCGCACATCAAGGCGGTGTTGTGCTCATTGGGTTCCTTGCAATACCGAAATGTAGGCACCCACACTTATTATTATTCTTATGCCGTATATTAATTTTGTTTGTTTAGCTACAAAGGCACACAATGGAGACACTAACTACAGAAACTTTCGGCTGCCAACTGTTCCAGCGGTCCCTTGCCAAGATTTTCGAGTCAGTGAAACCATTCATGGAAACCCCTGATGTCACACGCTTCCCAGATGGTCACTTTCGACGGACGGTATATGGCTTAGGCCCATATATTGCTGGACTATCCAGAGCAGTTAATGCTCTCTGGCGTTGTACAGAACTGGTGTCCACGGTACGACAAATTCGTTTCTTTTATTTTCAATGACTCATTAGTTTCGTAGGTGTCTGGCGAATAGCAAGGACCTTGACGCTGGTCAACCATGTTTGCATCGACGCGAAGCACACACTGAGTTGCTCATTGCGCAGCTACCGTATAAACAGGTTTGGCGAGAGTATGGCATTGTTGGCGATCTTGTCGTAAGTCGCTTGCTAAAACTTACCAGGCCTCATCTTACTTGTCCCCTCCACTAGCCATTCACTAATGATTTCCCTCGCGCAGATATTCATGAACTCCTCTCTCCGGATCTTCTACACCAAATCATCAAGGGAACTTTCAAGGACCACTTGGTTGATTGGGTGGAAGACTATTTGAATGTCACGCATAGTGCTCGCCACGCAGCCGAAATAATGGATGATATTGACCGCAGGTATGCAAACCGTCAATTGTTTGCTAATGACTACTGACAGCACACAGGATAGCAGCAGCAGCCCCATTCGCCGGGTTACGGCGCTTTCCCGATGGGCGTGGATTCCAGCAGTGGACTGGTGACGACTCCAAGGCGTTGATGAAGGTGCATTGCGGCGGTATTTCCTTCTGAGCACTTTGTGAGCTGACTGATATTATCTAGGTCTATCTAGCTGCAATTGAGGGCCATGTTCCTCAAGACATGGTGCGCACATTTAGTGCATTCCTCGATTTTTGTTATCTTGTACGGCGCGAGGCCCTCACTGAAGTTGACCTTGTACAACTCCAAGATGCCCTGGACCGCTTTCACAAATACCGGGAGATCTCAAAACGACTGGCGCTGTCCCAACATTCTCCCTTCCACGCCAACACTCCCTGTGTCACTACATATTGCTAATTCGACTTTTTGGGGCACCCAACGGCCTTTGTTCCTCCATTACCGAGTCTAAACACATCAAAGCCGTCAAAGAACCCTGGCGTCGGTCTAACAGGTTTAAGGCGCTGGGTCAAATGTTGCTAACAAACCAGCGCCTAGATAAACTTGCCGCTGCTCATGCAGATTTTGAGGCGCATGGCATGCTTCGTGGCTCTTGCCTGTCTGAAGCTTTGCGAGAACTCCGAAGGCGTGCGTGATCAATCGAGCTGATGGTTAGCCCTTCTGATGTCTCAAAACAGGTCAGAATGATCATGAAGACAATGACTCAGAATCAGATGACGGCGCAATGCCTGATATGGCACATGAACATCACCCTGGGCGCCTGTATGTCCATGAGCTGCAAAACCAATCCATTGAGGTAGACGCTGGTGAAATTATTGACGGACCAACTGTGGAATCCCACATCGAACTTGTGGTGAAAGCTCGTGAGTCAATCTGTTTACTTGTTGACCCTTGCTGATAATGCTTAGGTTGTGTATGCAATGTCCATACACTCGGCCTTGAACTCGACCTTCCGCAATTCACTCACATGGTTCAAGAGTTTATCCATGACCAGTGCCATTCGGAAGATGCCAACCCTCCCGAGTATGACCCTGCAACAGCCCAAGTATTCTTGGGCAGAGTCTCAGTCTTTAACTCCGCTGCAGCGTCGTTCCACGCTCCCAGCGATCTGAGCGGTACTGGAGGTATGCGTCGTGAGCATATCCGGGCAACATCGTCGTGGCGTGGTGGCGCTCCCAGGCATGATTGCATCTTCGTCAACGTGGATGCCGACTTAGACTCTCCCATGGGTGGACTTGCAGTTGCCCGGGTCCTGTGCTTTTTCTCCTTCAATAACCGGACATCGTATTATCCTTGTGCCGTTGTTCATTGGTATTCTCACGTGCTCGAGGGACGCGATCCTGACACAGGTATGTACGTCGTCGCACCCGCAACAAATGATAGTGGCGCTCCCGACATCTCGATTATCCACGTTGATTGTATTTTCCGTGCTGCCCATCTCATTCCAGTATATGGACCGGACTTTATCCCCATAATCAGTCCACACGACTCATACGATATGTTCAACTCCTACTACGTCAACAGATATGCAGATCACCACGCTTTCGAGATAGCGTGATTTACGGTATGTAATTGTGCACTTGAATTTATGCTTATATCTGACCATGTTTGCAGGAAAGATCCACTCTACCCCAACTACCTCCCATCCCCTCGAACAGCCGTTGTGGATCAATATGATCATAGACACGTTCGCTGCACTTGAACTCGCTACCGACCTTCGCTATACCGCCGCGAACCTCGCATACCCTCCACCCAACCACCCCTCGCATACCCTCCACCCAACCTCGTGTACCCCTCGCATACCCCCCCACCCAACCTCGTATACCCACTCTGGGATTCCGAAAGGGGGATGGGTGGGTAGGTACAAGGACTCGACCCTCATCATGCAACTACTACAGGACAACCTCGCATACCCTCCACCCAACCACCCCTCACATACCCTCCACCCAACCTTGCGTACTCCTCGCATACCCTCCACCCAACCTCGCGTACCCCTCGCATACCCTCCACCCAACCTCGCGTACCCCCTTGCATACCCCCCACCCAACCTCGTATACCCACTCTGGGATTCCGAAAGGGGGATGGGTGGGTAGGTACAAGGACTCGACCCTCATCATGCAACTACTACAGGACAACCTCGCATACCCTCCACCCAACCACCCCTCGCGTACCCTCCACCCAACCTCGCATACCCTCCACCCAACTATGTTCCCCTCCGTAATTTATACGAGAATGGGGAACACTCTGGGATTCCGAAAGGGGGATGGGTGGGTAGGTTGCCGACATTCGCTCTACTGCCTCGAACCTCGCATACCCTCCACCCAACCTCGCGTACCCCTCGCATACCCTCCACCCAACCTCGCGTACCCCTTGCATACCCCCCACCCAACCTCATATACCCACTCTGGGATTCCAAAAGGGGGATGGGTGGGTAGGTACAAGGACTCGACCATCATCATGCAACTACTACAGGACAACCTCACCCTCTGGACTTCAGACAAGCAGGATTCAGGTAAGTCGTCTTCCACCAATCTGACTTGCGTTTCTCAGCTAATTTACATAGAAACCAGATACAAAGTATGAGGCTCCCCGCCACCTATCCCTCACCGTCCCCCAACCAGACAAGTGCCTACTACGAAGACCCTGCCTAACGAACGACGACGATCAAGAACACGTGCAAGACTGGCGGCGCGGCTTTGAGTGACGGAGACGAGACCATTGTGAGTTTTCGTCAGGTTTGAGATATCCTTGTACTCACTGTGGTTTTCAGACATCCTACACTCGAGCGACACGTTCCGTCTCCATTCGACGACACGTTCCATCTCGATTCCTGCGCCAGAAGCAGCTCTTCACCCTCTGCCAGAAGCCCAGTGAAGCCTCCGTCCTTTCTGCTGTCGCATCCGCTTCCTCTGCAGCCGCCTCAGTGCTGATCGCAGCCTCCATCAAAACCTCTATATCCCCCCACTGGCGCCTCCTCCCTTGCTCGCGGTAGATAGATTTCAGGGTCATGTAGTCTACTAGTATACTGTCAATCAACGATACGTGACGAGTGCCAATAAAACTTACTTTGATGTTTCTGCGATAGCGGTTGAGTTATTTGTCGCGCGCTTATCTTTTGATCACTCAAAACAGCGCGCTGATGATGTAAACAAGCGGTGAAATTTGTTGTGCTCAACAGGCGCCTTAATCTCACTTTGTCGCAGAATCATCAACTTGCCGCCTTATGCTGCCTTTGCTGCCTTAAGTTCCTTAGACTTACTTGTAATGACCTCGCGCCTTAAAATAAATTGTACAAACGATAAAAATAGCGCCTTATTCGCCTTAGCCGCCTTAATTATATTTTTAAGTAACTTAAGGCGAAATAAGGAACCCTATGATTTGCTGATGTAGCCAATATGCATTATGAGGTACCAAATTGATAGGACGGGACAATAGGTACAACAATGTATTGCATAAATTTATTGTTCTGCTTCAGTGGTATTGTCTCGTTCGACTATGTATAGAAGCTAGCAAGTAATCACGACAGTACGATACCACACAACAATATTTGTCCTGCTTTTGGAGGTGGTGACTCATCCAGTGCAGACACGGTCCGCCACGAAATTGCCATTGTAAATGGTGAAGTTATCGAGGTTGATTCTGATGATGACAACGACGAAGCGGATCCATCAATCACTCGTCAAAATATTCTCGATTTGTGCCAGCAGCTTGAAGTTGGATGCATGCAATATGGTGATCCTCAATTTTCACTTGATTTATCATCACAACTTCTTAAGTTTCGCGCGAACCTACGACGCGAAGAACTACTTAATGCTAGACAAACTTCTTTAGAACGATTCTTCTCGGTATAATACATGTACTTCTGTAGGACTACCATCAGTGAATTGAGGAGTCCTTGATATTGTACCCGTGTGACCTATAGAGAGATATAAATTTGCTCTTGCTAGGTATGGGTATTTAAAGTGCGAGAAATTTGTGATGTTGCTATATACCTATGTAAGTCTGCGAATCTAGACGACATTTAGTATTTTGTGACGAGGTCACGTCTTCGCAACACCATGGCCGGTAAGAGATGACAGCATAGGTGTGTTCGCCTTGTCGAGCATAGTCGTTTCCGTTATTTAAGTTTTCAATTACAAGGGTATATAAGACTATCTCACGGGCAGCGTTTTTCGCAATGGTCCTCGTATCTGTATTTGCAAGGGAGTTTGCGATAATGTGTCGTTGTTGGGGCATCACAGCCGGTAAGAGATGACAGTATAGGTGTGTTCACCTTGTCGAGCATTGTCGTTTCCGTTATTTAAGTTTTCAATTGCAAGGGTATATAAGACTATCTCACGGGCAGCGTTTTTCGCAATGGTCCTCATATCTGTATTTGCAAGGGAGTTTGTGATAATATGTCGTTGTTGGGGCATCACAGCCGGGAGGAGATGACAGGGTATCCCAGTAACCCTGGTTGAACCTTCTCATATTCCCCAATTCAAGTTGTACATTATAAGGCAATTTTTCACGGTTTGCTGATGCCAATGTATGGTCTGCAATATGTCCCAACCGCAGACTAACAATTCCGCAACCAGTGCCGCACTTACCAGGGTATTGAATTCCCACAGGCAGACTACTATACGTTCAGCAGATGCCTATCATTAATTAATATTCTCGCTTCCAATCTGAAGTGAAGAACAAAGCCGAGCATTGCACTGGTGATGCATTGATGATTGTGGTTCACATTACTGTAGCGCACAAGATCGCTTGTCGTGAATCAGTCCCATCGTTGAGTGCATAGTATTTGGCTTTGACTCGGAATCATGACATCGAATCTGCATACCATACTGCTTATTGCCGACCAAAGGGGATCGCTTGTAGTACTTACAATAGATACGTGCGGACGATGCAGGAAAGTACAACGTAAACGATGAATGACCCCTTGCATGCTAAAAAAACAACGTGCAGAGCGCCCCCCTGTATTGACTCGGCGGGGTAGTATGGTCATTTGACACGTCTGGACAACATCATGACTCAAGATCCAGGGAGATGACACCTGTGAGGAGTGAGAATGCAGCGATGTAAGAAAGTAGGGAGGCGTACGATTGACCCTTGTCAGATTCAACCCAACACCTCCACATTCCAGGGACATCGAGCATGACCTGTGCGGTATTGCCCATCATGAAAACTCGGACAGCCTGATCTCTTTGACTACGACCCATCGACCCATGAAACCTAAACTGAAAGATTAAATTAATTCAGATAAGCAGGTACGAGGTCATCAGAAGATTCGCACTTGACATGGGGTATCTTCTTCTCCGCAAGGAAGTCGGAGATAAGTTTGAGACGCTCGTCTCCGAAAGATCAAAGAGGAGCGCGAGGCTGCTCAAGCCAAGAGGAAGGCTGAAGCACGAGAGGGAAAACGCAGCAGCGCACAAGCTTACCGTTGTGCATGAGACATTCGGTCCACTGCGAGATTATTATGGTCTGTATATAGCATCAGCACCACGATCGCTGTGGTCGTTGGACTTCAAGCCGCACCTTGTCATCAGGGCTTTGCATAGCCCACTTCCCCAGATGCTCCATCATTTGCTAGGAGACGAAATTCAAAAGGGGATTTCAAAAGAAAACACGACAACCTACATTCATCTTTGTGGAGGGGAGGAAGCGCGACATTGTTTTACCTTGACCTATGGAAGCAAGCACCTTCCTAGGGCTCCGACCTATGACCACTTCTCTCTCGTCTACGGCAACTTGCGTCAGATCATGCCAATGATAAGACGTGGCGACATACCTGGTATACTGCTACCTCCAACTTGAACGACTTGCAAAGACTCGAGGCCAGTGAGTGCTCCAAGCTCGTTGAATAGTGCTGCTGGTACTCCAGGAAAGGTTGATTGGCTGTATGCGGGTGAGTACTGGTCACGGTGCGCGTAATGTGTGGAGCGGACTCACAGATTTGCAACTCTACCGGAGCCATCGCAGGTGACGCCATTCCACATTCATTCACTCACTGCTCTGTAAAGCAGCTTCTTCCCCCTTTGCAACTCCCCGACCCGAATCTCAAATTCCAAAATGACGCGCCACAAAATAGCGCTTCCTGCAGTCCTGAAAATGATGTCAACCCATGACAGCCGGAGCAAAACGATATCACAAACCTTTCGCTCTCTGCAGCCGCAGCAAGTCCGCTCCTCGTCCGTTCGATCTCACTCTGCCATCGCACTTTCTCCCACCCTGGGACCCACACTTCTGCGATACGCCGTGAAATGCTCTTTTCTCTTGGGCCTCCATTGGCTGTGCTTTGTCCGAGTTGAGCCCGTACGCGACCCCAGATACCGTGCCCTTTCTCAGCTTCTAGAAACATGCCCAACACCAGGCTATTGTCCAAGTAAGTGTCGACGGCAATCTGTAGTCGATCCCTCAGGACAGCTGTCGGAGTAGGACGTCGTAGTATGACTGAATGATTGTACAGTAGCATAAGAGATGCAACCATCATGCTCTCTCTCCGACCAGGATTCTCATTAACACTGGCAGCAGGCTGAGAGTCTAAGACCGTGAGTGCCGCATCTTGAGATGAGGAAGTAAGCAGCTCGACAAAGGCTCGTAGTTTTATCCAAGCTTCCTGGTCCTTCCACTGCTCGTGAGCGCAGCTAATCGTATCATCGAGGCTGCGTTTTACACGAAGAACTACCATACCACCCGTACCCTCGATCTTGACTGAGCGCTGGATAACACGTAGTGCCGCATTTTCGTTACCACTAAGCCATTCCATCTCAGCCCAATCCCACCATAACTGACCAACGAAAGGCTGGGTGTGTGTGTGCTGAGAGGTTACGGGCACCGTTTGATAGACCTTACGGGCATCATCGACGTGCTCGCGCAAGCGCTCGAGACGTGCGTGGGCTGCCCAGTGCGGTAGGGAATCTCGAGCTGTCGACAAAAAAGTCCGCGAGAGCTTCAGAGCACTGCAACACCAACATAAGTGCTACTGACACACACATCAATAAATGAACCACACCTTTTGGTATTGAGGGCTGCCTCAAATGCTAAAGCGTAAATATCCCACTCATAGTCCTCGCTACCGCATCTAAGCTGGCTGAACACGGCTCGTACGAACTCCTTGTCGATCTCTTGCAGATCAGCCGCGGCTCAGGCCGTCGGTTTGACCCAGTTTGGCATGTCCCACGGTTTGAAGCCGGGCCGTGCACTGCACTGAGTTTCACTGGCCAAGATCAATCCCCCCAAATCATCATCGATCAACGCACCTACTCATCTAACCATCTTTCAACATGGGCCCCATGGATCCCGTAAGTAACCATCAAGTTGTGTTCATGCATGATCGCTGAAGCGATCGTTAGCAATTAGCACGTGCCCCAACTCTTTTGCCACCGAGGGCGCCTGATGTGCGCTACTATGGACGAAGAAGGTCTACTCACGTTGAGGCGGGTCGTTAGAAGATGCGGGTGATGCGAGATGTGACCGGAAGGGGTGCGATTGGGGGTTTGGAGGAGGCTCAAGGCGTTTCTCTGTTGTTGCAACGCTGGGCATGACACGGCGTGAGTTTGAGGTCCTGTGTGCTGAATTAAGGCGAGTCCGCTGTGTCTTATCAATGATAGTTTTCTTGTTTACCCTGTATTTTCAGAAGTCAGAGGAGATTATAGCATTCTGCAAGATTGTGCGCGTGTCTGTACGAATTTTAGTGTTAGAGATTGCTCCGAGACCGTGCCGTCGCTCAAACGGACATAATATGGTACAGGTATCTCGTCAACTTGTGTTGCAACCCGGAGGGAAGAATGGACTGGAGGGATCAGACGCAAGGACTCCCGACAAATGTTGTTCAGATATGGCAAGTTCTGCAAGGTGTTGTGTAAAGACTCGATTTCTTCAGGTGACAGTCGCGATATCGGGGTAGTCGGTACGATAGAGAGAGGTTCCGTACGAAGACGAGTCTGCAAGCCTGGATGTCTTGCAAGGAGCAGAAACGTCCACGTCAGAGCGAGAGATGTCGTATCAGACCCTGCGAACATGAAGGTATTGATGTTGTGCAATATATCTTCGTTGGAAATTCGCTGATCTGGTGGGAGGTCTGTCGCAATATTGGATTTCACTAAGAATTTGTCAGCCAACCGACAGAAAGAAATGACAGTTGACTCACGCAACATATGAGGAACCGCTCTTCTCTCCATCCAAAATCCTGGATTTCTCCTGCTGCTCTAGCTTTCCTGCTACGCGGCGAATAGTTTCTTGGCATCTGTGGACGGTCTTGGCCCTCTTATCGGGCTGCATTGCAAGCTCAGCCAGGATTACATTCATGAGTAAATTGATTTAAACGTACGAAAAGGCTATTTCAGGGATTGGAAAGTAAATCCCCAGAACTGTCCTAACCCCATCTCCCTGCGAGACAGCAACCTCGGACAATACGCAGCAAAGAGCTCGTCCGACTCGTTCTGTATAGCGTTGAAGTGGTGGTCAAGAAGCCTGTGGGTGATACGTGATGGTCAGGTAAGGATGGATGCACGACCCAACATGAGTTACCTGCTAACCCAATTACGTCGAAGGTCGCTCGGCTGATCCAGTGACAGACGTCTATTCCAAAACGGCGAGGAGTTCTGCTTGTCCGAGGCTGCCTGGTCTTCCTTCGCTTCCTGAATCGTATCTATCCATTTATCTTTGAGCTCCTCTCCTTTGCTAAAGACAAGAGGCACAAGTGCTCGCATATTCTGAATGGAAAATGCAGGAGTGGCAACGCGCCGTTGACGCTTATGAACATGACCCTCTGCAGCTGGCATACCACAACCAATGAGGCTCGTGATAATTCTTCGAGATTACCACGGTTTTTCGTAGATTATGCTTCTGTAGTACATGTGTGCTACAGAAACATGGGTAAAGGGTGAGAAGGCGTTCGTCCCACTGCATCGAACAGTTGTTCGCGAGTTTCGTGATTTAAAGAAGAGTTACTCACAGGACCAAGCCCTCTTATACGGACGTTCCTGCCATATTTCTCTACATAGGCAGCATGAGTTTTGGATGACCTGAGTGGTCGAGGGTTCGAACGAGTTGGGTAAGGGAGGTCAACCAATGTATGAGTGGGTTGGGGTGAGGCAAGTTGTGCTGGGCGGCGGCTCCTTGGCACCTCTGCAGACGCCGTGACCGACGAGGCCAACTGTAGCGTATGCCCGTTTAGAGGGGCGATAGAAGCGTACCATGATAATATAAGGGCCTGAGTGTGTTCGACGCCGACCCTCTTGACAACATATGCCAGGAACGGGTAAGTGAGCGTTGGCCTGTCGAAGATGAATGTGTAATTGGCTGGCAGGGAATGACCGTAATGTGACTCGAGGAGTCAGATGACATGGTTTGATACGTGCTTGACGGTATTCGTGTGTACAAAGATAGTGCCAGGCCTAATGGACGTTTGTGTGAACGATGGAGGCCGGCACTCGCGAGTCAGAGCAGCCAATCTGAAGGACCTAAATGACAGTAATAAGAAAACGTGGCTAACAACGGAGGGGGTGTGCGGAAAAGGCACAAGGCACACCTGGAGTTCTGCGGCATGGTGGCCGAGTCCTAAAGAAATAGGGATTATCTTTGATTATACCTTTGTGCCCACTCCTCGTTGGCGTTGAGGGGGTCCCTGTGTGCCATTGGGCCGAGTCATGATGTGAAGGTTGAGAGGCGAAGGGCAGGGGTGGTGAGTCTTCGTAGATCAGTAAGACTAAGCAACTGACTGAGGATTGAATTGAGGGGCCCATGCACTGAGCGTGGAGGTGTTCTAACCTAATGGATAGTTAGCTTGCTTCGGACGTTATGGTGTGCAGTGGTCTTACCGAATGACCGCCGTTCAAACCGGGCGGTTATCGGGTAACGGAACGTGCCCGGTGGGCTCATGCGGTGTTGCGACAGGACGTCTACATAGCTTCGGAGCGAGACTTGTCAAGGGGGACGCCAATTTTGATAGGTTGAAATTCCATATGAGACCTGGCCGTTAGTAACGGATAGGGGATTGAATCGGGGTCCGATGTGCAGTGCCGGTTTGGACGGTGTATATCCTGCGATTGAGAATTATGAGTTTTTCTCTTCATCTGCGAAGACTGGCCGCAATAAGTGACAATTCAGTTACCTCTTCTTCATCGCCACCCCCCATAAACCGTCACGGTTACTGCCCGTATCCGCCTCGAGGTTGCCACTGCCTGCTGCACCAACAACATCGCCCAATGGTTCACTCCCCAGGGAGTCCCTAGCCATCCTGCGCATGTTACTGGATACCCTATGCCTAACTGAGTGTGCATAAACATATCCCGATCCACGAATCTGGTTTAAAGGGTGAGAAGCGCCATTACAAGAGCCAATGGCTGCACTCACATCCCAACATTGTGTGCCTCCCAGTCGTCCAGCTCTCCTTCAAAGCGTGCCCTCGGTGGAGCCAGCCACCTAACCCAGGTGATGCTTCACAGGTTGCCCCTATCGCCGGCCCAAATTTCCGCATGGCATATAGCCAGCGCGCAGGCCCAATACCGGTGAGTGTCATACCCCCCCTTAAGAACTTTGCCAGCATGACGTCATTGACAAGGGCGGCGACCTTCGTTTCCGATACCCGGCTGCTGCTCTCCCTTAAGAACTTTGTCAGCATGACGTCATTGACAAGGGCGGCGACCTTCGTTTCCGATACCCGGCTGCTAGTTCATTCCAGAACACGTCATGGGCTGTCATGAGTTGCTTCATGCATTCCTCCATCAATCGCAAATTCATGCTGACTCAGAACTGTCCAATCAATCTGCACCCATCATATTAGAAAACGGGTAAAAGGTGGAGGGAGGGGGAGGACCTGCGGCAGAGTACGGTCTCTTCTTCAGCCACCCGCAACACATGGCGCCTGTGATCCTGTTTGGCCAACTGCGCGGGCCCCTAGGAAGGGCATGGAATCCTCGCCAGTGGGTAGATAGAGCCTCCCAAATGCCCAGTTCACACTCATGGATGATGTCAACAACCAGCATACGCAATAGATCGAGTCCAAGCGATCCTGCGAACGCCGATTTGAGCTAATCGTGACCAGGACGGAACCGATCGCACTTGGTGAGCTTGAACTCTGAGAAAACTAGATAGAGATGATGACGATTAGTTAAATGCTGACCATAAATGAGTAGCTGCAAACCACGCACGGCCATATTGAATCTTTGACCTCGTCTAGAGATATGAAGCTGATACTTTCTTCTTTTCCTGCTGCGTTATATTGCGGAGCCAGCCCGTTATTGTCACGGGGTTCATAATCGCCTGCCTCTTTGCCCAAGGGATGGCGAGTTGTTCGGTCGCACTAAAATCCTTCAGCAGCCTTTTCACGACGTTGGTACTGCCAGCCTCAGCTGAACACCTTTCGACCTCGTTTGGGGATTTTAAACTGGTAGATGCCAACGACACAGACCCAGAATGCCTTGAACTAGTACTGGCGTCGTGGGCGCTGGCATTGCGTGGATATGGATGGATGCAATGTGATGTGATACGCCGGCGGGGATTGCAGCCGATCGCCTTCTGGTGCACCTCGTGGGTCCTCGGGGTCATAATGAAGGGTGCATTAGCCTGAGTAAGCTTGAGCTCGAAGGAAGAGAAAGATAATGATCATGAGGTGTAAACCACAACGTAAGACCTATGCACGTCGGATTTGTGACAAATTGCGAAGATTCGGTAGGTTAAACGGCGAAGCTGAGAAGCTGGACTTCGCCAAATGCAAAATTACTGAATCTTGGCTATGATAGGGGGAAGTGTTTCAGGGATCAATGGAGTCAGTTAAAAATTAGGGCACGGACGTTTAAGGAACTCACTTGAAGCGCCGTCGACGGTGATTAAGTACCTTGCTCGCGAGCAAATCTCGAATATTTACGAGACTCGCCACCACGATATAGTGAGCTCGCTGATCAGCGCGACTCGATATATGATGATCTCTTGGATCTCTGAGTCATCTCCAATAAAGTTCGTCTGGTGGAAATTTCTCTCGACTCTATTATTCAATAGGAAGCTGCAAATTAACAATTCATTGACTCACTGACTGTGTAAGGCGCTAGAACAGCCCCTCAATGAGATTTTACAGTCACGATCATCAGCGTAGTTTGATTCGTGATTGATGGAGGAATGATAGCCA